GCTGAAGTCTCTACATATATGTGTGCATGGTAGTGGGAGGTGAGGATGCGGTGATTGCATAGTGTGAACCCATATGTATGATGTCTGATGGTAATAAACTATATATCAGTGGAGCATCTATTGTGAGACAGATAAAATACTTAAAAACTGAGAAAGAAGGGAGGTAACCTATTATCCTATATACAGGCAATTCAAAGTGTATAAATTCAATGTAGCAATATTCCAATGTATCCAATTGGTATGTTATTATTATTATTATTAATAAGATAAATGTAACAATTTTGTAATGTATGAAATATTTTTACACAAAAATTTATGTCTCTGAGAGCTCAAGTTGATTTATAAACAATCTTTTGAAGTTATTTAATCAATCCACAATTCTGGCTTAATCCCCCAAAGTTCCAGTCGAATCCGGTATAAAAGAAAAAAATGAAATAGAAATTTGGTTAATTTCTGCTAAAAGATTCCTTTTATTAAAATAAAGATTATAAATACTGTGGATACAATTTATAAAAAAAAATATATATAAACTCTCTGGAAATGCAGTGTATAAAAAGGTAGTGGTGTAAATGCAGACCTTGCCCTATATGCTCGGCGTCCCGAGTGTTCTCTTATCCCGAATTTATATCCTGTATGGGCTGGATGCCAGTGGTGGGAGTCAAGTCATTCCAATGTCTGTTGGGTTAAGGATGATTGAGTGTAGCTAGTCATTACTGCAGCTACAAAAAAAATACAAAATATAAAAAAAAAAAAAAATGAGAACATATTTGCAGTCAAATGCCAGCATGGAGAATAGGCTTCTGGCAGGGATTCTGGTGCCCTATGATCAGTTGATGCGTGTATTCTTCGTTCCGCTGCTTGCATGCTCCTGGACCATGGGATGAAGGGAACAGCGTGTTCTGGATCCCAAGATTCAGTGGAGAGGGATGGGTTGTCAGACGGAGGCGTCAGATCCAGGGTCTCCAGAAATGTGGTTGCTTCCTAATCTTATTGATTTTTTTGATTGGGTAACTAAAATTATAGATCAGGGTGGTGCAGTAGACATTGCTTACCTAGATTTCAGTAAGGCTTTTGACACTGTTGCACATAGAAGGCTTATCAATAAACCGCAATCTTTAAGTTTGGATTCAAATGGGTAAGGCAGTGGCTGAGTGACAGGCAACAGAGGGTTGTAGTTAATGGAATATATTCGAAGCTTGGACTTGTCACCAGTGGGGTACCTCAGGGATCTGTACTTGGACCCATTCTCTTTAATATTTTTATTAGTGATATTGCAGAAGGTCTTGATGGTAAGGTATGTCTTTTTGCTGATGATATTAAGATATGTAACAGGGTTGATGTTCCAGGAGGGATAAGCCAAATGGCAAATGATTTAGGTAAACTAGAAAAATGGTCAGAATTGTGGCAACTGACATTTAATGTGGATAAGTGCAAGATAATGCATCTTGGACGTAAAAACCCAAGGGCAGAGTACAGAATATTTGATAGAGTCCTAACCTCAACATATGAGGAAAGGGATTTAGGGGTGATTATTTCTGATGACTTAAAGGTAGGCAGACAATGTAATAGAGCAGCAGGAAATGCTAGCAGAATGCTTGGTTGTATAGGGAGAGGTATTAGCAGTAGAAAGAGGGAAGTGCTCATGCCATTGTACAGAACACTGGTGAGACCTCACTTGGAGTATTGTACACAGTACTGGAGACCGTATCTTCAGAAGGATATTGATACCTTAGAGAGGGTTCAGAGAAGGGCTACTAAACTGGTTCATGGATTGCGGGATAAAACTTACCAGGAAAGGTTAAAGGATCTTAACATGTATAGCTTGGAGGAAAGACGAGACAGGGGGGATATGATAGAAACATTTAAATATATAAAGGAATCAACACAGTAAAGGAGGAGACTATATTTAAAAGAAGAAAAACTACCACAACAAGAGGACATAGTCTTAAATTAGAGGGACAAAGGTTTAAAATAATATCAGGAAGTATTACTTTACTGAGAGGGTAGTGGATGCATGGAATAAGCCTTCCAGCTGAAGTGGTAGAGGTTAACACAGTAAAGGAGTTTAAGCATGCGTGGGATAGGCATAAGGCTATCCTAACTATAAGATAAGGCTAGGGACTAATGAAAGTATTTAGAAAATTGGGCAGACTAGATGGGCCGAATGGTTCTTATCTGCCGTCACATTCTATGTTTCTATGTTTCCTCCATCGAAGTAAGTGTGGGAGCGGGTTTGGGCTGAGTGGGCCTCTGTAGCATGGCCGCTTGCTGTCTGCCACTGTATGCCGATTCTGTGAGCGGCGGCCCATAGCTGGCATGTGGCAGGTGTGGTAGGGGAAGAGTCGTCTCCCTCTCTCTGCGCTGCGGTTCCAACAAAGAGTTCTTGTCAGGCTGGCAGCATCAGTTTGGGTTAGGCCTCAGTTTCAAGATGTTTGGTGGTTATAAGATTGCCTCAGAAGAGCTTGCAAGCATGGTGTCTGTTCCTGCAAAGTGTAGAATAGCTCTTGCATTCCCAAACATCAGCCAAGGCTTGATGAAGGGTAAATCAGAATGTTTTATTAGGGCCAAGTTTCCAAGTTACATACACAGACCCCCAGCATGGGATCTCCATTCAGTTTTACAGTAAGCCCGTCCAGGCGCCACTGTGCCCGGGAGATAAGAGAGCTAGCTTTTACTTAAACTGATTATTTCCCAGGCATTCAAGGTAAATTACTGTGGCAGACCAATCACGCTTCCTAGTGCTCACCGAGTACCATAAGCACCACACTGGACACCATAACCACTGTAGCCCCCTTAGCCACCGCAGCTGGGAATTCATCTGTTGATTAGAGGCCATACACAGCCTTTTATGAAAACCCAATGCAAGGGGTTTCCTATACAAAACAAGATATCTCTGCCTAAGAGATAATTGAGCCAGGACCTGTATAAAACTCAATTATCTCCAGGCACAGAAAACACACATTTTATAGACACCCATAAAGTACCCCTAAAACACATAGAAACCCCACAAATCGGGGCAATCTGGGTGACCAACATATCCAAAAATCCCCCAGATCTGTTCAGGTCATAATTTGACCGACCGCACAAATGGTCCTATGCAGGGCCAGATTAAGAGCCCAGTGGACCTGGTGCTGACAATTATGACGGGCCTAATTACAGAATCATATCGACCAAAAACAGTAAAACACTCCCAAGCGTCATGTATCTGATGGAGATGGTGCTGGAGATAAAGAAAACAGCAGCTATAAGAAAACACATACCCTATGCTAATCTCTCTCTAATTTATAGAAACATAGAAACATAGAATGTGACGGCAGATAAGAACCATTCGGCCCATCTAGTCTGCCCAATTTTCTAAATACTTTCATTATTCCCTGGCCTTATCTTATAGTTAGGATAGCCTTATGCCTATCCCACGCATGCTTAAACTCCTTTACTGTGTTAACCTCTACCACTTCAGCTGGAAGGCTATTCCAGGCATCCACTACCCTCTCAGTAAAGTAATACTTCCTGATATTATTTTTAAACCTTTGTCCCTCTAATTTAAGACTATGTCCTCTTGTTGTGGTAGTTTTTCTTCTTTTAAATATAGTCTCCTCCTTTACTGTGTTGATTCCCTTTATATATTTAAATGTTTCTATCATATCCCCCCTGTCTCGTCTTTCCTCCAAGCTATACATGTTAAGATCCTTTAACCTTCCTGGTAAGTTTTATCCCGCAATCCATGAACCAGTTTAGTAGCCCTTCTCTGAACCCTCTCTAAGGTATCAATATCCTTCTGAAGATACGGTCTCCAGTACTGTGTACAATACTCCAAGTGAGGTCTCACCAGTGTTCTGTACAATGGCATGAGCACTTCCCTCTTTCTACTGCTAATACCTCTCCCTATACAACCAAGCATTCTGCTAGCATTTCCTGCTGCTCTATTACATTGTCTGCCTACCTTTAAGTCATCAGAAATAATCACCCCTAAATCCCTTTCCTCATATGTTGAGGTTAGGACTCTATCAAATATTCTGTACTCTGCCCTTGGGTTTTTACGCCCAAGATGCATTATCTTGCACTTATCCACATTAAATGTCAGTTGCCACAATTCTGACCATTTTTCTAGTTTACCTAAATCATTTGTCATTTGGCTTATCCCTCCTGGAACATCAACCCTGTTACATATCTTAGTATCATCAGCAAAAAGACATACCTTACCATCAAGACCTTCTGCAATATCACTAATAAAAATATTAAAGAGAATGGGTCCAAGTACAGATCCCTGAGGTACCCCACTGGTGACAAGTCCAAGCTTCGAATATATTCCATTAACTACAACCCTCTGTTGCCTGTTACTCAGCCACTGCCTTACCCATTCAACAATATTTGAATCCAAACTTAAAGATTGCAGTTTATTGATAAGCCTTCTATGTGCAACAGTGTCAAAAGCCTTACTGAAATCTAGGTAAGCAATGTCTACTGCACCACCCTGATCTATAATTTTAGTTACCCAATCAAAAAAATCAATAAGATTAGTTTGGCATGATCTCCCTGAAGTAAACCCATGTTGTCTCTGATCTTGAAATCCATGTGTTTTTAGATGTTCATCAATCCTATCCTTTAACATGGTTTCCATCATGGACACTGCTGTTAGTAAATCCATAACCCCTAACAGCAGTGTCCAGTCAAGCAGGAAGTCAATGAGCACGGTAAAAGAGTGTGCCACTGACACAAATTACGTGACCTGCCAAAAGGGGCGAACATGCCCAAAAAGAGGACATGTCTGCTCAAAGAATTAGAAGGCCAGCCTGACATGAATGCATGTCAGGCTGCCTGCCAATCATGCAGCTGGCCAACTAAGGGCATACTATGCAGACAGCACCCTGAGCTTGGCATAAATGCATCTAATGATGCGCTCACTCAACGCTTTCTAAGGACTGTCCCCTAGCACTCGCTGGTCCACTTGTCTCCTTACTTTCTTACTAGCAGGCAGAATCTCCTGGTATATAGTCTGGGACAGAGAAAAAGCTTTATGTAGTGAGTGTAGAAGCACATGAATTCATGACCCTATAGTGTTAACACCACCGTCTAGCCCCCCTGGGCCCCTCATGCCTCCATAAATATAGCAAAATCTTACTGTATTCAAGCCTGAAGCTGTAACTCTGCATGCTGTTAGACTCAGAAAAACAAGCAGTCTGCTGACATCATTAGAAGTGGTGGCCTAATCCAATCACAGTGCTTACCCATAGGATTGGCTGAGTACACTAGGCTGTAATGTAAAGACTGCATTTTCTCTGAAAAGACAGTGTTTACAGCAAAAAGCCTGACGGTAATGATTCTACTCACCAGAACAAACTCAATAAGCTGTAGTTGTTCTGGTGACCCTAGTGTCCCTTTAACTATATTCATTGCCAGCCAGTCCACACAAGTTTTGTTCCAATACATCCATCTTAAGTTTCCATACTTAAGTAAGGGTATGTGAAAAGTAGTTAGAGTTGCCACCTTTCTTGGAAAAACATACCGGCCTTGCTAATTTGCATAATTAAATATGTATGGGTGACATCACATGATGTAAATCACAAGGAGTGACATAAGAGAAAATGCTGTAAAATCACCAAAAACTACTTAGTTTGATTCTGCTGTATAGATGGATTCCTCCCAGTGGCCCCATGTCTCCCAGTGCCCCCATGTGTCGATTACTCCAGGTCTCAGTGTTCCTATGTATCAGTGTCTCAGTACCCCATGTCTCCCAGTGTCCCCTAGTCTCCCAGTGATCCCATGTATCCCAGGGTCCCCATGTCACTAGGAAGACGGGAAGACCTGGGGACACGGAGACACCAGTGACACTGGGAGACTAGGGGACTCTGGCTGGGACGCATGGGGACACTGGGAAAATAGGGGACACTTGAAGACATGGGGACACAGACACTAGAGACACTGGCTGGGGGACATGGGGACCTTGAGACATGGGGGCACTGGGAGACATGGGGACAAGGAGACACCAGGGCCACAGACACTAGGGACACTAGCTTGGAGACATGGGGACATTGAGACACTTGAGGCACTGGGAGACATGGAGGCACTAGGAGACATGGGGACAGTGAGACACTGGCAGACTGGGGGCACTGGGAGACTAGGGGGCACTGAGACACCAGGGACACTGGCTGGGAGACATGGGGACACTGGAAGACTGTGTCTGTGTCATAATGTCTCCCAATGTCCCTTAGTGTCTCAGTGTATGTCTCCTTGCAGCCTTTCCCCCATCCCTTACTTCCCTGAGCTGTAGGCTGTCTCTGCAGGATGGGAGTTGCTGTCTGGACTCTCTGTAGCTGCACCCCTACAGATCAGTGAGTATAGATAGGCAGGGAGGGATATGCTGGAACTTCCTATCCCTGCCTCTCTCCACATACAGCGACCCCTACTGGCCAGTGCTGGTATTGCATAGTAATCTCTTGTTTATACTGAGAAAAATACCAGCATTTGTATTGCCAGTATCACTGTAATATTGGCACCAGCCAGGCAGCCTCAAATACTGTGCCAATAAAATAAAAGCCAGGTGGAATCCCTAAGAGTAGTGTGTTTTTTTAATAAATCAATGGGCCTATTCCATGGGCCTGGGCCTGGGCCTGGAGCTGCAGCTCCATCAGCCCCTATGTTAATCCGGCCCTGGTCCTATGACCAAAACTTTCCAGGGAAAAAGTGGTAGCGGTCGGTCAAGTTCAGTAGTTTAAAATTGAACAATCTACTGAACGTAGTCAATAGTCATACTGTGGAGCTTGTTCCCCTCATCCAGACAAACAATTCCACTGAACAGTGCCCTTCCAGGTGGTGTAGAAACTAACGCAGGCGATGATGGAAGTCCAGCGGTGTTCTGGAGTTTCAGTATCTGATTTCAATTCCATAAACTTGATGACCAAGCACCATTGCCTGCGTTCACGGGAACAAGATGGCCACCGCCTCGTGGTCGTTCATACGAACTGTGGTCACCCAAGCGAACAATTAGACCACTGCGATTAGAATAGTTAAGAGTTGATGATAGGGCTTAACAAGCTCTCGGGTGGTCCATAGTTCATGTGTCTGTTCGATTCCCGAACAGCATGGTAAAATGGCACAAACTAAGTATTTTCCTATGGCTTTTACAGGGCCGATAGTCCTGGGGCAAGAGGCTGGCAAGAAGGCTCCTCCAGGAGCCCATGGCAAGGTTACTTTTGCCACAATTCCAAAACATAAAACACCCAAAAATACATACAAGGTTACTAGGAACCCCTACAAGTGTTATATCCCCGGATAGCCTGGATCCGAGCAAACCAGTTGTCCAAACAGCGCTTGGATCGGTTTAGTATAGCCAAATCATCACCAGGGTATATAAAAATAAATGAAGTATCCCCCTGGCTCGAACGTAGCGAATGTTCCTCTCGTTCAGGCAACAATATAATTTTACCGGTAGGCAAATTGTCTTACAAAGAGTTCCAGACACTCTACGACATAGTCCCGCTGCCTGTTTTCAGGAGACATGATGACTTTTTGTTAGAGCACGTGTTGTTCGGTTACACGAATGGCGGCTACCCAGAAAAATGGGTTGCAAGAGTATACGGAGAACGGGGAGCAGCTGAAATAGCCTGCCCTTCGGTGGGTCCCCGCTCAGATCTCAAGCTGTTTTTTGCTCATCTTGTGCCATTACATAGAGAACACTTCTGAAACATATCAGACTGGTTCCACCCATACGGGCAGTCCAGATCCGAAATGCCAGCAAGTTCTCTCTGCACGAGAGACACAGCAACCCCAGACGATCGTTTCAGCCTTGTTAGGCGTCATAAGTGAGGCATAGCTGATATCTCCCTAAGCACCATGAGCAAGGGGTCCACGTCTGGATTATCCCTTTAAACTTGTGGAGAGCAAAAAAATGGGTTGCAAGAGTATACTGAGAACGGGCAGCAGCTGAAATAGCCTGCCCTTCGGTGGGTCCCCGCTCAGATCTCAAGCTGGTTTTTGCTACCAGCGTGCACTTGTAGTCGTGCATCTTCCGATCATGCTCCAGTGAGGGAATTAAGGACGGCATGATGTCCTTGTAACAGGGATCCAGCAGGGTGGCCACCCAGTAATCAGCACAAGTTAGAATGTGGGCAACTCGGCAGTCGTTGTACAGGCAGTGTGGACAAGCTCACGTTTATTAAAATGAAGCAGGCATGCATCCCAGCAGACTTGTCTGTACCTTATGCAGAATTGACATTTATACCCTCACCCAGCCATTGTTATACTCAAGTGCACTTATTCTTTGTTTTCATTTTTATATGTCCCAATATTTTGGGGGCTACTCCAATTAAAAAAAAAAAAACACAAAAAAACAGTGTTGGCTACTAGCGATGTCCAGAATGGTTCGCCGTGAACAGTTCGCCGCGGACTCATCATTGAGTAAACTTTGACCCTGTACCTCACAGTCAGCAGACACATTCCAGCCAATCAGCAGCAGACCCTCCCTCCCAGACTCTCCCACCTCCTGGACAGCTCACTAAGAATGCAGCTTCAAAATGGATGCTGTCCAGGAGCTGGGAGGGTCTGGGAGGGAGGGTCTGCTGCTGATTGACTGGAATGTGTCTGCTGACTGTGAGGTACAGGGTCAAAGTTTACTCAATGATGAGTCCGTGGCGAACCGATCGCGCCGAACCGTTCGCGAACCGTTCGGGACATCACTATTGGCTACCTCCTCCACCGCCGCTTCCACCTCCACAGTCACCGCCTCCTCAACCTCCTACTCCACATCCACCTCCTCCTCCTAGAGCAGGGTGCAAAAGAGGAGCGGCCGTCCCTTAGACAGTAAGCCTGCTACTGCCCACCGCACCCAGGGACCGAGCACACCAAAGCCAGCTCCAAGGAGTTCCCTGGCATGGCAGTTCTTCAGACAATGTGCTAACGACAAGACACTAGTGGTTTGCACGCTGTGCAATCAGAGCCTGAAGTGAGCTGCAGTGGAGTAAGAACCTCAAAAACCAAGAAAAGTCTCAGGCTCCTCCTGCTTCCTCTTCTGCTGCTGTCTTGGCCTCTTCCTCCACCCCTCAAACAGAGGATGTTTCAGCAACGCCACCACGTCTGCCACCATCCCCAGGCATCTCCACACCCAAGCATCTCGATGGAGGCGTTAAGCTGTCCATCTCCCAAACACTGGAGAGAAAGACCCACCCGCGATCCCTGGCCCTGAATGCCAGCATTTCAAAATTCCTGGCCTTTGAAATGCTGTCATTCCGTCTGGTGGAGACGGACAGTTTTAAAAACCTGATGGCGTTATTGGACTGCAAGAAATGCACTGTAGGCCACAAATGTTTATTTTTTTATATGCTTCCACCTACACCGCCATGGTCACCGCCTCCTCAACCTCCTACTCCACATCCACCTCCTCCTCCTAGTTCAAGATTATTATTTTTAATTTTTATGTATTTTATATTATTTTAAGTTATTTCCCTATCCACATTTGTTTGCAGGGCACTTGTCCTACTCTTACCCCAATTTTAATTCCTTTTGCAGCCCTCTAGCCCTTTCCAGGACTTTTTTAGAGCCATTTTAGTGCCCAAAAGTTCCCCATTGACTTCACTTGGGTTCGCGTTCAGGGTTAAGTTCGAGCCCGAACTCGAACTTTTTGACGAAGTTCAGCCGAACTTGGCGAACCCGAACATCCAGGTGTCCACTCAACTCTAGTCATAAGCAGTGGGAGGTCATGGTGTGATATAACAAGCAGTGAGAGGGTACGGTGTCATGTAACTAGCAGTGAGAGGGCACGGTGTCATGTAATGAGCAGTGAGGTCATGGTGTGATATAACAAGCAGTGACAGGGCACTGTGTGATGTAATGAGCAGTGAGAGGGCACGGTGTGATGTAATCAGCAGAGACAGGACACAGTGTGATATAATGAGCAGTGACAGGGCACAGTGTGATATAATGAGCAGTGACAGGGCATAGTGTGAAGTAATTAGCAGTGAGAGGGCACGGTGTGATGTAATAAGCAGTGAGAGGGCACGGTGTGATAAAATCAGCAGTGAGAGGGCACGATGTGATAAAATCAGCAGTGAGAGGGCACGATGTGATGTAATCAGCAGTGAGAGGGCACAGTGTGATGTAATCAGCAGTGAGAGGGCACAGTGTGATGTAATCAGCATCGAGAGGGCACGGTGTGATGTAACAAGCAGTGAGGGCACGGTGTGATGTATCAAGCAGTGAGAGGGCACGGTGTGATGTAACAAGCAGTGAGAGGGCACGGTGTGATGTAATAAGCAGTGAGAGTGCACGGTGTGATGTAACAAGCAGTGAGAGAGCACAGTGTGATGTAATAAGCAGTGAGAGAGCACGGTGTGATGTAACAGTGAAGCACGGTGTGAGTGCAGTGAGAGAGCACGGTGTGATGTAACAAGCAGTGAGAGAGCACGGTGTGATGTAACAAGCAGTGAGAGAGCACGGTGTGATGTAACAAGCAGTGAGAGGGCACGGTGTGATGTAACAAGCAGTGAGAGAGCACGGTGTGATGTAACAAGCAGTGAGAGGGCACGGTGTGATGTAACAAGCAGTGAGAGGGCACGGTGTGATGTAACAAGCAGTGAGAGGGCACGGTGTGATGTAACAAGCAGTGAGAGAGCACGGTGTGATGTAACAAGCAGTGAGAGAGCACGGTGTGATGTAATCAGCAGTGAGAGAGCACGGTGTGATGTAACAAGCAGTGAGAGAGCACGGTGTGATGTAATAAGCAGTGAGAGAGCACGGTGTGATGTAACGAGTAGTGAGAGTGTGCTCGGCATCTGTGTCTTGCGCAGTTATAAAACATGGAATGGTGTTGTAATAACATAATTAGTAATCCCTAAATCCCTAACCCTTGATACTCCTTAAAGGAAACCTGCATTCCTAACATTTTAGTGTTCTGTTCCCTGTTTCTATTGGTCTTCCATTTTGTGAAAATAATAAAATGTTTCCAATGTCGAGGCTTCCTTGGTGCTGCAGACTGCTCTGTGTTCTATTGTTAATAGGTAGGTGGTGGATCAGTCCCAGTACCACAGAGACCATGTATAAAGTATAATTGTAGAAAGTAGAAATCCAGGCACTCCAAATTGTTCCATCCAATAGGCAATTTTTATTGGACCCAAGAACCACACAACGTTTCGACCCCTTAGGGCCTTTGTCAAGCTTGGAGTGCCTGGATTTCTACAATTATGCTCTGTGTTCTATGACATCATGGACGAGGCATAGCCTCTTTTGGTGTTGTTCAATCAAATTATCCTCCTAGAGTAGCATTGAGGACCTAATGCGCATGCACTGCGTGTACATCTTAGCATCCCCACAGGAAAACATTGAATCGCTCAATAGATGGGGGGTTCCACGTAACTTTTACTTGAGTTGGACTTTAAGGGAAAATAGTGCCAGGAAAAACAGATCTCTGTAGTGCCCCCCTCCCACTCGTTCCCCCTCCCACTGGTCCAGGCTCTGCCTCTGCTCCTCCTTATATAATGCTTTCTGTGACGAAAGTAACCTCGCCACTGGGTTTTGGAGGGGCCTGTTTCCAAGCCTCCTACCCTGGGACTATGGGCCCTGTGATAACCCAATAGTACTGTTTCTGCCCCTTGGACTTTTAACTGGAACAGATTCAAACATGTGGCGGCGGCCATCTTAAATTGTCCAGCAGTGTTTTGCCATCGAGTGTATGGAACTGTTTTGGGCATGGGACCATGTGCACGCTGGGACAAAAATAAGACTTCCAGGAAATTCCTGAACCCCTAAACCGATCGGGGTGATTTTTGGATATGTTGTTCTCCCAGATCGGGGCTATCAGGGGATGTGACTTGTGGGGATATGTTGTATTGTGGGGTATTTTGGGGGGTTTGTAAAAATGTATGTTTTTTCTGTTTAGAGTTAATTGAGTTAGCCCATTGTATTTGTTAATTGTATCACAGGCAGAGGGGAGGGATTGTGAACACTGTAGGGGAGTGTCTGCATGTAAGACTCTGTTTTTATTGGTTTGTTAATTCTGTGTCCTGAGCCCCACAAGGGTCACCTGGGCATCATACTTGTGGGGAAAAACTGTATAAAAACTCAAGCTGTTCAATAAACCTTCAGACCTTCTTACCCTCAACTCGTAGCCTTGTCTCGTGTTGTAGGGTACTGCTATATCACACTGGGGATTGCTATACTCTGTATACTTCCCTGGATGCTACTCACTAGCTCTTCTAAGAGCTGTTCCTGCTTCGCTCTCTGAAGGAAGAGCGGTTCACCCACTGGAGCCTGGAGCCTTGTTGTAGGTCCAGGGTGGGTAGGTGATGGCGAGAACCCAACCAAGCTGTGGTGGTTCGTATGGTCTGCAGTGCTTATGGTGTCTGGTGTGGTGCTGTTGGTCCATCGATTGATGGAGGGTCCGTTACACTTTCCTGTGGAGTTTTGTGTGATGCTGGATGTCCTGATGCATACTGTAAAGATGTCCAGGGTCAGTAAGGGGACCAAAAGTCGTCTAATTACCTGCAAGTCCCTCTAGTAACTGTCTGGTAGAAAGTCACTAAAGATGGAGTTAACCCTGAAAGGTAATTATTGCAATAATTACCTTTCAGGGTTAACTCCATCTTTAGTGACTTGCTATACTCTGTATACTTCCCTGGATGCTACTCACTAGCTCTTCTAAGAGCTGTTCCTGCTTCGCTCTCTGAAGGAAGAGCGGTTCACCCACTGCGGGGTTAGGGGACCCGGGGCAGTGCACCCACAACACTTTGATGAGCTAAAGTGGTCTGGGTGCCTATAGTGTCCCTTTAACTTTGTAATGTAAACTAAAGGGTTAAAACTAAAGGACCTCTACACACAGACCGCTTGATTGAGATACATCACGGAGGTGCAGTGACTTGTGTAACTTTAGTGGTCCTTTAACCCCTTAAGGACCAAACTTCTGGAATAAAAGGGAATCATGACATGTCACACATGTCATGTGTCCTTAAGGGGTTAAGGACTGATCTGTGCAGTGAAAGGGGTATAGGGACCTGGAGAGGGGCACGAATTGATAGACCCGATCTCACACCCTGTGTGTTCTAAGCTGAATTCAGTGTGATAAGAATGGGCAGCCAGCCAGCTCTGCAGACAGAGATCAGCTGTGTAGGAAACACTTGACAGGAACCAGCTGAGCACCAAAACACGCAACAGGCGCAGCGCACTCACTGCTCAAGCAAAGGAAGATGGATGCACGCTGACCTCAATGCTGCTGATGCTTAATAATAATAATAATAGGGAGGGGATTCACACAGAAATGAAGAAAAAAATATTTTTAAAACGAGTCTCCATTTCCACCATTTGTGAGTGCCAAAAAGGGGCAAATTATTAATTTAAGGTCCATGGAAACCCAATGTCATGATCTGCTTTAGACAAAGTAATTATTATGGTAGATCCAGCAATTCCACGTCCTATGTTCTAATACGGCATATTCCAATCGCAAGACCCCCTGTCCAGAACCCACTTAAGCAAAAGACCAGTTGTTATCGAAGGATAAAGGAAAGTAAAATGGTACAAAGTAAGCTATAATGAATGGTATGCAGAATAAATGATTGTGACTGGAAACCAAACATTGCATGCCGGGATATTCACCATCATTCTCATATCTCCTTGTCCACGGTGTTTGGTGTAAAGAAACGACACCTGTAACATATAGACATGTTCGCGTGATGGATGACCTGCGATGCCCCTCCCATACAGACATGTCCAAATGATGCCTGACCTATGACGCCCCTACCATAAAGACATATCCGAGCGATGGCTGACCTGCTTCGCCCCTACCATATAAACATGTCCTAGTGATGCCTTACCTGCGACTCTCCGACCATACAGACATGTCCAAATGATGGCTGACCTGGGACGCCCCTACCATACAGACATGTCTGAATGATGCCTAACCTATGATGCCCCTACCATAAAGACTTGTCCGAGTGATAGCTGACCTGGGACGCACCTACCACACAGACATGTCTGAGTGATGGCTGACATGGGTGTCTCTACCATACAGATATGCTTAAGTGATTTTTATGTTATTATTTATAGAGCGCCAACAAATTCCACAGCACTTTACAGTGGATGGACGAACAAACATGTAGTTGTAACCAGACAAGTTGGACACACAGGAACAGAGGGGTTGAGGGCCCTGCTCAATGAGCTTACATGCTAGAGGGAATGGGGTAAAGTGACACAAAAGGTAAGGATAGTATTAGCCTAATGACAGTTGCAAGAGAGGAATCAGTCGGGAGCTATTAACCGTTTGATATGCTTTTATGAAGAAGTGGGTATTTAATGATTTTTTGGAAGGAGTGGAGACTGGGTGAGCATCTAATGGAGGAGGGAAGTGAGTTCCACAGGAACGGTGCAGCCCTCGAGAAGTCTTGAAGGTGAGCATTAGAGGTGGGAGTACAAACAGAAGATAGACATAAGTCTTCAGCAGAGTGTAAGGGCCTAGACGGGACATACTTGTGTATTAGGGAGAACAGATAGGTGGGAGCAGCATTATGTAGAGATTTGAAAGCAAGAATCAGAATTTTAAATTGAGCTCTATATCTTTCAAGAAGCCAATGTAGAGATTGACAGAAGGGTGAGAAGCGGAAGGTGCGGGCGGATAGGAAGATGTTCCTCGTCACTGCATTCATTATGGACTCTAATGGCTCATGTTGGGAGCACGTAAGACCACTGAGAAGCGGATTACAGTAGTCAAGGTGAGAAAGGACAGTGGAATGGACCAACACCTTAGTCGCATCTGGCGTTAAGTAGGGTCGGATGCGCGCAATGTTTTTGAGATTGAAGCGACAGGATTTGGCAATAGACTGAACATGAGGCGTGAAGGAGAGGTCGGAGTCAAAGAGAATATCTAGGCAGTGAGCCTGCATGCTGGAGCTGATGGTAGCACCGTTGACTTGGAGGGAAACACAAGAGTAGCAACACTTGAGGGAGGAAAGACCAGAATTTCAGTTTTCCTCAAGTTGAGTTTAACCCCTTAAGGACCAAACTTCTGGAATAAAAGGGAATCATGACATGTCACACATACTCGTTTTCCTGGCACTATAGTGCCCTGAGGGTGCCCCCATCCTCAGGGACCCCCTCCCGCCCGGCTCTGGAAGGGGGAAAGGGGGTAAAACTTACCTTTTTCCAGCGCTGGGCGGGGAGCTCTCCTCCTCCGATCCTCCTCCGTTCCTCCTCCTGGGCTGAATGCGCACGCGCGGCAAGAGCTGCGCGCACATTCAGCCGGACACATAGGAAAGCATTCATAATGCTTTCCTATGGACGCTTGCGTGCTCTCACTGTGAAAATCACAGTGAGAAGCACGCAAGCGCCTCTAGCGGCTGTCAATGAGACAGCCACTAGAGGATAAGGGGGAAGGATTAACCCATTCATAAACATAGCAGTTTCTCTGAAACTGCTATGTTTACAGCTGGACCTGGCACCCAGACCACTTCATTAAGCTGAAGTGGTCTGGGTGCCTAGAGTGGTCCTTTAAGGGGTTAAGGAAGTGGGCAGCCATCCAGTTAGAAATAGCAGAGAGGCAGTCAGAGACACTAGTCAAGAGGCATGGGTAGAGATCAGGAGAGGACAGATAGATTTGCGTGTCATCCGCATAGAAATTATATTGGAAGCCAAAGGAGCTAATGAGTTCACCAAGGGAGGCAGTATAGACAGAGAACAGTAGGGGACCAAGGACTGAACCTTGGGGGACACCAACAGAGATGAGTTGGGGAGAAGAAGCAGAGCCAGAAAAAGAAACACTTAAAGAGTGCTGGGAGAGGTAGTAGGAGCACCAGGAGAGAGCAAAATCTTGTAGACTGATATTGCGGAGGATGAGAAGAAGCTGTTGATGATCAACAGTGTCAAAAGCCGCAGAAAGGTCAAGAAGAATAAGGATAGAGTAGTGACCATGAGATTTTACAGCGAGTAGATCATCGGATACTTTGGTCAGTGCCGTTTCCACAGAGTGCTTAGTGCGGAAACCGGACTGAAGTGGATCTAGCAGAGAGTTGGACTCGAGGAAGTCTGTCAATCTCGCATATACAACTCTTTTAACGATCTTAGATGCAAAAGGCAGTAGCGAGATAGGATGGTAGTGGTGCCTGACCTATATAGCAACTGGGTTAACATCTGGAAGAGGACAAGAGTACCGAGCTATAGCAACTGGGTTAACATCAGGAAGAGGACAGGAGTACCGAGATTTAAAAACTTGGTTAACATCTGGAAAGAACAAGATTATCGTGTTAAGTAACGGGAATAACATCAGGAATAGGACAGGAGTATTGTGCCTACATCAGACCAGGGCTATGGATTAAACATTCTGCAGGTCACACCTCAAAACCTATGCAGTCTAGGGTCTCACATCTGGAAAGGACAAATTAATTGCTTTAAACAGAAGGATTTATAGTTTCACTATTCAGAGGGAGGTAGGGTCAAAGTTGGACTTCTTTAGAATTGGGGTTACAGTTGCATGTTGGAAGGGTGATGGAAATATGCCAGAGGAGGGAGAGAGCTTGAGAATTTTTGTGAGAGGTAGAGAAAGAGAAGAAGACAGAGTATGGATCAGATGAGAGGGAATTATATCTAGGGAGCAGGTGATGGGGTGGGAGGACTGGAGCAGAGCAGAAACCTCTTCTGCTGTAGCGGGTGTAAATGAACATAGAACAGCAGAGGGAGTGAGGTTAGGGGAAGTATTGTAAGGGGAAGAAGAAAGATGAGAGATTTCTTCTCTGATTGTAGAGATCTTGTCAGTGAAGTGAGTTGCAAAGTCTGAGGCAGTCAAGTTAGTAGGTGGAGGAGGAACAATAGGGCTGATAAGAGAGTTAAATGTGTGAAACAGTCGTTTTGGTTCGCGGGAGAGTGTGGTTATGAGAGTATTGAAGTAATTTACTTTTGTAGAGAAAAGAGCCAAGCTGTATGAGTGCAGCATAAATTTATAGTGGAGAAAGTCAGATGCACAGTGAGACTTTCTCCAACAGCGTTCAGAAGTTCTGGAGCATTTTTGGAGGTATCGAGTCAGCTTGGTATGCCAAGGTTGTTGTTGGAGGAACTTTCTGTGCTTAAATGCCATGATGTCTAGTTGAGAGGAGAGGGTGGAATTGTAGAAGGAGGTTGTAGAGGTTGATAGCTGACCTGGGACGCCCCTACCATACAGTCATGTCCAAGTGATGGCTGACCTGATGAGCCCCTACCATACACACATGCCCAAGTGATGGCTGACTTGGGACACTCCTACCATATAGACATGTCCGAGTGATGGCTGACCTGGGACGCCCATACCATATAGACATGTCCAAGTGATGGCTTACCTGGAAAGCACCGACCATATGCTCCGTACACTGGCTCCAAGTTATTCACTATGAAGGGCCCCAATATTGCCGAATAGAATTGCACCCAAATTATAAGAGAGTAGGGACGTTGTGACACGGGTAGTCCAGGATTTGGAAATGTTATAAAATTTTGGATAGAGCACATTGGGGAGGGGAGGAAAGAATTAAAGAGTAGTTAGGATGCTGTCTATCTTGTTAATTAAGGAGACATTTCCTGTAATACGACAAACTAATTTACTGGAACCTTTGTTTCAGATATCAGCAATCAGCAGCTTGTGCTGAGACTCTACACTGTCAATGGGAGACCTTAAGGATATTGTTCCCTGAGCTCCCATCACCCCGTCATCCCATTATCCCGTCACCCTCTCACCACGTCACCCAATCATCCTATCACCCCATTATCCCATCACCTTCTCACCCCGTAACCCCATTATCCTATCACATTATCCCATCACCCCTCATTCCGTCACCCCATCACCACCTAATCCTATTACACTCATCCCGTCACCCTCTCACCCTCTGATCCAATTATCCTATCACCCGATCATCCCATCACACCATTATTGCATTAACCCAATCATCTCTTTACCTCATCATTCTGTCACCCTCTCACCCTGTCACTTTATCATCCCATCACCTTCTCATCCCATCAGCCTAAACCAATTATTTCAAGTCTTCGACTGTCTAATAAAGTCTCCTCCTGTCCTATACTCAATATTCTGTCTCTCCCTCTCATCCTGTCCCACACTCTTCTCCTGTCTCTTCCCTCTCCCTCTCTTCCTTTGACCCTTTTTATTTCCTTTTCCTGGTCTCACCTCCCCCCCTTCACTTTTCCTCTTTTCTGTCTCTCCTCCCCTGGTTGGGTCAGTTTTTTGGCTGTGGGGGGTTGATTCTCTCATTCCTTTGGTGGATGCTGGCAGCAGTGGGCTGTCTGAGAGGCTTGGAGGGGAACATATTAAGGAGGGGAGGGGGCTGAGGGCCAGAATAAAGAAGTTCTCTGACAGAGGGAGAAGTTTCTTCCAGGCAGGAGAGCTGCAGTGGCAGAGAAGGACAAGCCCCATCTCGTGGAATTTTTGGGGGACGTTTGATAGGACATTCAGCTAGATGTGAATGCACTGTATTTAGTGATGTCTCGATTTAACTCCTCTATCAGAGAGAGTTCAAGCAGATGAGGGATCGGAAGAGGATAGGTTTAATGTGAGGGAGAAAGAGACTGCTCCGAGCTGTGAGATCACGCAGTAAGCATCTGGATTCCCCAGTCTGTCTGAAAGAAAGACAGACCTTTTAGGAGAACTCTGGTATAACAATTGGGTTAACATCTGGAAGAGGACAAGAGTACCGGGATATAGCAACTGGATTAACATCTGGAAGAGGACAAGAGTACCGAGAGATAGCAACTGGGGTAACATCTGGAAGAGGACAGGAGTACCGGGATATAGCAACTGGATTAACATCTGGAAAGAACAAGATTATCGTGTTAAGTAACAGGAATAACATCAGGAATAGGACAGGAGTACTGTGCCTACATCAGACCAGGGCTATGGATTAAACATTCTGCAGGTCACACCTCAAAACCTACGCAGTCTAGGGTCTCACATCTGGAAAGGACAAATTAATTGCTTTACACAGAAGAGTCTATAGTTTCACTATTCAGAGAACCAATGCTCTCACAAGGATAAGAAAGGGTTGAGTAATTTCAACTGGCTCTATGGTGGATAAGATCCACATGGAGATCTAACATCAAGGGATTAACATTTAAAAACCGCTGCACGGAGAGGGTTTGGTTCACACAAACCTCCAAGAACCCTACTGCTGGAGCAGGGCTTTTGTTCAATGATTTTAGTGGGGTTCTGGTTGTTACATAGGGAAATGTCCAGGTGACAAAGCCCCGCCGCATTCTATTAGTCCCCCATACTGCAGGACAGTCCCACCATCAGGAGTTACCCGGAAAACACAGAATGATGGCCAAGAGTGTGTGGATTATTCTCACTTCCCTATTCACCCTCAATATTGAGATATCAAATGCCACTAACTACCCTCCACGCTACAACCTGTACACAGGAGGATCGACCACACAGTCACAACATGGACTAAGGGCAGCCAGCAGACACAGGTAAGTAGCCACAAAAAGGGGCCAAGTTAAAGTTCATAAAGCATATAGTCCTAAGAGAGGACAGGATAAAGGTCTTAAAATACAACAACTGGAATACACTCTAATATAGAGATAGTAATAATTGGGATACGCTATAATATAGAGATAGTAATAACTGGGTAACGCTCTAATATAGAGATAGCAATAACTGGGATACGCTCTAATATAGAGATAGTAATAACTGGAATACGCTCTAAAAAAGAGATAGCAATAACTGGGATACGCTCTAATATAGAGATAGCAATAACTGGATAACGCTCTAATATAGAGATAGCAATAACTGGGATACGCTCTAATATAGAGATAGTAATAACTGGGATACGCTCTAAAAAAGAGATAGCAATAACTGGGATACACTCTAATATAGAGATAGTAATAACTGGGATACGCTCTAATATAGAAGTAGCAATAACTGGGATACGCTGTAATATAGAGATAGTAATAACTGGGATACGCTGTAATATAGAGATAGCAATAACTGGGATACGCTCTAATATAGAGATAGCAATACCTGGGATACGCTCTAATATAGAGATAGCAATAACTGGGATACGCTGTAATATAGAGATAGCAATAACTGGGATACGCTCTAATATAGAGATAGCAATAACTGGGATACGCTGTAATATAGAGATAGCAATAACTGGGATACGCTCTAATATAGAGATAGCAATAACTGGGATACGCTGTAATATAGAGATAGCAATAACTGGGATACGCTGTAATATAGAGATAGTAATAACTGGGATACGCTCTAATATAGAGATAGCAATAACTGGGATACGCTCTAATATAGAGATAGCAATAACTGGGATACTCTCTAATATAGAGATAGCAATAACTGGGATACGCTCTAATATAGAGATAGCAATAACTGGGATACTCTCTAATATAGAGATAGTAATAACTGGGATACGCTGTAATATAGAGATAGCAATAACTGGGATACGCTGTAATATAGAGATAGCAATAACTGGGATACGCTGTAATATAGAGATAGCAATAACTGGGGTACGCTCTAATATAGAGATAGCAATAACTGGGATACGCTGTAATATAGAGATAGTAATAACTGGGATACGCTGTAATATAGAGATAGCAATAACTGGGATACGCTCTAATATAGAGATAGCAATAACTGGGTAACGCTCTAATATAGAGATAGCAATAACTGGGATACGCTGTAATATAGAGATAGTAATAACTGGGATACGCTGTAATATAGAGATAGTAATAACTGGGATACACTCTAATATAGAGATAGTAATAACTGGGATACGCTCTAATATAGAGATAGCAATAACTGGGATATGCTTTAATATAGAGATAGCAATAACTGGGATACGCTGTAATATAGAGATAGCAATAACTGGGATACGCTCTAATATAGAGATAGCAATAACTGGGATACGCTCTAATATAGAGATAGCAATAACTGGGGTACGCTCTAATATAGAGATAGTAATAACTGGGGTACGCTCTAATATAGAGATAGCAATAACTGGGATACGCTCTAATATAGAGATAGCAATAACTGGGATACGCTGTAATATAGAGATAGCAATAACTGGGATACGCTCTAATATAGAGATAGCAATAACTGGGATACGCTGTAATATAGAGATAGCAATAACTGGGATACGCTCTAATATAGAGATAGCAATAACTGGGATACGCTGTAATATAGAGATAGCAATAACTGGGATACGCTGTAATATAGAGATAGCAATAACTGGGATACGCTCTAATATAGAGATAGCAATAACTGGGATACGCTGTAATATAGAGATAGCAATAACTGGGATACGCTGTAATATAGAGATAGTAATAACTGGGATACGCTCTAATATAGAGATAGCAATAACTGGGAATACATAGATTGTCATTGAGAAGGAATGGGTTAATATGGAGACACTAACTTCCTAATGCACAGATTGAAGAATGCACAAGCAACTTACACACTAAATGGTAGTGAATTAGGGATAACCACACACGAGAAGGATTTGGGAATTGTTATAGACAACAAATTAGGCAGCAATATGCAATGTCAATCTGCAGTTGCTAAGGCCAGTAAGATTTTGTCATGTATAAATAGGGGCATAAATTCTCGGGATGAAAATATAATTTTGCCTATTTATAAATCGCTGGTAAGACCACACCTTGAATATGCTGTGCAATTTTGGGCGCCTGTTCTAAAGAAAGATATCGTGGCACTAGAAAAGGTTCAGAGACGAGCTACAAAATTGATAAAAGGAATGGAGCATTTTAGTTATGAAGAAAGGTTAAAAAAAATTTAATCTGTTTAGTTTGGAAAAACGGCGCCTGAAAGGGGATATGATAACTTTATACAAATATATCTGGAAATCTATTCATAAACAAGGTCACAGATTTAGGCTGGAAGAAAGGAGATTTCATCTAAGGCAAAGAAAAGTTTTTTTTACAGTACGAGCAATAAGGATATGGAATTCTCTGCCTGAAGAGGTGGTGTTGTCAGAGTCATCACAGATTTTTAAACTGCAATTGGATAAATACTTACAAAAACATAACATACAGGGATATAATTTCTAATTAGTGGGGTAATAGCTACTTGATCCAAGGAGACATCTGAATGCTATTTTGCGGTCAAGAAGGAATTTTTTCCTAGTTTGTTGCAAAATTGGAAGTGCTTCAGACTGGGATTTTTGCCTTCTTTTGGATCAACGGCAAAAAACAAATGTGAGGTAGGCTGAACTTGATGGACACAAGTCTCTTTTCAGCTATGTAACTATGTAACTATGTAAGATTGTCAGTGAGAGGGAAGGGATTAATATGGAGACACTAACTTCCTAACATGCAGATTGTCAGTGAGAGGGAAGGGGTTAAAATGCATAGGCGTGCGCAAGGGGTGTGCCGGGTGTGCCTGGGCACACCCTAATCCCCGCGGCACGCCTATGGCGTGAGACCGGCAGGGGAGATCTCAGGATCTCCCCTGTCGGCTCCTGCAGACCCCGCGCTATCCGAGCGCCGGCTCTGCTCTCAGCCTCCCTCCAAACTGCAGCATGGAGGGAGGCAGAAGAGGACCCAAGGAGCTCAACCAGCAGCTCCGCCGGGTTCCTCTCGCGAGGTATAGGGGCTAGAGTTCACTCTCCACTGGACCATCAGGGAAAGCAGCAGGAACAAGAAACCCCCCTCTCTACATAAGGTAAGAAGGAAGAGGGGATATATTTAGTAATGTACCCCCACCTCCACCTCCACCCCCCACAATCACCCACACACATACAGCACCCTCACACAACACACACACAGCACCCTCACACACATGCACCCACACACAGCACCGAAACAGCACCCTCACAAACACACATCACACTAACAGCACCCTCACACACACACACACACACAACACCCTCAAACCACCCTCACGCAGCACACACACAGCAGTGTATGTATGTGTGTGTGTGTATATATATATATACACACACACATACATATACACGCGGCGTGTGTTTGTGCTTTAGGGTGCACACCCTAATGCAATATGCTGCGCACGCCTATGTTAAAATGCAAATACTATATTCCAACAAGCAGACTATCAGTGAAAGGGAAGGGGTTCATATGGAGACACTAACTTCCTAACACGCAGATTATCAGTGAGAGGGAAGGGGTTAATATGGAGACACTTACTTAATAGCACGCAGATTGTCAGTGAGAGGGAAGGGGTTAATATGCAAACACTAACTTCCTAACACACAGATTGTCAGTGAGAAGGAAAGGGTTAATATGGAGACACTAGCTTCGTAATACAGATTGTCAGTGAAAGGGAAGGGGTTAAAATGCAAATACTATATTCCAACAAGCAGATTGTCAGTGAGAGGGAAGGGGTTAATATGGAGACAATAACTTCCCAACACACAGATTGTCAGTGAGAAGGAATGAGTTAATATGGAAACACTAACTTCCTAACACAGATTGTCAGTGAGAGAGAAAGGGTTAATATGGAGACACTAACTTCCTAACACGCAGATTGTCAGTGAGAGGGAAGGGGTTAATATGGAGACACTTAATAACGCGCATATTGTCAGTGAGAGGGAAGGGGTTAATATGGAGACACTAACTTCCTAACAAACAGATTGTAAGTGAGGGGGAATGGGTTAATATGGAGACACTAACTTCCTAACACAGATTGTCAGTGAGAGGGAAGGGGTTAAAATGCAAATACTATATTCCAACAAGCAGATTGTCAGTGAGAGGGAAGGGGTTAATATGGAGACACTAGCTTCCTAACACACAGATTGTCAGTGAGAGGGAAGGGGTTAATATAGAGACACAAGCTTCCTAACACACAGATTGTCAGTGAGAGGGAAGGGGTTAAAATGCAAATACTATATTCCAACAAGCAGATTGTCAGTGAGAAGGAAGTGGTTAATATGGAGACACTAACTTCCTAAAACGCAGATTGTCAGTGAGAGGGAAAGGGTTAATATGGAGACACTAACTTACTAACACAGATTGTTAGTGAGAGGGAAGAGGTTAATATGCACACTAACTTAAAAACAAACATTGTCAGTGAGAGGTGAGGGGATAATATAGAGACACTAACTTCCTAACACGCAGATCGTCAGTGAGAAGGAAGGGGTTAATATGCACACACTAACTTACTAACACAGAGATTGTAAGTGAGAAGGAAAGGGTTAATATGGAGACACTAGCTTCCTAACACACAGATTGTCAGTGAGAGGGAAGGGGTTAATATGGAGACACTAGCTTCCTAACACACAGATTGTCAGTGAAAGGGAAGGGGTTAAAATGCAAATACTATATTCCAACAAGCAGATTGTCAGTGAAAGGGAAGGGGTTAATATGGAGACACTAGCTTCCTAACACACAGATTGTCAGTGAGAGGGAAAGGGTTAATATGGAAACACTAACTTCCTAACACGCAGATTGTCAGTGAGAAGGAATGGGTTAATATGGAAACACTAACTTACTAACACAGATTGTCTGAGAGGGAAGGGGTTAATATGGAAACACTAACTTACTAACACAGATTGTCTGAGAGGGAAGGGGTTAATATGCACACGCTAACTTAAAAACAAACATTGTCAGTGAGAGGGGAGGGGATAATATAGAGACACTAACTTCCTAACAAGCAAATTGTCAGTGAGAGGGAAGGGGTTAATATGCAAACACTAACACAGATTGTCAGTAAGAAGGAAGGGGTTAAAATGCAAATACTAACTTCCTAACAAGCAGATTGTCAGCGAGGGAGAAGGGGTTAATATGGAGACACTAGCTTCCTAACACACAGATTGTCAGTGAGAGGGAAGGGGTTAATATAGAGACAATAACTTCCCAACACACAGATTGTCAGTGAGAAGGAAGTGGTTAATATGGAGACACTAACTTCCTAAAACACAGATTGTCAGTGAGAGGGAAAGGGTTAATATGGAGACACTAACTTACTAACACAGATTGTTAGTGAGAGGGAAGAGGTTAATATGCACACTAACTTAAAAACAAACATTGTCAGTGAGAGGTGAGGGGATAATATAGAGACACTAACTTCCTAACACGCAGATTGTCAGTGAGAAGGAAGGGGTTAATATGCACACACTAACTTACTAACACAGAGATTGTAAGTGAGAAGGAAAGGGTTAATATGGAGACACTAGCTTCCTAACACACAGATTGTCAGTGAGAGGGAAGGGGTTAATATGGAGACACTAGCTTCCTAACACACAGATTGTCAGTGAAAGGGAAGGGGTTAAAATGCAAATACTATATTCCAACAAGCAGATTGTCAGTGAAAGGGAAGGGGTTAATATGGAGACACTAGCTTCCTAACACACAGATTGTCAGTGAGAGGGAAAGGGTTAATATGGAAACACTAACTTCCTAACACGCAGATTGTCAGTGAGAAGGAATGGGTTAATATGGAAACACTAACTTACTAACACAGATTGTCTGAGAGGGAAGGGGTTAATATGCACACGCTAACTTAAAAACAAACATTGTCAGTGAGAGGGGAGGGGATAATATAGAGACACTAACTTCCTAACAAGCAAATTGTCAGTGAGAGGGAAGGGGTTAATATGCAAACACTAACACAGATTGTCAGTAAGAAGGAAGGGGTTAAAATGCAAATACTAACTTCCTAACAAGCAGATTGTCAGCGAGGGAGAAGGGGTTAATATGGAGACACTAACTTCCTAACACAGATTGTCAGTGAGAGGGAAGGGGTTACTATGCATGGCTTGTGGGCTACTGACTACATCTGTTTTGGAAAGCCACAGCCTGACAAACCACGAAACACAGTAAATGGCAAAGTCCGATACGCCGTGATCTTGACAGGCGCACAGTCGGATTTGCCGGCTTATGCGCTAACCTTACCCAAAACCCCACAGGTTATACTGTTGGAAATAATTAGTCCACAGCTTTATTAAAATTATTAATAAAATAATTAAGGAATAACAAATGGGGTCATTGCCAACAAATCTTATTAAAGTTAGCATCCCCCCCATATACATAACATACCCCTAGCAATGACCCCACAATAATAACAATAGATAACAATCTAAATAACATGTTAACACAGAAACTGGCCGCCCAATATAACCACATTTCCACCAAGTTAAATTGTAGGGGTGTACCGAGACACCGCTACCCACCATATCCATTGTAGGGGTGTACCAAGACACCGCTACCCACCATATCCATTGCAGGGGTGTACCAAGACACCGCTACCCACCATATCCATTGCAGGGGTGTACCAAGACACCGCTACCCACCATATCCATTGCAGGGGTGTACCAAGACACCGCTACCCACCATATCCATTGCAGGGGTGTACCAAGACACCGCTACCCACCATATCCATTGCAGGGGTGTACCAAGACACCGCTACACACCATATCCATTGCAGGGGTGTACCAAGACACCGCTACCCACCATATCCATTGCAGAGGTGTACCAAGACACAGCTACCCACCATATCCATTGCAGGGGTGTACCAAGACACCGCTACCCACCATATCCATTGCAGGGGTGTACCAAGACACCGCTACCCACCATATCCATTGCAGAGGTGTACCAAGACACAGCTACCCACCATATCCATTGTAGGGGCGTACCAAGTCACCACTACCCACCAGTTCCAGTGTAGGGTGTACCAAGACACTACCACACCCCCAGGTTCGGAGCCACCGATGGGCTCGAACCTACCAACCACTGCCCAATACACACTAAACGTCAGGATGCCCACTTTCTCCTCCATCTACCCTCCGATTTAACCAGGTCATTCCCCGCCGCTGTGAAAAAACAGGAAATCAACTAACCTAACCAAATACAGGGAGGGTGGGAGGGAACACTGACAGGTAAGCTTAGGTTCAGTTAAAATGGCCACTTCATATAGTGGCCGGTATAAATACTCCCCTTATAGCTTCGTCCTACCCAGCATGCTAGCTGTCACTAAATTCCTGTGGCTGCTATGCCTACCTCCTGGCTCTGTCAAGGCCTATTCCTCTTAGCTGCGCTGATCCATGGGCTACATTCTCAGAAACATAATTTTATAATATTTAAAACACGCCAAAGGAACATTATGGGGCACATTCGCCATTTTATTAACTATTAAGTAACACATAGATTATTATATGTTATACATCTTCCAAAGCCCAGGTTGCCGTCCTGTTTAAATATCATACATGTTCCGGGGCACAGGCTGCCATCCTGTTTATATATTATACATGTTCCGGGCCACAGGCTGCCGTCCCGTTTATATATTATACGTGTTCCGGACCCAGGCTACCGTCCTGTTGATATATTATAGATGTTCCGGGGCACAGGCTGCCATCCTGTTAATATATCATACATGTTCCGGGGCACAGGCTGCCATCCTATTTATATATTATACAAGTTCCGGGCCACAGGTTGCCGTCCCGTTTATATATTATACGTGCAATTTTGGGCGCCTGTTCTAAAGAAAGATATCATGGCACTAGAAAAAGTTCAGAGACGAGCTACAAAATTGATAAAAGGAATGGAGCATTTTAGTTATGAAGAAAGGTTAAAAAAAATTAAATCTGTTTAGTTTGGAAAAACGGCAACTGAGAGAGAATATGATAACATTATACAAATATATTCGGGGCCAGTACAAACCTTTATCTGGAAACCTATTCATAAACAGGGCTATACAAGGGACACAAGGTCACACATTTAGGCTGGAAGAAAGGAGATTTCATCTAAGGCAAAGAAAAGGTTTTTTTACAGTAAGAACAATAAGGATATGGAATTCTCTGCCTTAAGAGGTGGTGTTGTCAGAGTCATTACAGATATTTAAACTGCAATTGGATAAATACTTGCAAAAACATAACATACAGGGATATCATTTCTAATTAGTGGGGCAATAGCTGCTTGATCCAAGGAGATATCTGACTGCTATTTTGGGGTCAAGATGGAAATTTTTCTCAGTTTGTGGCAAAATTGGAAGCATAGGACATAGTATGCCTTCCTGTTTATATATTACACACAGGGCCAGATTAAGAGCCCAGTGGGGCCGGTGCTGACAATTATGAGGGGCCTAATTACAGAATCTTATCGAACTAAAACAGTCATACTTCTCACGCGTTATGTATCTGGTGGATATGGTGCCAGAGGGAAACTCATAGGATGCAGCTATAAGAAAACGCAGATTTTTGTGAAATATGCTAATCTCTCTCTAATTTATGCTTTCATCTTTCAAGTAAATCCATTCCCCCTAACAGCAGTGTCCAGTGAAGCAGGAAGTCAATGGGCGGTGTAAGAGGGTGGGCCACTGACGCTAATCACGTGGCCAGAACTGCCAAAAGGAGCCATGTCTTCCCAAAGAATTGGAAGGCTAGCCTGGCATCAGTGTCCCTATGTATCACAGTGTCAGTGTCCCCATGTCACCCCGTCCACTAGTCTCCCAGTGTCTGTGTCCTCATTGCTCCCAGTGTCCCCATGTCTCAGTGTTTGTCCTGTGTCACTAGGATACTAGGGGACACTGATACATTTTGGGACACTGGGAGACATGGGGACACTAGGGATACTGAGAGACATGGGAACATTGGGAGATATGGGGACACTGAGACACTAAGGACACTGAGAGACATGGGAACACAGACACTGGGAGACTAGGGGACACTGGGAGCCATAGGGACACTGAGACACTAGGGATACTGGCTGGGAGACATGGAGACACTGTGTCTTCAGTGTCTCCGTGTCCCAATGTGTCTCTCAATGTCCCTATGTCTCACAGCATCCCCTAGTGTCTTAGTGTCCCCAGTGTCCCCATGTTTCCCAGTGTCTCCAAGTGTCTGTGTCCCCATGTGTCTTAGTGTCCCCAGGTCTCCCAGTGTCCCCATGTTTCCAAGTGTCTCCAAGTGTCTGTGTCCCCATGTGTCCCCTAGTGTCTTAGTGTCCCCAGGTCTCCCAGTATCCCCTAGTGTCTGTGTCACCTAGTGTCTCAGTGTCCCCATGTCTCCCTGCTGCCTTTCCCCCCATTCCTCCCTTACCTGAGCTTTGGCTGTCTCTGCAGGTTGGAAGCTGCTGTATGGACTCTCTGTGCTGTGTAGCTGCTCCCCCACGGATCAGTGAGTAGAGAGAGGCAGGGAGATGCTGTAACTTCCTATCCCTGCCTCTCTCCACACACAGTAACCCCTACTGGCCGGTGCTGGTATTGAGAAAGATATCTGCATTTGTATTGCCGGCATTACTGCAATACCGGCACGGCCAGGCAGCCTCAAATACCACCTGTGCCAGTAAAATACCAGTCAGGTGGCAAACCTAAGAGTAGAGTGTAAAAAAAAATAAAAATGCAGCTCCATCAGCCCCTATGTTAATCCAGCCCTGATTATACATCTTCCGAGGCCCAGGCTGCCATCCTGTTTATATATTATATATGTTCCAGGGCCCAGGCTGCCGCCCTGTTTATATATTATACGTGTTCCGGGGCCCAGGCTGCCGTCCTGTTTATATATTATATATGTTCCAGGGCCCAGGCTGCCGTCCTGTTTATATATTATACATGTTCCAGGGCCCAGGCTGCCGTCCTGTTTATATATTATACATGTTCCGGTGCCCAGGCTGCCGTCCTGTTTATATATTATACATGTTCCGGTGCCCAGGCTGCCGTCCTGTTTATATATTATACGTGTTCCGGGGCCCAGGCTGCCGTCCTGTTTATATATTATACGTGTTCTGGGCCACAGGCTGCCGTCCTGTTTATATATTATACATGTTCCGGTGCCCAGGCTGCCGTCCTGTTTATATATCATACATGTTCCGGGGCCAAGGCTGCAGTCCTGTTTATATATTATACGTGTTCCGGGGCCCAGACTGCCGTCCTGTTTATATATTATACGCATTCCGGGGCCCAGGCTGCCGTCCTGTTTATATATTATACGTGTTCCGGTGCCCAGGCTGCCGTCCTGTTTATATATTATACGTGTTCCGGGGCCCAGACTGCCGTCCCTGTTTATATATTATCGTGTTCAGGCCCAGGCTGCGTCCTGTTATATATAATGCCTCCCGTGTTCAGGCCCAGGCTGCGTCCTGTTTATATATTATACGTGTTCCGGGGCCCAGGCTGCGTCCTGTTTATATATTATACATGTTCCGGGGCCCAGGCTGCCGTCCTGTTTATATATTATACTGTTCCAGTGCCCAGGCTGCCGCCCTGTTTATATATTATACATGTTCCCGGTGCCCAGGCTGCCGCCCTGTTTATATATTATACATGTTCCGGTGCGCCCTGTTTATATATTATACATGTTCCGGGGCCCAGGCTGCCGCCCTGTTTATATATTATACGTGTTCCGGGGCCCAGGCTGCCGTCCTGTTTATATATTATACGTGTTCCGGGGCCCAGGCTGCAGTCCTGTTTATATATTATACGTGTTCCGGGGCCCAGGCTGCCGTCCTGTTTATATATTATACATGTTCCGGGGCCCAGGCGGCCGTCCTGTTTATATATTATACATGTTCCGGGGCCAGACTGCCGTCCTGTTTATAAATTATACATGTTCCGGGGCCCAGACTGCCGTCCTGTTTATATATTATACGTGTTCCGGGGCCCAGGCTGCCGTCCTGTTTATATATTATACGTGTTCCGGGGCCAGGCTGCAGTCCTGTTTATATATTATCACGTGTTCAGGGGCCGGCTGCGCCCTGTTTATATTATACATGTTTACGAGGCCCAGGCTGCCGTCACGAACATATATTATACCACATGTTCCCGGGGCTGAACTGCGTCCCTGTTTATATATTATACATGTTCAGGCCCAGGCTGCCGTCCTGTTTATATAATATACATGTTCGGGGCCCCAGACGTCCTGTTTATATATTGCCATGTTCAGGCCGGTACCGTCTATTTATATATTATACATGTTCGGGGCCCAGGCTGCAGTCCTGTTTATATATTATCATTGTTCGGGGCCCAGGCTGCCGTCCTGTTTATATATTATACATGTTCAGGCCCAGGCTGCCGTCCCTGTTTATATATTATACATGTTCGAGCCCAGACTGCGGCCTGTTTATATATTATACATGTTCCGGGGCCCAGGCTGCCGTCCTGTTTATATATTATACATGTTCCAGTGCCCAGACTGCCGTCGTGTTTATATATTATACATGTTCCGGGCCCAGACTGCCATCCTGTTTATATATTATACGTGTTCCGGGGCCCAGGCTGCCGCCCTGTTTATATATTATACATGTTCCGGGGCCCAGGCTGCCGTCCTGTTTATATATTATACATGTTCCGGGGCCCAGACTGCCGTCCTGTTTATATATTATACGTGTTCCGGGGCCCAGGCTGCCGCCCTGTTTATATATTATACATGTTCCGGGGCCCAGGCTGCCTTCCTGTTTATATATACGTGTTCTGGGGCCCAGGCTGCCGTCCTGTTTATATATTATACGTGTTCCGGGGCCCAGGCTGCCGTCCTGTTTATATATTATACATGTTCCGGTGCCCAGGCTGCCGTCCTGTTTATATATTATACGTGTTCCGGGGCCCAGGCTGCAGTCCTGTTTATATATTATACATGTTCCAGTGCCCAGGCTGCAGTCTTGTTTACATATTATACGTGTTCCGGGGCCCAGGCTGCCACCCTGTATATATATTTACTTGTTCCGGGGCCCAGGCTGCTATCCTGTTTATATATTATACGTGTTCCGGGCCACAGGCTGCCGTCCTGTTGATATATTATACGTGTTCTGGGGCCCAGGCTGCCGTCCTGTTTATATATTATAGATGTTCCGGGGCACAGGCTGCCATCCTGTTAATATATCATACATGTTCCGGGGCACAGGCTGCCATCCTATTTATATATTATACAAGTTCCGGGCCACAGGCTGCCGTCCTGTTTATATATTATATATGTTCCAGGGCCCAGGCTGCCGTCCTGTTCATATATTATACATGTTCCAGGGCCCAGGCTGCCACCCTGTATATATATTTACTTGTTCCGGGGCCCAGGCTGCTATCCTGTTTATATATTATACGTGTTCCGGGCCACAGGCTGCCGTCCTGTTGATATATTATACGTGTTCTGGGGCCCAGGCTGCCATCCTGTTAATATATCATACATGTTCCGGGGCACAGGCTGCCATCCTATTTATATATTATACAAGTTCCGGGCCACAGGCTGCCGTCCTGTTTATATATTATATATGTTCCAGGGCCCAGGCTGCCGTCCTGTTCATATATTATACATGTTCCAGGGCCCAGGCTGCCGTCCTGTTTATATATTATACATGTTCCGGTGCCCAGGCTGCCGTCCTGTTTATATATTATACATGTTCCGGTGCCCAGGCTGCCGTCCTGTTTATATATTATACGTGTTCCGGGGCCCAGGCTGCCGTCCTGTTTATATATTATACGTGTTCGGGGCCCAGGCTGCCGTCCTGTTTATATATTATACGTGTTCTGGGCCACAGGCTGCCGTCCTGTTTATATATTATACATGTTCCGGTGCCCAGGCTGCCGTCCTGTTTATATATCATACATGTTCCGGGGCCAAGGCTGCCGTCCTGTTTATATATTATACCTGTTCCAGTGCCCAGGCTGCCGTCCTGTTTATATATTATACGTGTTCCGGGGCCCAGACTGCCGTCCTGTTTATATATTATACGTGTTCTGGGGCCCAGGCTGCCGTCCTGTTTATATATTATACGTGTTCCGGGGCCCAGGCTCCTGTCCTGTTTATATATTATACATGTTCCAGGGCCCAGGCTGCCGTCCTGTTTATATATTATACGTGTTCCGGGGCCCAGGCTGCAGTCCTGTTTATATATTATACGTGTTCCGGGGCCCAGGCTGCCGTCCTGTTTATATATTATACGTGTTCCGGGGCCCAGACTGCCGTCCTGTTTATATATGATACATGTTCCGGGGCCCAGGCTGCCGTCCTGTTTATATATTATACGTGTTCCGGGGCCCAGGCTGCCGTCCTGTTTATATATTATACGTGTTCCGGGGCCCAGGCTGCAGTCCTGTTTATATATTATACGTGTTCCGGGGCCCAGGCTGCCGTCCTGTTTATATATTATACATGTTCCGGGGCCCAGGCTGCCGTCCTGTTTATATATTATACATGTTCCGGGGCCCAGGCTGCCGTCCTGTTTATATATTATACGTGTTCCGGGGCCCAGGCTGCCGTCCTGTTTATATATTATACGTGTTCCGGGGCCCAGGCTGCCGTCCTGTTTATATATTATACGTGTTCCGGGGCCCAGGCTGCCGTCCTGTTTATATATTATACGTGTTCCGGGGCCCAGGCTGCTGTCCTGTTTATATATTATACGTGTTCCGGGGCCAGGCTGCAGTCCTGTTTTTATATATTATACGTGTTCCGGGGCCCAGGCTGCTGTCCTGTTTATATATTATACGTGTTCCGGGGCCCAGGCTGCCGTCCTGTTTATATATTATACGTGTTCCGGGGCCCAGGCTGCAGTCCTGTTTACATATTATACGTGTTCAAGGGCCCGGTCTGTAGTCTGACATTCTGAAAATACTGCTTACTATCGCCCACAAATCAGTGGGTCCTTGCACAGAATCGGAAAATGGATCCAGATATGTGGCATAGCTTGAGGGTTTCTTTAGAAAAATGACTAGGTTTGAGGAATTCACTCGGGCGTTGTACTATGCTGTTTTTCCCAACAAAAAGGACACTTTCTACTTCCAAGTCTGAGCAGTTGGGTTTATGCAATGTGGTCATGGTGCTTTATTTATTCTTTGATTTCAGCAACTGCTAGTGCCACTATAATAGAGCAAAGCACCAAATAGTAAAAATATGGGTTATCAACCCAAAATCAGGGGAAAAAATTATATTAAAAACCTGCCTTGTTGTACGTGACGCATTCTTATTAAATGAGAAATTTGGACACTGGTAAAGATGTATCCTAGTAAACAGGGTAGTTGGTCACTGGTAAAGATACGTCCTAGCAAACAGGGTAATTGGTCTCTAGTAACGATGTATCCTAGCAAACAGGGTAATCAGTCACTGGTAAAGATACGTCCTAGCAAACAGGGTAATTGGTCTCTGGTAACGATGTATCCTAGCAAACAGGGTAATCAGTCACTGGAAAAGATACATCCTAGTAAAGAGGGTAATTGGTCACTGGTAAAGATGTATCCTAGTAAACAGGGTTATTGGTCACTGGTAAATATGCATCCTAGCAAACAGGGTAATTGGTCACTGGTAAAATTGTGTTCTAGTAAACAGGGTAATTGGTCACTGGTAAAGATGTGTCCTAATGAACAGGGTAGTTGGTCACTGGTAAAGATGTGTCCTAGCAAACAGGGTAATTGGTCACTGGTAAAATTGTGTTCTAGTAAACAGGGTAATTGGTCACTGGTAAAGATGTGTCCTAATGAACAGGGTAGTTGGTCACTGGTAAAGATGTGTCCTAGCAAACAGGGTAATTGGTCACTGGTAAAATTGTGTTCTAGTAAACAGGGTAATTGGTCACTGGTAAAGATGTGTCCTAATGAACAGGGTAGTTGGTCACTGGTAAAGATGTGTCCTAGCAAACAGGGTAATTGGTCACTGGTAAAATTGTGTTCTAGTAAACAGGGTAATTGGTCACTGGTAAAGATGTGTCCTAATGAACAGGGTAGTTGGTCACTGGTAAAGATGTGTCCTAGCAAACAGGGTAATTGGTCACTGGTAAAATTGTGTTCTAGTAAACAGGGTAATTGGTCACTGGTAAAGATGTGTCCTAGCAAACAGGGTTATTGGTCACTGGTAAAGAGGCATCCTAGCAAACAGGGTAATTGTTCACTGGTAGAGATGCGTCCTACCAAACAGGGTAATTGGTCACTGATAAAGAATTGTCCTAGCAAACAGGGTAATTGGTCACTGGTAAAGATGCATCCTATTAAACAGGGTAATTGGTCACTGGTAAAGATGCGTCCTAGCAAACAGGGTAATTGGTCACTGGTAGAGATGCGTCTTAGCAAACAGGGTAATTGGTCACTGGTAAAGATGTGTCCTAATGAACAGGGTAGTTGGTCACTGGTAAAGATGTGTCCTAGCAAACAGGGTTATTGGTCACTGGTAAAGAGGCATCCTAGCAAACAGGGTAATTGGTCACTGGTAGAGATGCGTCCTACCAAACAGGGTAGTTGGTCACTGATAAAGAATTGTCCTAGCAAACAGGGTAATTGGTCACTGGTAAAGATGCGTCCTATTAAACAGGGTAATCGGTCACTGGTAAAAATGTGTCCTAGTAAACAGGGTAATTGGTCACTGGTAAAGAGGCTTCCTAGCAAACAGGGTAATTGGTCACTGGTAAAGATGTATCCTAGTAAACAGGGTTATTGGTCACTGGTAAATATGCATCCTAGCAAACAGGGTAATTGGTCACTGGTAAAGATGCTTCCTAGCAAACAGGGTAATTGGTCACTGGTAAAGATGTGTCCTAGCAAACAGGGTTATTGGTCACTGGTAAAGATGTGTCCTAGTGAACATGGTAGTTGGTCACTGGTAAAAATGTGTCCTAGTAAAAAGGGTAATTGGTCACTGGTAAAGATGTATCCTAGTAAACAGGGTTATTGGTCACTGGTAAATATGCATCCTAGCAAACAGGGTTATTGGTCACTGGTAAAAATGTGTCCTAGTAAAAATGGTAATTGGTCACTGGTAAAGATGTGTCCTAGTGAACAGGGTAGTTGGTCACTGGTAAAGATGTATCCTAGTAAACAGGGTTATTGGTCACTGGTAAAGATGTATCCTAGTGAACAGGGTAGTTGGTCACTGGTAAAGATGTGTCCTAGTAAACAGGGTAATTTGTCACTGGTAAAGAGGATTCCTAGCAAACAGGGTAATTGGTCATTGAAAGAGATGTGTCCTAGTAAACAGGGTAATTGGTCACTGGTAAAGATGTATCCTAGTAAACAGGGTAATTGGTCACTGGTAAAAATGTGTTCTAGTAAACAGGGTAATTGGTCACTGGTAAAAAGGTGGTCTAGTAAACAGGGTAATTGGTCACTGGTAAATAATGGTAAAGAAACCTAGATTGCAGCCCCACAACAAGTCAAAGTTGTTATACTCACTGAAGATGGCAGCTTGTGAGGAGTTCACGCAGCATGCAGTACAGCAACCTTTCCTGGTTGGGGCATTTGAGGCTTTATGTCCGGATATCTGATGGACCGTCTACTCACCTCAACTCATGGCCACAAAAAGATTGAAGGTCAGGAGGCTGTCTGTTGAAAGCAGGGTGATCTGTACCCCTCCTGGGCTGTGGACCTCACAGGGTATTAGCCCTGGACTTAGTGCACATCCTTGGAGGTTCACTACTGAACTCTCTGAGGACACTGTCCATTACGTGACAGAGTATGGGGTCTATGGACTTAAGGTCTTGGCCCTCAATCTGGCCTGGGGCAGGAGCTCTGACACTCAGGAGAAGAGCTGGGACTCTCAGACTGGTCTTCAGCTGGCACCTCGGAGACAAAGGCCCACTCTGAAAGTGGGAATAGGTTCATTTCAAGGCCGATGGTGCCTGAACACAGAACCTCCAGTGGCATGTCCTAGCTACATGCTTGCCACTTGTTATGTTTTCTTATTATTTCATAGTCACAGTTGACTACCCATTTCAATAAGTGATCAGAGTGGGGCTAGGTCACGTTCTTAGGGGCCTGTCTGGTATACAGGGAGTGCAGAATTATTAGGCAAGTTGTATTTTTGAGGATTAATTTTATTATTGAACAACAACCATGTTCTCAATGAACCCAAAAAACTCATTAATATCAAAGCTGAATATTTTTGGAAGTAGTTTTTAGTTTGTTTTTAGTTTTAGCTATGTTAGGGGGATATCTGTGTGTGCAGGTGACTATTACTGTGCATAATTATTAGGCAACTTAACAAAAAACAAATATATACCCATTTCAATTATTTATTATTACCAGTGAAACCAATATAACATCTCAACATTCACAAATATACATTTCTGACATTCAAAAACAAAACAAAAACAAATCAGTGACCAATATAGCCACCTTTCTTTGCAAGGACACTCAAAAGCCTGCCATCCATGGATTCTGTCAGTGTTTTGATCTGTTCACCATCAACATTGCGTGCAGCAGCAACCACAGCCTCCCAGACACTGTTCAGAGAGGTGTACTGTTTTCCCTCCTTGTAAATCTCACATTTGATGATGGACCACAGGTTCTCAATGGGGTTCAGATCAGGTGAACAAGGAGGCCATGTCATTAGATTTTCTTCTTTTATACCCTTTCTTGCCAGCCACGCTGTGGAGTACTTGGACGCGTGTGATGGAGCATTGTCCTGCATGAAAATCATGTTTTTCTTGAAGGATGCAGACTTCTTCCTGTACCACTGCTTGAAGAAGGTGTCTTCCAGGAACTGGCAGTAGGACTGGGAGTTGAGCTTGACTCCATCCTCAACCCGAAAAGGCCCCACAAGCTCATCTTTGATGATACCAGCCCAAACCAGTACTCCACCTCCACCTTGCTGGCGTCTGAGTCGGACTGGAGCTCTCTGCCCTTTACCAATCCAGCCACGGGCCCATCCATCTGGCCCATCAAGACTCACTCTCATTTCATCAGTCCATAAAACCTTAGAAAAATCAGTCTTGAGATATTTCTTGGCCCAGTCTTGACGTTTCAGCTTGTGTGTCTTGTTCAGTGGTGGTCGTCTTTCAGCCTTTCTTACCTTGGCCATGTCTCTGAGTATTGCACACCTTGTGCTTTTGGGCACTCCAGTGATGTTGCAGCTCTGAAATATGGCCAAACTGGTGGCAAGTGGCATCGTGGCAGCTGCACGCTTGACTTTTCTCAGTTCATGGGCAGTTATTTTGCGCCTTGGTTTTTCCACACGCTTCTTGCGACCCTGTTGACTATTTTGAATGAAACGCTTGATTGTTCGATGATCACGCTTCAGAAGCTTTGCAATTTTAAGAGTGCTGCATCCCTCTGCAAGATATCTCACTATTTTTGACTTTTCTGAGCCTGTCAAGTCCTTCTTTTGACCCATTTTGCCAAAGGAAAGGAAGTTGCCTAATAATTATGCACACCTGATATAGGGTGTTGATGTCATTAGACCACACCCCTTCTCATTACAGAGATGCACATCACCTAATATGCTTAATTGGTAGTAGGCTTTCGAGCCTATACAGCTTGGAGTAAGACAACATGCATAAAGAGGATGATGTGGTCAAAATACTCATTTGCCTAATAATTCTGCACTCCCTGTATATCAGCAGGACCCAAGCTATAAGTTTTCCTTTTTAATAGTTACTATAATGCCTTGTTTATTGTACTACCTACACTCATTCCTCTCCTATATAGTTTGTTTCACGGTGTAGATCATATTACTGTCTAGCATGTCATTTTTTATTATGCAATACTTACTCATGTTATCAGGGGTCAATTCACCACGGCTGTTTAAACATTATTACGTAGTTCGAGCCTCTGAGACCTTACTCATGATATACCTAAACAATTTGTGAAGTTTATTCGATTGTCACACGTTTGTTATGATTGTACACAACTGCTTATTGTTACAACTTTGACATATACGTTATAAGCTTATTTGTATTCTGATGCAGAGCAAAATTACAGAGTATTTATATATATATAGTTAATACAATGTTAAACAAATATCTGCACACCAGTCAAGCCTTAAGACTTGCTTTCCCACAGAAATCACACATTTGCAGTGATGTTACTACTGCAAAGGATTCTGGGTGGGCATATGCAAATTAGTTTAACAAAGAATCCCATTTTTGCCTCATTCCATTTTAAACATGGATTCCTTTGAGTCTGTGTTTGCTGTATACAACTGCTTGGAACACAATTTAGGAAAAGATGCAAAGCCAGTAAATATTTATGGCTTGACTGGTGTGCACATTTTTGTTTAACATTGTATTAACCACCCACACACTTCAGGTGGAAGGGGTTTTCAATCACAGTTTTTCCCCCACCATAACCTTTTTGGTTTTTGCTATAAATATAATATAAATAGAGACTGATTTACTTGCTGTTCTTTTTTCTCCATTTTTTCACATTTGCTGGTTGTCCATAACAATCCATCATAATTTTGTCATAGTTACATAGCTGAAAAGAGACTTGTGTCCATCAAGTTCAGCCTTCCTCACATTTGTTTTTTGCTGTTGATCCAAAAGAAGGCAAAAAAACCAATTTGAAGCACTTCCAATTTTGTGACAAAGTAGAAAACAAGTTCCTTCTTGACCCCAGAATGGCAGTCAGATTTATCCTTGGATCAAGCAGTTATTACCCTACATTGAAAGATTATATCCTTGAATATTCTGTTTTTGCAAGTATGCATCTAGTAGCTGTTTGAACATCTGTATGGACTCTGATAAAACCACTTCTTCATGCAGAGAATTCCACATCCTGATTGTTCTTACAGTAAAAAAAAACAACAAAAACTTGTTTTTGGCATCATAGATAAAAAAAATCCAAATTGTAATCAGACTAATTAGTTTAATCCGTTGTCCATTTTATTTGTTTTGTGGTTCATCCATATAGTGTCTTGGAGTTTGGGATTTTGGATAAACACAATTTGTTGGAAAGTCCAATAGATTTACAGCCCGGTATAATGTATGAGTGAGAGAGTATAAAATATACTTAAAATGTAGCTATCATTGTATAATTTTTAGCACATTATTATAGATTTAAAGCAAATTAAAATGAGCATGGTATATAAAATAGTTTAGTAGACAAATAGCTTGTATTAAACTGTTGTTGCACTAATTATATTGTATTTAATTTGGCAATTCCATAGCCCCCCAATAATAAACACTCCAAAGTCCTATCATTTCTTTTTTTACCCCGGTCTAGGAACTGGTGTGCGTACATGGTGACGCGGACAGTGAGCTGCATAGTGGAAGAAGGAGTGGAGACTTATGTCAAGCCAGAGTATCAACCGTGCGTCTGGGGTCAGATGCAATGTCCACGTAACGTGGTGTGAGTATTGGTGGAGATGAAATCCCTGAACTATTTCATTTATATGTTAAATTATATCATACAGAGTGAGCTCGAGAGATAATGCACATAACAGTAAATAATCCATCATGGGAAAACAAGGCTACTGAGGTGTCTCAAGAAAGCAGACACTGACATAATATAGGCATCATAACAAACCAGGTAAACATACACACAATAAACCAGGAGAACATAGACACATAGCCATAATGAACCAGGAGAACATAGACACAGACATAATAGAGACCTAAAAATAAACCAGTAGAACGTAGACAGAGACATAATAAACCAGGAGAATGTAGACACAGAGATAATACAGACCTCATAATAAACCAGGAGAACATAGACACATAGCCATAATGAACCAGGAGAACATAGACACAGACATAATAGAGACCTAAAAATAAACCAGGAGAACGTAGACAGAGACATAATAAACCAGGAGAATGTAGACACAGACATAATAGAGACCTAAAAATAAACCAGGAGAGCGTAGACAGAGACATAATAAACCAGGAGAATGTAGACACATAGACATAGTAAACCAGGAGAACATGGACATGGACATAATAAACCAGGAGAACGTAGACACATAGACATAGTAAACCAGGAGAACATAGACACGGACATAGTAAACCAGGAGAACATAGACACATAGACATAGTAAACCAGGAGAACATAGACACGGACATAATAAACCAGGAGAACATAGACACATAGACATAGTAAACCAGGAGAACATAGACACATAGACATAGTAAACCAGGAGAACATAGACACGGACATAATAAACCAGGAGAACATAGACACATAGACATAGTAAACCAGGAGAACATAGACACATAGACATAGTAAACCAGGAGAACATAGACACGGACATAATAAACCAGGAGAACGTAGACATATAGACATAATAACCCAGTAGACTGTAGACATAATGTAGACACACACGTAGACACACTTTATCATTATGTATTTTTTTTCTAAATTATTATTAAAGCTGGGGTTAATGTGAGGATTAGGATTAGTTAGGTTAGGATTAGGGTAAATTAGTGTTAGTGGAAGTAATAGGGCTAAGGCTAATTGATGTAACGGTTAGTGTATTATTAACAGCCTCACTGTACTGTGGAGGGAGAGGGGTTAGGTCCCTAACTGCTCCCACCTTTACACACAAATAGACTTGTCAAACCCCAAGTGACAGTGTCACTTTAATTTAGTGATATGCTGGGAGAGAAGCTGGGGAGAGAATTGAACTGCAGTTTGTTTTTTTTCCTCTTTGATTAATTATATGGCTGCAAAGTCCAGGGACCCTTAGACCTGTTGAATGAGCACTGGGAGGAAACAACTTTAGCAGAGATAACCCTTATAGAACTCAATGTGCTTGAATTTCAGTAGTACTTAGAGGAGCCAACTCATCTTGTTTTAGACAATCTCCAAGATGCTTAAACCTGACCACAAAATCGTGATCAGGAGAGCAATAACCGAGAGTTGTGGGTAAGCCAGAAAGTCCTAGTACTCAGACAGATCCAACCAAACAAACTCCAGGAAGCCTAGGAAAAATCCTACTGTATTGTAAAGACGTTATATGATTGTCAAATGTTCAGAGGAAAGGGTACTTTTCCCATGGACATGTTAAAGGAGTGCAGGCATACAGCATAAACAGCATCAACCATGGCAGTAATAGTGGTATGGGTCCCATTTTTGACTTATTGGTGGCAACTTGCGGTCCTAGCTCTATAGAGCAAGTGACAATTGGTGACCTTCTAGGACCAGCTGAGCGAGCAAGCTAGTCACTGACGCATATTTTTGTTGAAAACTGGTATTACTCATCTTACTTCTGATCAAATGGAGACCCCCGGACAGGCCCCACTTAGACAATCTGCCAACTTGAAGTGGTTAAGAAAAACAGTATATGTGTAAACAAACCAAAAAGTGCAATTAGTGCCAAATTAGGTACAAGCAGAAAAAAACTTCCCTGTACAAGGTGAAGCTTTCAATGGTATCCCCAAAGACTTCCTCCTGTCTTCCACTTCAATGTAAGCAAAAAATAGGGGATGATCTGCTAAAACAATAACAAACTAAAAAACATAGCGTATAACTGTGTATATGAATTAACCACAAGTGCTGTATTCACAAATGGCCACTCACATTTTATTATTCATTTGAATCCTGTTACTGCACACTACCAAAGTCCCTGAGGAAGTCCCATACACGGACGAAACACGTAGGACCCCTGGTGGTGACTCAGAGATACTACACCTATTGCTTTAACCTTGATGTAAGTGATTAAATTGATTTTTTACTACATTTTATTTTTTCTCTCTTGAGCACATATACTCCAGCCAATCCATGGTGATTTAAATACAGATGGAAGAATGAATCCTTGGAAGGAATTTATAATGAAAGCTCTTTAACTTCAGTGAATGTGTGAGTGGCCATTTGTGAATACAGCACTTGTGGTTAATTCATACACACAGTTATACGCTATGTTTTTTCGTTTGTTATTGGTTTAGCAGATCATCCCCTATTTTTTGCTTATATTGAAGTGGTTAAGGAGAGATGACAGAGTTAGGCATCATCGAGCCCTCAATTAGCCCAGGGACCTTCCCTATGGTTCTGGTATCTAAGAGAGACCACAAGGTTTGCATGGACCACCGATGACTCAATGACAAGATCATGACTGAAGCATATCTCAGCTCCTGTACAATATGCAGGACACTACATCACAACACTGGATCTGAGCAAGGAAAACTCCAGCATCCAAACCAAGTCTGCGTTCATCACCCCGTACCACTTTAAGGTACTATTGTGCCGGATGAAGCACGTCCCTGCCACATACCAGCAGATACTAGATTGTTTACTCTGTGATTTACAGAATCTTACCTGTAAAACCAGAACAATGAGTAAGCGATAAATAACACGAGGTAGCAGCAACCCTATAAGGGGATCCCTCAAATAAAACACAGAAAGGTAAAAATAAATACAAGTAAGGGCTGCGCTTGAATAAAACTCTGTAAAATATGAATAGTCCAGATAAAATAAATGGATAAAAGGAGAAAGTCTTATCTGGAAACGTCTATTGGAATCGTATTGTATGGTGGTATTTGGTCCAGAACAATAGTCTTTATTTGTATCTTTCTTGTAGGTCGTCTCATATGCAAAAGATAAAAACAAAAACAGAACCAAATAGTGTAGTATATTTTGATAGTAGAGGAAGTTGAAATATAAATCTTGATTGCAAACTCACATTTAGAAGAGCTAGAACCCGCTCTGGTGTAAAAGGCGTGCAGCGGTTTGATCCCCGCTTGTAGGATATGGAGTAACTTTCCTTTGTATATTTCCTCCTTCCGTAATATGAAAGATACTTGGATAAAAAGAGACAGCCAATAGTGTTCTCTGAATAAAAGCTTTAAATAAAATATATGTAATAAAAGTGGGTACTCACAAGATAGGAGCAGATCAACTGCTCCTTGTAGTTAGCGTTGATGGTATAATATTTTTTATTTATTTTGTTTGTCATCATGCCTGGTCACACTACTTAGTAGACCAGGCATGATGCTGTTAAGATCCAAGCCGGCCGCAGCTTCTGTGCATGCCGACTTGTTTCTATGTATTATTTCCTTGCCGACATTCTCACCCCTCCTTCTGACGTCAGCCGCATGTCTATGCGGGCTGACATCTCTCCCACGCCCCCCTCACTGGCGTCAGCCGCATCCTTTTAGCGTGCCGACGCCATCCGTTTTCTCCCCCATTATGACGCCGGCGGCTGAGCAGTGCCTGCCGGCGTCATACTACATTTCCCAGAACAACTTCCGGTTTCATGCCAGTCTGGCAGATCTGCTCCTATCTTGTGAGTACCCACTTTTATTACATATATTTTATTTAAAGCTTTTATTCAGAGAACACTACTGGCTGTCTCTTTTTATCCAAGTATCTTTCATATTACGGAAGGAGGAAATATACAAAGGAAAGTTACTCCATATCCTATAAGCGGGGATCAAACCGCTGCACGTCTTTTACACCAGAGCGGGTTCTAGCTCTTCTAAATGTGAGTCAAGATTTATATTTCTACTTCCTCTACTATCAAAATATACTACACTATTTGGTTCTGTTTTTGTTTTTATCTTTTGCATATGAGACGACCTACAAGGAAGATACAAATAAAGACTATTGTTCTGGACCAAATACCACCATTCAATACGATTCCAATAGACGTTTCCAGATAAGACTTTCTTCTTTTATCCATTTATTTTATCTGGACTATTTGTATTTTACAGAGTTTTATTCAAGCGCAGCCCTTACTTGTATTTATTTTTACCTTTCAGAATCTTACCTGTGCCTACTAAGATTACAGTGTCATGTATTTAGGAAGACTGGGCATAACATCTAAAGCATGTGGCTGACGTATTAGAAAGGATCCAAGCCGCAAGCATGACATTCAAACCTTTTTGGGTACTGGCAGTTATTACCGCAAGTTCATCTCCAGATATAGCTCCCTAGCTAAATACCTGATGGACGTGACCAAAAAGAATCTTCCCAAATTAGTCTTAAGTCAAGTCAAAGACAGAGGGGAAGAACATCCAGTGGCGTTCATCATTTGCAAGTAATTATCCCAGGAGGTATCTTATGAAGTAGTTGAAAAGGAATCAAAGAAAAAAAAAGTTACCTGCGCACCTCCCAAATCCCTATGCATATTTAACCCCCTAAGGACACATGACGTGTGACATGTCATGATTCCCTTTTATTCCAGAAGTTTGGTCCTTAAGGGGTTAAATAAATGGAGGTTATTTAGTAACTACAATGGCCATTAGATGCAAGCCCACCTGCCACGTCAAAACAAACCCTATTAGGTGGGTCCTACACTGACTATTCACCTTGCTTCCTTGAGCTACTGGCAAAGATATCTCTAATGAGACAGAGAGGGGTATTTTGATAAAACCCCTACATACTTATTAACCCTTTATAGGGAACATATGGGAAGGGCAGTAGCATTGTAACATAGATGTGTGATACAAAAATGACGAGCGCCGCAGGAGTCAGATAAGTGTAATCTGGCAGCATTCACATTTCCATGTGGAAACCAGCCGCAATGAGGTGCACTCGCTGGGTCCGAGACCGCTCTGACAGGAAAGGATCCGGCTGGCACCATGACATCACCCAAGCAAGAGTCTAGAAGCAAAATGTGAGAAGTTCCTATTTTTATTTAACAACTTACCAAAGGCACTTAACCTGTATCGGTGACTGTTCCTTTCATTTACTGTGTGCCAGAACATTTCACATATTACCTGAAGCAATGGCACTCCCTCTTCTTGTTTGTGAACCCACTTTGAGCAAATAGCATAAGGAGAACATCGCAAAGGAGTGGAGCAACTGAAATGAGAAAACAATTTAGTAGAAACACAAAACACAATGGAAGAACAGCTAACCTTTTATTAATGTTGAGACGTTCCATGCCGTCCTCTACAGAATGGACTTTAACATTGCTCGGACGGACGGCATGAAACATTTCATGTTTTGGGTTAGTGTTGTTTTATGGTTTGGAAGAGTGTAGGATTAAGGTTAGCAGTGGGGTTAGAGTTAGGGTTGTGGCTGTGGTAGGGTACACTTAGGGTTAGTTGTAGGGTTAGGTTAAGGTAAAGGGACACTATTGGCACACAGACTTCTTTCAGCTCATAGAAGTGGTTTGGGTGCAGTGTCCCATGTACCTTAACCCTGCAGTGGTAATTATTGAATTTTTTTAATAAACTGCAATAATTACCTGTCAGTATTAACTCCACCTCTAGTGGCTGTCTACCAGCTAACTGACATTGGACATCCTCGCGCTAGCGTCACCCAAAACCCCATAAGAAAAAAATGATACAATGCTTTCCTAAGGGGGAGGTCCTAAGGCGAGTGAAGCGATTGGTTAAGTACCAAATATTAATTTAGATCCTAGACATATTAGGCATTTAACAATTCGGACTGTTACATACATTTATTCTGAGCTATTTTTCAGTAGTTGAACTTGATATGTAAAGATTATTATAAGCAAAAGTGAAAAAAAATGTTTATAGTCTCATAGATACACACTCACACAAATCCACGCATATACAGACACACTTCCAAACAATATACCCACAGTCATATTCATAGAAAAATATATACTCTCACAAACTCACACAATATACTTTTACAGACAATCACAATCAGAAAAACACACAAACATATACAATCACCTTATACTCGGATAAACATTAATTGAAAAACACACATACACATGTAATATACTCTCACAAAGACAAACACAGATATACCAACACATATGTTATGCTCTAGAACTATCCAGGATATATCACTTTTACAAGTTCTTTACCAACATACATTCTAGTTTTTTACTAGTTAACACTAGAAACATCTTGTTGTCTGTTTGTTTATGGTAGGATTTATTTGCATCCTGTTACAATATGAAATATTTACAGCTTGAGGCTGGAGTATCTGAAAACCTTTCCTTTTCTTTCAGGTATCGCAGCTTTGTGAGACCCCGCTACAAAGTTTCTTACAAGACAATCTCTGACATGGAGTGGAGATGCTGTCATGGATATTCAGGGGACGACTGTATGGAAGGGCCTGCAGGGGGCGCTCAAGTCACCACTACAAGACCAAGACCTAAACCTGTACGTCCCAATCCATCTGGATCCAATGCTGGAAACAGCCAAAGTGGCTCTGGAGGAGAAGGTGGGTGAGACACTAAGAACATGTTTCCCTTTGACTAGATGAACTGCACCCCAAAAATTGCTCTCCATAATCTCCATCTAATAGTCCAGCAGAACACATTGTTTCTGGGTTTCAGGGGTGCCATACTGACAGCTGATCACTGCCTTCCTGGCATTACTATTAAACAAGCTACCAAATATAACTGCACTAAATCTAATCCAATTATCTCCAAGCACAGAAAAAAAACATTTTTGAAACACCCCAAAAGTACCCTAAAATACACACAAATGTTACATCCCCTGATAGCCCTGATCTGGGTGACCAACATATCCAAAAATCACCCAGATCAGTTCAGGGGTTCAGAAATTTTATGGAAGTCATAGTTTTTACAGACCGCACGCATGGTCCCATAGCCGAAAACAGTTCCATAGAATCACGGCTAAGTGCTGCTGAAGGACCGACTGGGAACCGGGCAGTTTTCATGCTGAAAATATTTCCAGGGCACACGCAGCTAAGTCCCCCTTAAGTCTATTTGCGGTTTTGGTCGATGCGAACAAGATGGCCACCACCTCGTGGTCGTCCATAGGAATTGTGGCTACCCAGACAAACACTTAGACCACATAGGTGGAAATTGCAACAATGTATCAATTAAGCTTAACAAGCTCCAGTTAAAAAAGGTCCAATAGGACAAAAAAAGAAACAAAATGGACCACACACACAAATACAGATAGTACTATATATAATACCAAAAAAACACAAACAATAATTGATGAAAAAGTATATATATTAATAATGGCTAAAAAATAGCCTTCGTAAGACAATATAGACAAGCATCTTTCGTATACTATCGTGAAGATACGAAATAGGTAGTGAATGAAAAAACGAGGCATCAAACCTCTGTATCTATAGTAACATGGTGCTGCTGTGTCTATACAAGTGTATTATACTGGGGGTAATGTTTAGATACTTCTGCTGGGTGTCACCATCAATGGGATAGTCATTATATCTCTCAATGTGGGATCAAATCTTCAGCTGCTACTACTAGTAATGACCGTCTATATAGCCGCACAGTTAGGAGGCTATTTGTACAAAAAGATGTGATAAAGGTATATGTACCCTATCCCTGATTAAGGAGTATATCAATGATTAGTATGTACATATTATCCACTACTTGACAAAAATGCCGTTGGCAACATGGTCGCTGAGTACAACTGCAATGTTTCTACAATGTTGCAGATAACTTGTTTTGTATCATAGATTAGGCAATAAAGCTGTTAATTTATTTACTGTATACAGATAAATATAGAATGGTGTCATTTGCATATTAGGGGGAATAACCCGGGAAGGTCGATGGGCACTGGGCAGGTGAAATCAGCACTGGGTGATCGCTAACTCGTCATATTGTTCCTTCGAGGGCACCCCTTAACCCCACCAACAAAAACCCGCCCTGTACTGGTTGTAAACAAAAAAAGAAATCGCACCCAGAATATCAATTGAGATGGTATGATAATAATCTGGGTGGGAGTTCTTTTTGTTTACAACCAGTACAGGGTGGGTTTTTGTTGGTGGGGTTAAGGGGTGACCTCGAAGGTAAAACCGTTAGCAGATACATGTGGTGACCAGATACCAGTTTCAGGGACACACATCATTTTGTCACATTTATAAAACCTCATGAAAAGGATTGCACTGCAGTGTGTATAATGCATATTCTGCAGGATATATTGTCTAATTACTTAATCCTATGCATTTTCTTCTGGATTCTACAAACTAAAGGGCAACCCTTTTCATGTGCTGCCCATCAATATGTATACATGATATCTATCCCTGAACACATGGTGGGTATGGTAACCCTGTACATAAATGACCACACTCCAATACCATGCCTCTAATGGTTGTGAGGCTGACAGTGCTCTAGGCACCTTAGAACGATGCCAAACACTCTCTCTTGATGTCTCTAACAGAGAAGCATTTCATTCATGTCATGGTGAAGCAGGGCAATTGCCACACATTGGTCTTCTCTCCCATATGCTTCTCTAAAAGAAGAATTGAATTGGGTTAAAGTCATCATTATTGATGACTTTACTGGAGGCAAGGTGGCTACTCCTTGAAGGCTGACCCACCGCTGGAATAAAGGTTATATGGCTTCACCAGAGCCATTGGCCCTTTTAGTGTGTGTGTGTGTGTGTGTGTATTCTGTATATTTAAAGCATTTGCTGTGAAATTCATTTTTTTATCTTCCATCTCCAGGTAAAGGTGACTCAGAAAAAGTAAAGCAACTTGAAGACAAGGTGCATCGTCTAACCAAGGAGCTGCAGAATCTGCAGTCTACAATGCAGAGCATGAATGAAAAATTCCAAACAGAGATAAAACTGGTCCTCAATGGGAAGCAGCTTGCAGATTCAGCCAATGGGCAACCTGAAATAAAGGATACACTGATTGATATACAGAGCAAGTTAACAGAGCTTGACAACAGAATCACATTTCATGATGATGAACTGGGTAAAATAAACATTGCAGACACCAAGCACCCAAGCAGCACAGACAGCTCAGTAAGCCAGAAGATGACAGAATTGCGCCTGGATATCCTCAAAGAGGTGGAGAGGAGAATGCAGCAGTCCTGTTCTGCTTGTCTCTCGGGAGTGGAAGGACTCCAGAACCAGCAGAATGAAGAAAGGGATAACATTCGAGGGCTTGAGAAGCTTATCAGTTCTATAGACCAAAGGAACCGTGAGGCTGTGCATAACATTCAGGCCCATGTGGTTGAGCTAAACACACGGCTTTCAAGGGATTGCTGTTCAGAGGTAAATGACCTGCGCAAAAAAGTTGAAGAAACTGAAAGGAAAACTGAAACATTGTCTGGATCTGTAAATGCTCTTACTGTGCATATAGACAGCAAACTCGGTGGGATTGACAAAGAAAGTGTCACCCAGATAGACCAGAACTTGAATACTCGTCTAGAAAACATTGAGGGCAGGATGAACATCACACAGAGGAGTCTTGAAGATCATTATTACCACTATCGGGATGATGTCCAAGACGAAATCAACAAATTGAGGGATGATTTAGAAAACCGCATAAACAGCAATGAGAAGAAAATAAATACACTTTTGACTGAGCTAGTAAACAGTTCTGGGATTGATGACTCGATCTTTCAGACTATATCTAGCTTTGGTCAAGATATCACTTCATTAAAGAATCAGCAAGGGAAGAACAATGTTGGTATTAGGAATGCACTTCAGGAAATTGAAGGCTTGAGAAGACAGGTAACTAGCACAATGAATAGCTGTGCTGATGAATGCAACACCAGTAACTCAGAAATAAAAAAGATTTTCTCTGAACTGGAAAAAAGGGTGAATGGAAACGAAGACAAGATCCGCATCATAAACTCAGACATTAATGATCTTCAGTTATCAGGGAACTCTTTGCAAGATACACTTCAAGGTCTTGACTTTGAGTTAACTAACATTAAGGTAGTTGTAGAAGACAACAGGGGGTCCTTGACCAATATCTCTACTGTTTTGGAGGACCTAGAAGACAGACTCACAACCACCATCCTCACAGGAATGGACACTTACGAATCCACAAATAAAGAGATTGATAATTATCAAAATGAGACCAATAGGAGGATGATTGATATGGAGAATGGCCTAAAGACTCTTACTAAAATGATACAGTTTGATTACAAAAGCTGTGGGCAGGTATGCTCCAACTTGCAGGAAGAGGTGGGAAAGCTGAAAGAACAGGTTGAGGAATGCAGGAGCACATGCCAACTCATTCAGAAGAAAGCAGAGGAGGGAAAGGAACACACTAGCTTCAACAAGTCATTAGATGGTTTTAGTGTCATTGGAGGAAGCTCAAACAAGGAACTCAAGTCAATGCAAGGTGAATTGTCAAACATCATTGTGACCTTCAGCTCCTTAAATGACACAATTAAAGACCTTCAAGAGACTGTGGGGAAACACCAAACAGATATAATTGAGCTTGGAACAACAAAAGACAAAATCATTTCTGAGATAAATAAGGTTCAAGTGGAGGTGACAGTGCACAGTGGAGAAAACTCAGAGAAACTTGAAGAAGTACAAAAAGAGATGAGGAGGTTATGGAGCACAATCCTTGAAGAGACACAAGATTGCCGACGTTCTGCAGGGGGGCTCCATGACAGAGTTTCAAAGCTTGAGAATGTCTGCCTTAAACTTGATACAGTATCAGGGAGTCTTCACAAGATCAAAGAAAATCTCAATAAACACGTTTCTGGCCTGTGGAACTGTGTACAGGAGATAAACAGTACCGTCAGGACTCATAGTGCCTGGTTTGACAAGTTACACAACAGTCAACTGAATGGCATAAACCGCAGGTTGAACAGCTTGAATAGCTCCATGCTGGTTCTGTCATCTGAGTTCCAGAACTTTACTCTGCAGGACTTTATGGGTAAGAAATCTGCATGTAAATCTGATTGTATAAAGCTAGAAAGGCCTTGCTGATTACACTTACTAAACTACTCCATATATCAAGAGCTCGCTGCCATACGATTTACAAACCCGTCCCTCCTGCAGATGTTTGCTTAAATGTTCTTAATAATACACTAGTTAAAACTCCCAGATTTATTAATCATTCACGTATCTGTTAGTCCACCCATTGTACATCACTGTGGAACTTGTTGGCGCTTTAGAAATAATAATAATAACAATAATTTACAAACCCCATCACCCATAGCACATAAAACCCAAAATGTAATCTACACATCTCTATATTTTTCTTGGGACTAGCCCTGTGGTGGAACAGACCTCGCCGCGTGTTCTTAGGGGGGCTGCTTCCCCGCCTCCTACCTTCTGACTATGGCCCTGGGATATATGGCATTTGAAAACACTATTTGTGCCCTGTGACAAAACTGGAGATTGTGCACAAATATGACTATTGTCCATATTTTTTATGATTCCCTTCGTTTGTTGCACTGTTCCCCATGTGTTTCATCTGTTGGTCCGGCTGGATAGACTACCAGACAAACTGTGGAGTTACTGGGTGGCCACCATTTCATGTATCAGAGGCACATGGTGAGAACAATGGATGAAGCACATGGTGAGAACAATGGATGGCGGCCATTTTAACTCACAAACACTGTTTTGACTTTTCTACACGGTGCCATCTCGCCGGTATTTGATGCACAGAGACATCGTTTAGTAGTTTTAAACTACAGAACAGGGGTCACATTTAACAGTAATAATTTTTCACATAGCCTGTATATGTTCTGTGGAATCTGCATTAAACCGTATATTCCAAACTACTGAACGGATCTGGGTGAATTTTGGATATGTGTTTTTTTATGGGGTTATTGCATGTTTTTGGGGTCCCTATGATATGTTTTATAATACTGTATTTTCCTGCCTGTGATAATTAAGTTAGTCCATTGTGTTGAGATAATTGTATCACAGGCAAAGGGGAGGATTTCTGATGCAAGGAATGGGAGTGTTAGCTGTGTTGTAATGTGTTGATTGGTTGTTCTTCAAAACCCTGTGGGCAGTACTTTGTTTGTAAAATGTGAATAAAAGAGGCTGTATGTGCCAGTACAGTCAGTTCTACTTCAACCTCAATTTGGAGTGCCGTCTCTTATTGGGGGAATCTGCTACAAGGGATTGCTATGCTCTGCATACTCCCTTGCTATAATCACTCCTAAGCTCTTTTAAGAGCTTGTTCCTGCTTCGCTCTGAAGGAAGAGAGGTTCGGCCTGCAGTGGTTGTGGTGTCGGGTTGGGTGCTTGGAGTCCTCAGGAAGCGCTAGGAGCATCCATCAACGGAGGTACCCAGTTGGGGTGCCAGGTGATCCGTTACATTGGTGGCAGCGGTGGGATGGCGTCCTGGTGTGAGAGGAACAGCACCCTGGAGACACCGAAATTATTATGGAGTCCCTGGACAGCGCTCGAGGTGGAAGATGAGTTTAACCAGAGGTTACAGAGCATCTTGGCCCCACTGGATAAGCCTATAGCAGAGGCAACCAGGTTGGCATGCAGAGAGGACGCCCGACAGGAGATGTGGGAAGAAACCCTAGAGGGTGTCCAGCGTTGGCGGGGTGAGCGTCTCCCCAGCAAGGAGCAGCGACTACAAGCCCGAGTGGCCCTACGAATGCCTATGCTGGGAGAACAGCCCAAGGAGGAGTTGGTGATCCAGCTTGATTCACTGGCATGGAGGGAACTGGGTCTCGATGAGGCGTACCAAGCGCTACGTTGGTACACGGTTCAGCATGTTCCTGGACTGGCCAAATTCGACAAACCGGAGCTGCAAGGATTACAATGGCCCTGGTTTATTGTGGGGGGCCTTTGCAGAACCGGACTTTGGGAGTGCGGCCGAGTCACGACTTTGGGACATATTTGCCTACAGAGAGGCCATGCTGGATCTCCCTATGTCTGAAGACCTAAGGCCAGACCTGGTTGAATTGGCCGTCCAGGAATGGGAACTGGAGCAGGATTACCAGCACCTGATCAGCTCCAGTCAGTCACCCTATACCCTGCAGGTACCACCAGAGCAGTGGGAGTTCGTCCAGGATTATGCCCTTTTATTTGATGCAGTAACACCGCCTGTTTCTAACCTGATGGGGCTTATGGACTGTACACCATTGGGAGTGTTGAGTTTCGTCCCTCCTCCCCAACAACTAAGCCCATCATTAGGAGACCTGGATTCTGTACCTCCTACTCCCCAACCAGCCCCAGAAATGAAGGACCTTATTGACTGGTCCTGGGAAGACCCTCAGCTGGCAGGTGGAGGGGAACCGAGAGCTCTCCACCGGCCCTACAAGGAGGCTGGGCAGCTGACCCAGATTTCCAACTACAGATGGATATGTTAGGAGTGGGGGCAGTCGGTCCCTCTCTACAGCATGCAACCCAAGGAGAGGAGAGTGTCGTCCTCCATCGTCCTCCATCTCCTCCATCTCCCCAGCGGCAGACGGTCTTACAGGGAGGGTGTAACAGAGCTCCAGTACCCCAACCGAGTACCTCCGCCAAGTCTGCTTCCTTATAGTTATCAGGGACCCTGAAACACTTCAGACCCAGACGCCGAGGCTTGACTGGGATCACTTAGGGCCACCCGGACCAAACAACAGACGACACATGGTGGAGGTTAAACAGCAACTCTTTAATGAATACAGCACACATAGTTTAAGTCCCCAACAGCCTCATTTACATACAATAGGTTACATAGATTACTATAGTACAAGGAAGGGTGGGGTCGGACAATAGCAAGGACTGATGGGAGATTGAGGAGGGACAGAACAGCTAGTTTAAACTGGTCTGGCAGTGTCCCTGGGACAACGCCCTGCTGGGGAAACAATAGGACAGGAAAAAGGGGGGAAGGGGAGATGCACAGACCAGCAATACATTCAACATACCCTGCACAAATAATAGGCACAATGTGACAAAACACAAAATGAATTTGGGAGCCCACCCATCGTGTCTGTCTTCCATCCCCAGTGATGGTGACTTCCGTCACAGAGGGAAAACAGCTGGTTTCACTCCTCAGCGGCTGAGCATGTTATTGGAAGGGGAGACGGCTGATCCCCCTTCCCAACAGCAGGACAATTTATTGGAAGGGGAGACAGTCAGTCCCCCCCCTACAACAAGGGAGGGTGTTGCAGGAAGAGGAGCCTGTTACTCCTACTCCCCAGCGGCAGAATATTCTATTGGGAGTGGAGACCATCACCTCCCCAGCGGCAGCCTAACTCACAAAGGGGAGATGCTAAGTGTTACGATTGCCTCCGGTCTAGCAGGAGGTTGGATCGCTTGGATGTCCTGGTTCCCGAAGTCAGAGATTTGACCGGTGCTTCAATCGGTAGAAACCTGTAAGTGTAGAATATCCCACTAGCTATAGTAAAGCTAGGATTCCCGGATCCCTACAACACGAGTTGAGGCTGCGAGTTGAGGGTCAAAAACGAACTGGCTTTAATGGCACACAAGCATGGCAATTTATGCAAGATCCATTGAGAAAGCCGCCGAAACAGAGAAACGCATCTGGAGAGGTCGGACTCCTATCGATATCAGCCACAACTTTTACTTCAAAGAGGACCATTATTTGATATTTTTCAGCACTACACATCTTGCTGACTCGGGACGCCGAGTATTTTGAATAAGGTCTGGACTCTTTTTTTAGTGATTTTATGAACATATTTTTTGTAACAGATGAAGTTTCTTTTACATATGTCTTGATATTTGATTAATGAATAAATGAAATTTTAAGGAATTTGGAGTGTGTCAGAAAGGTCATAGACCTATTAGTCATTATTTATTAGAAGAGAAGGGTTTGTGTATTTATGTAATTTATGCAAGTCCCCAGGTCCAGGGACAGCCCCCCATGGACCTGATGGGATACAGGTACAGTACAAAGATTCAACCAATCATAATACAATATATCATTCAAACTAGAACCTGCCCAGCTTGGAGATAATGAGGCCAACGGTTATACAATCTAATTATCTCCAAGTGCCCAAAAGACCATGCTTTATTGTGTCCTAGAAAACAGCATAAAAATACATAACTTTAACATTTCGGGGGGAATATAGTTCATTCCACTATTCATTCGGCAGCTCAAATCTGGGAGCATCAAGTATACGAATTGCGCCCAGATCCCATGAACAGAACAGGAGGTCTCTGCCATAGAAAGTCTTATTCGGTACTTTGGTGGAGCACCCTTGATGGCGGCCATGTTTTCATGGACAGCAGACCTCGACCTAATATTCATGGAGCGGGGGTCAGCTACAGAGGTGCATGAATCCCTGCTCTCAGTCTGGTTGTCCTGGCTGGAAGGGGGTACTTAACCTGCGGTTAACCGCAAGAGTCGCATTCTAATTGATGCCACACGCCAGAATGCAGGTGGTCCTTGTTCGTGAGGCTTTCGGCAGTTTCCCTTCAGGGAATTACATACTGTAACAAAAAGCACTGTCTGACTGTAAAAGACCTATGGATTATAAAGCCGTTCGGTATTTTGTAAGCATTCTCCATGCGAATGCTTACCTGCCTTTAACATGCCACCCTGACTGTTAATTATGTCCAATTTACCTCCCTGCTTGATAGGCACTTTTATTCGAAACAACCACACGAACGCTATGGGAACTGTAAGCTCAGCCACCATTTCGGGACTTCCACGTGTTCGCGGCCATTTTAACTCCCCTCGCACTGCCATTTCTACCCCACGTACCTCGGCCGCCCATTACCTGGAGACCGAGATGGGCCCAGAGGAATGTCTGGGTATCTTGTATGAGGCGGACCCGATACAAGCCGCATCACCAGATAATCAGCAACATCACCGACAAGAGGTGAGGGTGAACGGGCAGGTGGCGCAAGGATTGAGAGACACTGGTGCAACCATTACCTTAATGCAGAGATATCTGGTAAAACCCGAACATTTGTCCAACCGCACTGTGGCTGTACGAGTTGCCGGAGGAGCTGTTTTTCGTTTACCCACTGCTCTGGTACACCTGGATTGGGGAGTCGGGTCTGGGAAGACAATTTACCCACTGAAGTCGTATTGGGCAATGACATTGGCCCTCTTGCATCAGCCTATCTACCTACAACTGCTGCCGCTTGCCCAGTGAACACACGTTCCCAGGCTTATGCTACAGACGACCCTGCAACAGGACGGGAGACCCAGGTAAGCCAAGAACCGACACATAGGCCAAACCCCATAGAGAGACCCCTAGCTTGGGACACCCCCGAAGCATTTGGGAGGGAGACACGGGCAGATCCTACTCTCCAAAAATACAGGGAACTTGCAGATAGTGGGGGGGATGAGAAGGGACGTTTTATCTGTGATAATGACCGACTGTATAGACTGACGGAAGGGAAAAAGAAGGGCGGCATTCCATCGCAGAAGCGCCAACTAGTGGTACCCATGAAGTACTGGTTGGAACTTCTGCGAATTGGACACGATATTCCCTTGGCAGGACATTTAGGAGGTAACCGCACTACCTACAGGATTACCCAGACCTTCTTTTGGCCGGGAATCTCGAAGGATGTGCGGCGATACTGTAGTACATGTGACGTATGTCAACGAGTGGGGAAACGAGGGGACCACCCGAAAGCAAGACTGTTACCCATGCCCGTAATCGAGGAACCATTTAGCAGGGTGGCAGTCGATCTGGTGGGGCCCCTACCGAACCCCAGTCCCTCTGGTAAGAAATATATTCTTACCGTATTGGACTACGCTACCCGCTACCCGGAAGCCGTCGCTCTGACGAATATCCAGGCCGACACTGTTGCCAGTGCTTTGGTCGGGATCTTCACCAGAGTGGGGTTTCCTCAAGAGATCTTGTCTGATCGAGGGACACAATTTACCGCAGATCTGACCCAACAGTTATGGAAGGTCTGTGGTATCAAGACCCTCTTCAGCTCACCGTACCACCCCCAGACTAACGGGCTCTGTGAACGCTTTAATGGTACCCTGAAACAATTACTGCGGACCTTTACAGCAGAATACAGAGACTGGGAGCGATTCTTGCCGCACCTCTTGTTTGCCTACCGAGAGGTGCCACAGGAATCCACTGGGTTCTCTCCGTTCGAGCTGCTCTATGGAAGACGAGTTTGAGGCTCATCCGAGAGCACTGGGAAGGAGAGATGGAACATGAGGGTGTCCCTATTGTGCCATATGTGCTGGAGATGCGGGACCGCATGGAGCAGTTAGAGACCATCTCCAGGTGGCCCAGGGTCGACAGAAGAGGTGGTATGATAGGGGTGCCCGCCAGAGAACCTTCCAGGTGGGACAGAAAGTTCTAGTACTCAGACCAGTAAAAGGGAACAAGCTCCAGACCTCCTGGCAGGGCCCTTACAAGGTGGTAGCCCAAGTATGTGATACCACTTACGTAATAGCCAGTAATAAGGATGACCGGATTCGGAAATCCTTCCACGTGAATCTGCTAAAGGAATATCAGGAAAGGGCCGAGGATATTGCAGCCATCTGCAGTCCGAGTGCAGATGACTCAGACAGGCTACCTATCCCCAACTTGTTAGCAGGTCCCGAACCAAATAATATCCTCGGTACTATCCAACTAGGGGAGCGTTTAAACCCGGCAGAAAAGGGACAGATCAGACAGCTGTTGACCGAGAAGCGACTGACATTTTCCCAAGAGCCGGGATACACGACGTTAGCTACCCATTATGTAGAAACCCCAGGGCAGACTCCACTTAGACAGACCCCCTACAGGATCCCGGAGGCAGTAAAAGAAGAGATGAGGAAAGAGATCCAAGAGATGCTTAAGTTAGGAGTCATAGAACCCTCAGACAGCCCGTGGGCCTCACCCGTAGTACTGGTACCCAAAAAGGATGGGACTACCAGGTTCTGCGTCGACTATAGATGCCTTAATGATCGAACAGTGACCGATGCGTATCCCATGCCCCGAGTACACGAGCTTTTAGATCGCATTGCTAGGGGGAGATATCTGACTACCATTGATCTGTGCAAAGGGTATTGGCAGATCCCCCTAGCCAAGGAGGCTGTCCCCAAGTCGGCCTTCGTCACCCCGTTTGGTTTGTACCAATTCAAGGTCATTGCATTCGGGATGAAGAACGCTCACGCTACCTTTCAACGCTTGGTGGGAATAGGCAACTCCATCACTACACAGCGAAAAGGACGTCCCCAACGGCTGGTACCCTCACCACACCAGGGTAGCCGTTACAGCTGGTATAGCTGGAGATAGTCAGAGCAGTTCACTTCCTCCCAGCTATGGAGAGAGAGCGCTTCTCAGGAGAAAGACAAGGCATAGGCACAGGCAGTAAGGGGGAGAGGAGCAAGACGATAGCTGCACCAGACCCCATACTCCCATCAACCTTAGCCAGCAGCAGGACCCCAATCAAGCCACCCTAATATTCGCCCAAGGTATGTTAATAGGAAGGTGGCTGCAAATATAAAACTTATTATGTATGTTTGTGTATCTGTGTGTTAGTGTGTGCATGTCAGTCAAACACAAACATTGCATGCAAACACACCCCTGCAACCAAACATTACATGCAAACACACCCCTGCAATCAAACAGAAACATTGCATGCAAACATACCCCTGCAATCAAACACAAACATTACATGCAAACAAACCCCTGCAATCAAACACAAACATTACATGCAAACACACACCTGCAATCAAACACAAACATTACATGCAAACAAACCCCTGCAATCAAAACACAAACATTACATACAAATATACCCCATGCAATAAAAACACAAACATTACATGCAAACACACCCCTGCAATCAAACACAAACATTACATGCAAACACACCCCTGCAATCAAACACAAACATTACATGCAAACACACCCCCTGCAATCAAACACAAACATTACATACAAACACACCCCTGCAATCAAACACAAACATTACATGCAAGCACACCCCTGCAATCAAACACAAACATTACATGCAAACACACCCCCTGCATCAAACACAAACATTACATGCAAACAAACCCCTGCAATCAAAACACAAATATTACATACAAATATACCCCATGCAATAAAAACACAAACATTACATGCAAACACACCCCCTGCAATCAAACACAAACATTACATACAAACACACCCCTGCAATCAAACACAAACATTGCATGCAAACACACCCCTGCAATCAAACACAAACATTACATACAAACACACCCCTGCAATCAAACACAAACATTACATGCAAACACTCCCCTGCAATCAAACACAAACATTACATGCAAACACACCCCTGCAATCAAACACAAACATTACATACAAACACACCCCTGCAATCAAACACAAACATTACATGCAAGCACACCCCTGCAATCAAACACAAACATTACATGCAAACACACCCCTGCATCAAACACAAACATTACATGCAAACAAACCCCTGCAATCAAAACACAAATATTACATACAAATATACCCCATGCAATAAAAACACAAACATTACATGCAAACACACCCCCTGCAATCAAACACAAACATTACATGCAAACACACCCCTGCATCAAACACAAACATTACATGCAAACAAACCCCTGCAATCAAAACACAAATATTACATACAAATATACCCCATGCAATAAAAACACAAACATTACATGCAAACACACCCCCTGCAATCAAACACAAACATTACATACAAACACACCCCTGCAATCAAACACAAACATTACATACAAACACACCCCTGCAATAAAAACACAAACATTACATGCAAACACACCCCTGCAATCAAACACAAACATTACATGCAAGCACACCCTTGCAATCAAACACAAACATTACATGCAAACACACCCCTGCAATCAAACACAAACATTGCATGCAAACACACCCTTGCAATCAAACACAAACATTACATGCAAACAAACCCCTGCAATCAAACACAAACATTACATGCAATCACCCCCCTGCAATCAAACACAATCATTACATGCAAACACACCCCCTGCAATCAAACACAAACATTACATGCAAACAAACCCCTGCAATCAAACCATACATGCAAACACACCCCTACAATCAAACACAAACATTACATACAAACACAAACACAAACATTACATACAAACAAACCTCTGCAATCAAACACAAACATTACATGCAAACACAAACATTACATGCAAACACACCCCTGCAATCAAACACAAACATTACATGCACGCAATCAAACACAAACATTACATGCAAACAAACCCCTGCAATCAAACCATACATGCAAACACACTCCTGCAATCAAACACGAGCATTACATGCAAGCACACCCTTGCAATCAAACACAAACATTACATACAAACACAACCCTGCAATCAAACACACACATTACATGCAAACAAACCCCTGCAATCAAACACAAACATTACATGCAAGCACACCCTGCAATCAAACACAAACATTACATGCAAACACACCTCTGCAATCAAACACCAACATTACATGCAAACACACCCCCTGCAATCAAACACAAACATTACATGCAAACAAACCCCTGCAATCAAACCATACATGCAAACACACCCTTGCAATCAAACACAAACATTACATGCAAACACACCCCTTGCAATCAAACACAAACATTACATGCAAACACACCCCTGTAATCAAACACCAACATTACATGCAAACACACCCTGCAATCAAACACAAACATTACATGCAAACACACCCCTTGCAATCAAACACAAACATTACATGCAAACACACCCCCTGCAATCAAACACAAACATTACATACAAACACACCCCTGCAATCAAACACAAACATTGCATGCAAACACACCCCTGCAATCAAACACAAACATTACATACAAACACACCCCTGCAATCAAACACAAACATTACATGCAAACACTCCCCTGCAATCAAACACAAACATTACATGCAAACACACCCCTGCAATCAAACACAAACATTACATACAAACAAACCCCTGCAATCAAACACAAACATTACATGCAATCACCCCCCTGCAATCAAACACAAACATTACATGCAAACAAACAAACTGTAGCGGAGGCAGAATACTAAAATCCACAAGTCTCCACTGGTGTTCTATAAAGCAGGAAAGAAAACGTTGTTCAGCAGATATATCCAATTCCCCCAGTAACCGGTTTACACGCAGTTCTGGGAGTCAACTGATTTTTATTGAGTCATATCTGGCTTTTATGCCCAGTCACCTACCTACACAGGGTTTACAAAATAGGAAAACAAGGGTTTCAATCCCAGATTTCTCTATGCCTGAGAGATAATTGCATGAGAACATTCATTTGATTTAATTATGTGTCAGGTACAGAAAATCCCACAATCTACTGTACCCCAAACGTGTCTCCACCGTCCACAGGAACCCCACAAAAAGTACATTCCCAGATAGCCCCGATCGTAGGGTACAAAATATCCAAGAATCACTCAAATCAGTTTGGTGGAACGGAAATGCCATTGAGGTAAAGTTTTGACCAGCCAGACTCGAAGCGCTAGCCCTAAACATTTCCAGGGAAATAGGTGTCCTTGCCAGTCTCCGTTCGTGGGGTACCAATCTGAACACCATACACGGGAATCTCTTATTTTGAGGATACAAATGCTCCCCCTCTTCGGTAGTTTATATTTACCAAACGCTGTTTGCATAGATGGTTGGGAACAGGCAGTGGTAGAAGGTTACCGGTGTTCGCGCGAGTCCCTAGCCGAAAAGAGTTCCAGGCACTCGACGACCAAGTACCACTGTCCTCGTTTGGGAGACAAGATGGCTGTCATTCTCTCTATGCCACGTGTTCGGTTATATGAAATGGTGGCCACCCAGGGGAAGCACTCATTGATTATTTGTTTCTCTTGCTTTTCCCACCTATATTGTTGGTGTCAACGTTTTAATGGGGTACAGGGGTGGTCCTCGTCTCCCAAATGGCAAAGGGGATAAACACCCAAATTAACATGGGAAAGCATCCGAAATGGGGTTCACAATCCAAGATGTAAGAAATAGGTGTGTAGTGCACAGTCCTGGGCTACCATTGTCAAGTTGCCTCCAGCTCACAATTACAAATAACCAATTACTGCACATCCAGACTCTTACCAGCATAACCACATTTTACTCTTGTAACAAAATCCCTCATTTTCATATACCCCAGCCCCAGTCATTGCCTTTTCCCGGTATTTGCGTAGGGAGGGATCCTCTGGAGTCTGTGGGTTATTCTCAGTCAGGGGTTGTCTTACCTGGGCCTCCCGGGCTGGTGAGCTGGTCCTTTCGTTCTTCGCTAGTGCACTGGTTGTCACAGGATGAGCAGCTGCAGTAGAGGTGAGTACGTAAGCTGATGTGAGAGGGCCCAAGTCATTGCCCAGAAGGACTTCCGCTGGTAAACCATCCATTATCCCGACTTTCACCGTACCGGATCCGGCTCCCCTGTCTAAGTGGACGCGGGCAGTAGGCAAACGAAATACGGATCCACCAGCCACTTGAACAGCCACGGTTTGGCTGGTATACTTATGAGCGCGAACCAAGTGTTTCTGTACCAGCTTGATAGTGGCCCCAGTGGCCCGTAACCCTTGGGCGATCTGTCCATCGACCTTGACCTCCTGTCGATGCTGCTGTCTGTTATCCTCAGAGACGGTATAGATAGGGTTGACCTCATGCAGTACCCCCATATATTCCTCGGGGTGAGTCTCGGTGTCTACGCAGTGGGCGGCCGGGGTACAGGAGGTTACAGGAGCTGGCACCGGAGGGGAGTTGTTCCAGGAAGATCTGGGTTGACTTATTTTGCCATTAGGTGTCCTGTATTGTGCCACTGGTAACACTTCACCCTCGAATTCTCTGACCCATGTCTGGGGGGACCAGTTTAACGAATGGGGCCGGATGAAACAAGGGCCCTGAACTCTGGTCGGGGAGAGGGCCTGTGTACAAGGGGGGCCCGAGGTTCCACTCGGGGTTGAGGTCGCGACGATGCAGGGTCTAGGTGTCGGCAATCCGCATATTCATCAGCCAGGTGGGCCGCTTCCATGAGGGTATGGGGGTGTCGATCTCGTACCCAGTGGTCCACATCCTGCGGCACGTTGTCGAAGAAATGCTCCAGGAGAAACAGCTGCAGCACCTCCTCTGCAGATACCGCTTGGCAACCCTTAATCCAGTGGGCAGCAGTGTGGTGTAGCCTGTGTGTCCATTCCATGTGGGTATCACATCCTCGCTTCTTAGTTGCTCGGAATTTTCGCCGGTATGCCTAAGGGGTTATGGCATACCACTTGAGTAAAGTGTCCTTGATGAGTGAATATTGGGTTACCTCGTCCGCTGGGATAGACCGAAAGGCTTCTAAGGCTTTCCCGGATAACTTGCCATCTAGTATGGTGACCCATTCCTCTGTAGGCACCTGGTGAAGGGCACACTGCCTTTCAAAGTCTGCCAAATAGCCATCGATCTCCCCATTCCACTTCCAGGAACGCTCTAAATGCTTCAAAGGGTACTTTTCGCTTTTCTGGGAGGGCAGGAGCAGGTGCGACTGCTGGTGGCTCTGCAAGACATGGAGCGGTCACCATACTCAGCTCGTATTCCCTCCTCTGCTGGACTTCTGCCTTTACTTCTGCAAAGGTCCGCTCCATGGTGGAGTTACGATCCAGTCGCTGTAGCTCCACAATCAATTCCTCCACAGCTTTCTAGTAGGTCCTTGAGAGTTGTCCTTTTTAGTTGCTCATATCGGTTTTCCATTCGATCTGCACATCTCCTGGGATAAAAGGACAATCCCACCACTGCCACTAAATGTGATGGTTACCCCTATGGAGTAGGGTATCTACCGTCTGGGCGTCCTCCTTCCCAGTACTGGAGACCATGGCAGAGCTCCAACTCAAGGTCCTGTAGAGTGGGTAGAGCGGGGCTCCCTCCTCCAAGAGGGTATAGCTGGGACTCTTCTTCCAGAAGGTGTAGCAGGGTAGCTGGAGAGAGCTCTTTCTAAGAGCTAGTAGTGATATAGCTGGCAAGCAGGCTTCTCCATAAGCCAGAGGAACACGGCAGTTTGGCACATGGAAAGCCAGAGTCAAAATGGCAGTTTGTCACACCGATTTTAAAAATAACAGATTCTTTCCGAGCAGAGTTAAAGGGCCAGACATAGTTTTTAACATCCAAGATGCAGAAATTGAGTTTTTAACAGGGGCCATAGTCCCAGGGTAACCAGAGTCTAGGAGCGGGTTCTTGGTTGGAATATAATGCTAGTACCGTGATACACACCATAACCACTGCGAGAAAAATCACCATAACTACTACAAGCAATGAGGGATTTTGTTACATGGCTCCCTCTTTGTGGGACACTCTGGCAGACCCGGCTTGACCCCTTTATGGGGGCAACTGGAGGCTGTCCAGATGCTGTTATTCGAGGATGAGGTCAGTCTGCCGAGACAATCCATCCGCGTTGCCGTTCTGCTTGCCGGGCCGGTACCGGATGGTAAAGTTGTAGGGGTGGAGTGCCAGACTCCATCTCAGTAGCCGGCCATTGTCCCCAGCAATGCGGTTTAACCACACCAGAGGATTATGTCTGTAACCAAGGTAAACTCCAATGTCCATACAACTATGGGGATAACTTTTTCAAGGCCCACACCAGGGCTAAGCACTCCTTCTCTACTGCCGTGTAGCTGACCTCTCTGGGAAGAAGTTTTCTACTGATGTAGGCGACAGGGTGCTCTCCTCCATCCTCTCCCACCTGGCTTAAAACTGCCACCAGTCCGAACATTGAAGCATCTGTGTGAACAATAAACCGTTTGTTAGGGACTGGGGCAGCCAGAACAGGAGCATGAATCAATGCAGTCTTAAGGGCTTGGAACACAGCTTCACAGTTGGGAGACCACAGGACCTGTCGGGGTAAGTTTTTCTTGGTCAGGTCAGTCAGGGGTTGTGCAATAGTACTGTAACATAGAATGTGACGGCGGATAAGAACCATTCGGCCCACCTAGTCTGCCCAATTTTCTAAATACCTTATCTTTTAGTTAGGATAGCCTTATGCCTATCCCACGCATGCTTAAACTTCTTTACTGTGTTAACCTCTACCACTTCAGCTGGAAGGCTATTCCATGCATCCACTACCTTCTCAGTAAAGTAATACTTCTTGATATTATTTTTAAACCTTTGACCCTCTAATGTAAGACTATGTCCTCTTGTTGTGGTAGTTTTTCTTCTTTTAAATATGGTATCCTCCTTTACTGTGTTGATTCCCTTTATGTATTTAAATGTTTCTATCATATCCCCCATGTCTCGTCTTTCCTCCAAACTATACATGTTAAGATCATTTAACCTTTCCTGGCAAGTTTTATCCCACAATCCATGAACCAGTTTAGTAGCCCTTCTCTGAACTCTCTCTAAGGTATCAATATCCTTCTGATGATACGGTCTCCAGTACTGCGTACAATACTCCAAGTGAGGTCTCACCAGTGTTCTGTACAATGGCATGAGCACTTCCCTCTTTCTACTGCTAATACCTCTCCCTATACAACCAAGCATTCTGCTAGCATTTCCTGCTGCTCTTACATTACATTACATTACATTGTCTGCCTACCTTTAAGTCATCAGAAATAATCACACTTAAAGCCCTTTCCTTAATTGTTGAGGTTAGGACTCTATCAAATATTCTGTACTCTGCCCTTGGGTTTTTACGTCCAAATGCATTATCTTGCACTTATCCACATTAAATGTCAGTTGCCACAACTCTGACCATTTTTCTAGTTTACCTAAATCATTTGCTATTTGGCTTATCCCTCCTGGAACATCAACCCTGTTACATATCTTAGTATCATCAGCAAAAAGACATACCTTACCATCAAGACCTTGTGCAATATCACAAATAAAAATATTAAAGAGAATGGGTCCAAGTACAGTTCCCTGAGGTACCCCACTGGCGACAAGCCCAAGCTTTGAATATACTCCATTGACTACAACCCTCTGTTGCCTGTCACTCAGCCACTGCCTTACCCATTCAACAACATTGGAATCCAAATTTAAAGATTGCAATTTATTGATAAGCCTTCTATGTGCAACAGAGTCAAAAGCCTTACTGAAATCTAGGTAAGCAATGTCTACTGCACCACCCTGATCTATAATTTTAGTTACCCAATCAAAAAAATCAATAAGATTAGTTTGGCATGATCTCCCTGAAGTAAACCCATGTTGTCTCTGATCTTGAAATCCATGTGTTTTTAGATGTTCAACAATCCAATCATTTAAAGATTAGGTGTACACTCAGTATTGGAAATTAATGATAAAAACCACCACTGGTGTGCATATAGAGCGCTTACAAATTTGTTGACTCACCCATATGGGTTAACATACATATGTATGGAAAACGTGACTCATAGCGATATATCTGAAACAAATGTAAATGCAAGAAATAGTGCAGATAACGTTTTCAATAAGTGCAGTGAGGGAATATTCTATATGGTGTCACTCACATGTAGCAGAGCCCTATAGGATAGGCTCAGATCTCAATGGCCTGCGTGTGCTTATGGTGACACAGTACCCAATCGGTCCTCTAGGCGTCTGGAGATCCTTATGCATACATGAGAGAGAGAGAGAGAGAGAAAACAAGGGGAAGAGGAGAACCCCTAGTGCGGTCAATCCCAATGTACAGTGTCAAATAATGCAGAAAAAATGGCTTCTCACCTGATGTGGAGCCCTATACCTGGCTCCTGGTGTGTAGGTGTCTGTGCCTTTAAGGGGGCAACTACCCTTCTTTAAGCAGCAACAATGGAGGGTGGGTTACAAATATAAAACTAAATTTATTAAATAAAGTAGTAAAAACTTACAAATAAAATATGAACAAAATTGTGAGAAATTATAAAATGTGGAATCTTCAATCCTCCAGCCGAAACATGTTTCACTGTACCCAGCCAGCTTTTTCAATCGGTGACCATACAGTGAAACATGATTTCTTCTCATTTATGTATCTAAAAAAAGTTTTGTCCCCCTTTTTTACTGACTGTGCTATTTTCTCTTCTGTGTGTGATTTGGAAGTTCTTATAACTTGCTTAGCCTCTTTCTGCCTAATCTTATAGATCATTTTGTCTTCCTCACTCTGGTTTCTTTTTATAATTACTAAATGCTAACTTTTTGTTTTTTACTATTTTGGCCACATCTGCGGAGTACCACAGTGGTTTCTTTAATTTTTTTGCTTTTACTTACAAGCCTAATGCAATTTTTTGTTGCCTTCAGCAGTGCAACTTTTAAATTATCCCATTTCTCTTGGACTCCATTTAAATTGCTCCTGTCTGATAATGACTCCTTTACACGTATTCTAATTTTAGAAAAGTCTGTTTTTCTAAAGTCTAAAACTTTTGTTTTTGTGTGTTGTGACTCAGTCACTGTTCTTATATTAAACCACACTGACTGATGATCAATGGATCCTAAACTTTCACCTACAGTAATATCTGATACCAAATCTCCATTTGTTAACACTAAATCTAGTATGGCCTCTTTACGAGTCGGCTCCTCAATGACTTGTTTTAGAGACATTCCCAGTAGGGAGTTTAGAATATGTGTGTGTTAACACTCTCAGCTTAAATAGATGAAACCGCCGTTTAGCCGATGTTCCCCCTTTCCAGAAACACAGACTCTATACAGTAGACAGCCAAACTCCCAAACGGAGTTCAAGGGAACGCGGTAAATCCTCGAACACACAAATCAGCCGAATCCCTTCTTCGGCTAAAACAGGCGAAAGAAATCCTTCCAAGTAGCAATTTCCCCCAAATACGAGACCAAGCTCCATCTTGTGGGTAAAACAGGAATCTGTTTAATGAAGGCTACCTGCCCAGTGTAACGGACCGTTTTGCACACAAGGGGTAAAAACCGTTTAGGCGATCGGCCCCCTTTCCAGAGATCCAGGCACAGCTACTGCAGAACACCAAAACTCACGAACTGGATACAAAATAGCACTCCAACTCCCGAAATGGAACCTCCCAAATAGCTGCTAGCAGACGAACAGGAAAAGCAGACGAACAGCTTACACTCCTGGCAATCAGTCTCTAACAGCATACAGTGAATCCCCCCAAGAACGAGACAAGGCTCTGTGTTGAGGATCAAGCAGTGGTCTGAGGTGCTGGCACACCCAGCCTGGTTTTTATTACAGTGTTTCAAATACAGGACCACCCACAGGGAGGGATAAAACAACCAATCATATCACAGTTACATCCCACATATTCCCTCCCCTTATCCTGAGAGGAAACTCAATTATACAAACAGTTAAAACATACTTTCTACCCAACTTTCATAACTCCAAAACCATACATCACATTCACATAAAATTACATATTCTCAATCAATCCATTCAGGGGAACAACATATTCAAAAATGGCACAAATCAGACAAGGGGTTCAAAAGTTAGTAAAAAGTCCTTTGTGACTAAATGAAGCATGGCTTTCTGGCCCAAACCAGTTTCAGAGTCTTCTATCCTGGAGATAAGTAATTCAATTATCTCCCAGGACAGACACAAGACTCCATTAAGCACATGGTTGCAAAAGACACAAAACACTTTAAAATACATAAAGTCACATTTATTACATAAAACACAGACATGTAACATATCCCCAGATAGCTCAGGTCTGAGCGCACATTATTAAGTGAATGGCGCTCAGACCACACGAATACAGTTTAATCGCCATGGAGCTAAAGTCTTTACAGTCAGTTTCATACGAATGGGCTCCATGGGATTCCTATCTGGGGTATAAGACATTCACACAAAAATACCGAACACCGGGTCATTCGTGTGCTTTCACCGAACAAGAAGGGAGGTCGGCGGCTTCAGCGGTGTTCGCGCAAAACTGTGTCCGATTTTAGTTCCATGAAAATAGAGGCGAACACCGCTGTTCATTCGTATGGTTTAAAATGGCCGCGACCTCGTGTTCGGGATACGAACGGCGGCCACCCAGCGTTCATCAATTAAGCTGCGGTTAACCGCAGCTTCAGGGAGGTTAATTGCTGGCACACTCCAGCTCCCAGGTGGTCCAGTCATTCGTACGGTTGTTCGGTAGTTTGAAACTACCGAACAACCGGCAGAAAAGCATGAATATGGCTTTTCTGCATGGAAAAATAAAGTCTTTCAAAAGGGGGCCATAGTCCAAAGGCAGCAGGCGAGCAACCAGGCTTCTCCAATGCAATGTGGCGAGATTGGTCTCGTCACACCCAGTATTTATGCAGGTCTCACAACTGGTGGACACTCCACTAGGGGACCAGGTGGAAGACTGGGACAAGTAGGATATATTAGCCAATCACAGTGGCTCAGGTTTACATACTCCCCTTTATACAGTAAATCCCTCCTCTCTATCCTGGAGATAATTGGGAAGAAATCCAATTATCTCAAAGGATAGAGGCAAATCGCCATTTTAAACAAAACATTAAAATTGCATAAAAATAGGTAACTGTACAAATACCGAACATATTATATTCGTACAACGTATCCCCAGATAGCCTGGATTTGAGTGCATATTCCTACTGAATAGCGCTCAGATCCCATACACACAGTTCAATCGCCATGGAGTCAAAGTCTTTTACAGGTCTTTCGGTATGCGATTGACTCCATGGGATGGCTATCTGTGTTAAGTCCATTCGTATCATCCAAACTCCCGAACGGACGGTGTTCGCATGCCTCGACGAATGAGAAGGGCGGTCGGTAGTTTCAGCGGTGTTCGGTAGAAAAAGTGTCCGTTTATAGTTCCATAAAATCTGCGCCGAACACCGCTGGTCTTTCGCGTGTTTTAAAATGGCCGCCGCCTCGTGGTCGGCATACGAACGACGACCACCCTGCATTCGGATATTATGAAGAGGTGTCTGTGGTTAACCACAATGTTCTAATTGGGGCCAAGAGGTTAACCAGCAGCACACTTCTCTTCTGGGTGGCCGTCCGTTCGGTAGTTTTATTCGGTATAAGTCCAAAATAACGAATAGGGACAAATTAGACGAACCAGCAACACCAATCATACAAGTACAAGTAGCTATTTTTGTTTTCCAATTCACATCAGGAAGATTAAAGTCACCCATGATGATGATTTCCCCTTCATTGTCATTTTAGCTATTTCCTCAACTAGTAGATTATCTAACTCTTCTATTTGTCCTGGGGGCCTATAAATCACACCTACACGAGTTACTGTGTGATTACCAAATTCTAACGTAGCCCAAACAGACTCTATGTTTGCATCACTAACTTTTATTAGGCTAGAATTTATGCTATCCTTCACATACAGGGCCACCCCTTCCCTGTCTTTTCTATATAAAGAGTACCCTGGTATTGCTATGTCCCAGTCATTTTTTTCATTATACCATGTCTCAGGAACAGCGACTAAATCTACATTATCAATTGCCATTATTGCCACAAGTTCATGGATCTTATTCCCTAAACTGCAAGCATTTGTAGATATGACTCTAAGCTTTTTAACACACTTGCTACAGGGACATTCTGTCCTTGTTTTGGGGGACAATCGGATTGATGTTTTATCACCCTTTTGCCTCCCTCTCCTAGTTTAAATACATCCTAGCAAAACCTCTGAACTGCTCACTGAGAACATTTGTTCCCTTTTGTACAGTTTATTTCCATTCCAAACAGAGCTACCATGAGAAATAAAGCCAAATCCTTGCTCCCGACACTATTCACAAGTTTAAGTCCCTAATACGCATCCGCCTGTCATTCTGAGTGTTATGCACAGGCAGAATTTCAGAGAATGACAGTGTGGAGGCAACCTGCCGTATATCATTGGCAAAAACACTAAAAACTTCCTTAACCTCTGAAACCTCATTGCAAGCCAAGTTATTTGTCCCTAGATGGACAAGTACATCCAATTCCCCTTCCTGCTTTGCTCGCTTAACAATATTACAAATACGTCTCCTGTCTCTTTGAGCAGTAGGTCCGGGAAGACATCTCACAAGACCACCATTGTCCATCTCCACACCTCTTATGATGGAATCTCCCAACAACAACTGCTTTCTATTAGGCCTCACCATAGTTTCCAAGCCTGTCTCCACAACACCACTACCTTCATTGCCTGAGCCTGTCTTCACAACACCACTACCCTCAGTGACTGTCTCCATAACACCACTACACCTGGTGCCTGAGCCTGTCTCCACAACACCATTACACTCTGAAAGTACAGAAAATTAATTATGTAGAGCAACAGACTGTGCAATATACCTTTTATCCACAACTCTAAGTCTACCAGATCCTACAGTCTGCCATTCCTAGTATGTCTCTGCGGCAGTGGCTTTGCAGCAGTTCCAGCCTGAGTTTGTTTACCAGATAATTTACAAATCTCAGATTTCAAAAATATGATCTCCTTCCGCAATATAGAGAACTGTCTACAGATTAGACAGCATCCAAATCTCCAAAAAGTGGAACGTGAAACAAATGCATAACAACTATTACACTGAACTAAGTCTGCCATTTCAATGAGGTTTATAATTTAAATCAAACAAATCTTAAATATTTTGTCCTCCTGAATACCTCAGATTACCTCCAGTTTATCTCCAGAATATCTCCAACTACACACTTAGAAACAGCACTCTCCAGAATATCTCCAACCACACAATTAGAAGCAGCACTCTCCAGAATATCTCCAACCACACACTTAGAAGCAGCACTCTCCAGAATATCTCCAACTACACACTTAGAAGCAGCACTCTCCAGAATATCTCCAACCACACACTTAGAAGCAACACTTAGATGAAGCAACCAAGCTATATTAGCCAAGCTAATGACAACAACCCTTATATAACTCCTAAAATCACCACCCAATAGGAATGTTTAACACCTGGGTAGGCCTCTGCTTATTTGCAAACAAAAGGCTAATTTAAACAGCAATCAATAGCAAGTAACTAGCTTTAAGGACTACTCTAGGCACCCAGACCACTTCAGCTTAATGAAGTGGTCTGGGTGCCAGGTCCTTCTAGGGTTAACCCATTTTTTCATAATTATAGCAGTTTCAGAGAAACTGCTATAATTATGAATGGGTTAAGCCTTCCCCCTAATCCTCTAGTGGCTGTCTCATTGACAGCCACTAGAGGCGCTTGCGTGCTTCTCACTGTGATTTTCACAGTGAGAGCACGCAAGCGTCCATAGGAAAGCATTGTAAATGCTTTCCTATGCGACGGGCTGAATGCGCGCGCAGCTCTTGCCGCGCGTGCGCATTCAGCCCGGAGGAGGCGGAGGAGGAGGAGGAGGAGAGCTCTCCGCCCAGCGCTGGAAAAAGGTAAGTTTTTAACCCTTTCCTCCTTCCAGAGCCGGGCGGGAGGGGGTCCCTGAGGGTGGGGGCACCCTCAGGGCACTATAGTGCCAGGAAAACGAGTATGTTTTCCTGGCACTATAGTGGTCCTTTAATCTAATCAAATGCCTTATAATTACCAACAGGAATTCAAACCTTGTGCAATCAGTAATCTTTTCCTACAGATGAATCTTACCTGTAACAGTAGAAAAGAAAGCTCTTAGCACAATTCTTAGACAGTTGAAGCTTCTGTAAAACTCTCCAGAATATCTCCAACCACACACTTAGAAGCAACACTTAGATGAAGCAACTAAGCTATATTAGCCAAGCAAAGGTATGTTGAGTGCCATGCATGGCACACGTGCCATAGGTTTCTGACCCTTGTCCTGGAATCCTAAAATCTTACCTTTCTTTGGCTAATGAGGACCCGCCCTCTTTTTGCCCATTACTTACTTCCTTTCTAGGGCTGCATAGACAGAAACAAGTGTCATTTAACTCCTAAATGGAAGTGAGATGGGCAGTGAGACTTCAAAAGCATGATCTATACACAATAACTGCGTCAATGAGCTAAAGTTGTTTTGGTGACTGGTGACTATAGTGTCTATTTAGGAAAGACATTATTTAATACATTGATAAATTGCAATAAAGTCACATATCATTTGAGAAGCTTTGGACTGTGGATTTATCCTCATTGCTTTATTTTGACAATATCCAGCACTAGCAAGGAAGTAAAAACACCAGGACTGCCAGGATTTTGGAAATAGATTTGATGGGATGGTTTCAACGTGAGGATGAATTTTCTGTGCTTTGCTGAGGAAGGGGAAAATATAGACTTTATAGTAAAATCAATTAGTTTCAGCATTTTACTGGTCATTCGCCTGTTGACCAGGAAGTTATCTGACTTCATGAACTAGCCAGAGTGTAGGCTTATTATCATTGCTGCAACCACCAAGATTGAGTATAAAATGTTTGCATTTAAATGTGTGCATAGTTCCAAGGCTACTAATGAATTCTTATCATCATTCTGAATTTTGCTTTAGGACCTCCAGGACTTCCAGGTCCACCTGGTCCAATGGGGAAACAAGGAGCAACAGGACCACAAGGGCCAATGGGACCCCAAGGGAAGGGTGGAGCTAAAGGAGAGCAAGGACCTGCTGGACCTCCAGGTGATATATCAAATTTAATGTCAATATTATACCTGCTAATGATACATTGAATGACAGTCAGTATTATACCGGCTAATGATACATTGAATGACGGTCAGTATTACATAGGCTAATGATACATTGAATGAGTCAGTATTATACCGGCTAATGATACATTGAATGACAGTCAGTATTATACCGGCTAATGATACATTGAATGACAGTCAGTATTATACCGGCTAATGATACATTGAATGACAATCAGTATTATACCAGATAATGATACATTGAATGAGAGTCAGTATTATACCGGCTAACGTTACATTGAATGAGTCAGTATTATACCGGCTAATCACACTGTAACGGCACCCTCAGCATAAAAGGGTTAAACCACCGTTTAGGAGATCTTCCCCTTCCAGAGATACAGGCACAGCTACTGCAGAACACCAATCCACCGAACAGGAAACCATATGAATGCCATATGAATGCCGTAAGCAGCCGAATAGGAAAAACCATAGGTTTACACTCCTAGCAGTCAAACTGGAACAGCAAACAATAATTCCCCCCAAGAACGAGACAAAGCTCCGTGTTGAGGGTCAAGCAGTGAACAGTCAGAGCTGTGGGTTTATTGTTCTTATGAACACATTCTTACACATTAGTACCACCCACTGGGTTTTGGAACACAACCAATAAACACATACAATACACTCAGACACTCCCACACAAAATCCTCCCCTCTGCCTGTGATTCAATTACCTTACACAATGGGTAATGTAATTTAGCACAAGCAGAGAAATACAATTTTTCCACATTATTCATAACTTGAAAAGTATGCATCACATTTTCAGAATCAGCATATTCCATATACAAACATACGTCAAAATCATACAAATTGGTCCAATGGTTCAAAAGATAGATCGTAGTCCTTTGTGACCACAGGAAGCATGGCTTTTCTGCCCAAAACCAGTTCCACAGAGTCTTCTATCCTGGAGATAATTAGAAGTAATCCAATTATCTCTAAAGACAGAGGCAAAACTCCATTGAACACATGGCAGCAAAAAGACAGTAAAATACAATAAAATACACAAGGTTACATTTATGACATAAAATACAGACATGCAACATATGCCCAGATAGCTTAGGTCTGAGCGCACATTATGACTGAATGGCGCTCAGAGCACACACATACAGTTCAATTGTCCTGGAGCCAAAGTCTTTCCCATAGTCTTTCATTATACGAATGGGCTCCATGGTATAGCTATCTGGGGTATCACTGCTCAAACAGGGCAAGCACCAAATGACCCGGCTTTCTTGTATTTGCAGGGGAAAATCAAGCCTTTTAACATGGGGTCATAATCCAAAGGCAACAGGCGAGCAACCAGGCTTCTCCAATGCATTGTGGCGAGATTGCTCTCGTCACATCTCTCCCCTTTTCCAAACAGACTAACAGGGTATCTGACCTCCTGCCGGTCAGTGCCCTTGTTAGTCCAGCAGCCCACCCACAAAACACAATCAACAGCACAGCCCACCCACAATAAATGGTTACTACACCTGGGTAGAGGAGAAGCTTGTCCATGTCCAGGTGTCTCACCACGGCTGTGCTGGGTACGGGTATGCTGACTTGGTGGGTTGCTGCGTGGGCAGAGACCAGCGGTACTCTGCCCTGTTGCCAGCGCTACTGGGAGGGTAGCCTGGTTGAAGCCTGGTTGTTGGAGGGGGAGACCGACTGTCTCCCCTTTAGACACACAGCTCTGCTGCTGGAGACCTACTGTCTCCCCTTTGGCTAAACAGCCCTATTGCTGGGGGGCAGAACCGACCGCCCCTACCCCCTGTGCTGGACGTGCAGAGACCACGGTCCCATCTGCACAGTTGTGGGGCTTACTGTCTCCCCCTGGTACATTAAGCTGCCGCTGGGGAGAGGGGGTAACAAGCTCCTCTCCCATACATACTTCCAGCCGCGGGGGAGGGAGACCGACTGTCTCTGCTCCCAATACAGAGTCCTGCTGCTGGGGAAAGGAGACTGGGCTCTCATTTCCCGGTAGGACACTCTGCCGCTGGGGAATGGAGACTGGGCTCCCAATTCCCAATAAATCATTCTGCCGCTGGGGAATGGAGACTGGGCTCCCAATTCCCTGCAATTTATTCTGCTGCTGGGGGACAGGAGCAACTATCTCTGTCCCCTGTAACTCAGCCTACCGCTCGGGAATGGAGACTGGGCTCCCAATTCCCTGCAATTCACACTGCCGCTGGGGATCTGAGCTGACTGCCCAGCATCCCTGTAGCTCACCCTGCCGCTGGGGAGGGAGGACGCTGCTCTTCTCTCCCTGCAAGGAACACTGCCGCTGGGGGACAGAATCACCTGCAGCTGGGGAATTCCCCTGCTGCTGGGGAATGGAGCTTAGGCTCCTAATTCCCTGCAATATCTCCCGCTGGGGAATGGAGCTTGGGCACCCAATTCCCTGCAATATCTCCCGCTGGGGAATGGAGCTCGGGCTCCCAATTCCCTGCAATATCGGTGGAGAGACCTCGGTCACATCTCCACCTGCCACCTGGGGTTCTTCCCAGTAAATCTCAACAATGTCTTCCCAGCTGAATGGGTCTGGAACTGGATCTGTCACCTTGCTGTCCTGCTGAGCCTTCCCAATGGAGTGGAAGAGATCTCGGTAGTCCTGCTCCAGTTCCCACTCCAGGGTTGCTAGGTGAGCCAGGTCTTGCTCAATGTCGTGAGTGTCGTCCCAGTCATACCTGCTCTCCCTCCACTCCAAGAGATCACTGAACCGGGCTTGTGTAGGGCTCCCAAATTCAGGCTCTGAAAAAGCCTCCCATAACAAGCCAGGACCATCAAACTCCTCTCCCTCTGGCTTGTCATGCTCGGCTGTCCAGGGCAGGTACTGTGCCCCATACCACCAGAGCGCCTGGTAGGCATCTTCCAGCCAAATCTCCTGCCATACCCGGTGCTCCAATTCCTTCACCCATTCATCCAGGGGCTGCTGTCCCAAAAAGGGCATCCGCAGGGCCACTTGCTTCTGCAACCGCTGCTCTTCACTGGGGAGACTCTCGCCCCGGTGGTATTGTACATTATGCAGGGCCTGCTACCAGATGCCTTTCCTTAATGCATCCCGGCCATCCAGGTCCTCTTCCTCGTATAACACTGCTGGTTCCATTCTGTTGCTGTCAGGGTCGCTGTACTCAGACATGCGTTGCCCTCAAATTGTAAATCCACGGTATGGTGTCACCTGTAGCTGTCCTGTAGTCTGTGGGAACGATCCCGCCGCTTGCCACCAATTGTAACGGCACCCTCAGCATAAAAGGGTTAAACCGCCGTTTAGGAGATCTTCCCCTTCCAGAGATATAGGCACAGCTACTGCAGAACACCAATCCGCCGAACAGGAAACCATATGAATGCCGTAAGCAGCCGAATAGGAAAAACCATCCGAATAGGTTTACACTCCTAGCAGTCAAACTGGAACAGAATACAATAAATCCCCCCAAGAACGAGACAAAGCTCCGTGTTGGGGGTCAAGCAGTGAACAGTCAGAGCTGTGGGTTTATTGTTCTTATGAACACATTCTTACACATTAGTACCACCCACAGGGTTTTGGAACACAACCAATAAACACATACAATACACTCAGACACTCCCACACAAATTCCTCCCCTCTGCATGTGATTCAATTACCTTACACAATGGGTAATGTAATTTAGCACAAGCAGAGAAATACAATTTTTCCACATTATTCATAACTTGAAAAGTATGCATCACATTCACATAAAACTTACATTTTCAGAATCAGCATATTCCATATACAAACATACGTCAAAATCATACAAATTGGTCCAGTGGTTCAAAAGATAGATCGTAGTCCTTTGTGACCACAGGAAGCATGGCTTTTCTGCCCAAAACCAGTTCCACAGAGTCTTCTATCCTGGAGATAATGGTTTCTCGTCTTTGCAGGGGAAAATCAAGCCTTTTAACATGGGGTCATAATCCAAAGGCAACAGGCGAGCAACCAGGCTTCTCCAATGCAATGTGGCGAGATTGCTCTCGTCACACATACATTGAATGACAGTCAGTATTATACCGGATAATGATACATTGAATGAGAGTCAGTATTATACCGGCTAATGATACATTGAATGAGAGTCAGTATTATACCAGCTAATGATACATTGAATGAGAGTCAATATTAGTAAGATATGTTTGTTGGAAAAGCTGATGTTTATTAATCACCTTTTCCATGTTTCCATTTATAGGATTGAGAGGAGAGAAGGGTAAGTCTATTCAATATTCATTTTTCTTCCTTCCTGCTATTTTCTGGACTTGAGATGTACCCAGATTTCAGAAGGACATTACATTAATACAGTTCCTTATCCCATACAGGACCTATAGGAGATGTTGTCTATGTGCCACACATATCCTTTTCTGCTGCCCTGACGTACCCCCAGGTCGATCCTGGAACCATCGCCTTCGATAAGATCCTGGTCAATGACGGTAATGGCTATGATCCATCTAGTGGTGAGTATTTAAAGGTGGCAAACAGAGTGGATTTATGTAAAAAAAAAAAAAATAGGTTAAAGTATTATTAAATCATAGGGTTTGGATTTAAGTCCTGAAGTAAAAGTTTAAAAAGAGCGGTGGTGCAGATTTGTTGAGTGTGAGGCCAGTGTAAGACAATTGTAAAAGTCCCCCCCACCCCCCCATCCACACAAGCAGATGCCCTCAGCTGTTCCAATGTCACTGGGCCACTCCAATTTTACTGGACCATCTCTATTTCACTTGGCCATCCTGATTTCATTGGACTGTCCTGATTTTGGGTTCCAGTCATTCTGTCCCAATTTTGTTCCCCGGACACCAAGGTCCTGACCACAGCCAGCACAGCGCTATGGTGAATACAAAGACAGTTAGAGCAGTTCTGAATGGGACCAGAGGCAATTAGCCAGTCTGGCATGCATACACACCAAGGTCCAGACCGTAGTCAGCAGAACACTTGCACATCATTCCACACACTCACGCTGTGGTGAAGGCACTAGTACCATACATAGACAGTTACAGCAGTGCTGAATGGGACTAGCCTGGCATACATATACACCAAGGTGACAAACTACTTATGCAGACGGGCCCACCACTTTCTGATATTGAAAACCCATTCAGGGCAGTGCCAGTGAAACAACTAGTGCCATTTGGACACTTGTTTATTTCTGCCCCACCCCCTGCCCTGATTTTATTCCTCTCAATATTGGGAAGCTTGCAAATACACACATCTTTAGCCTCAAACTATTAACCACATACAGTGAGGGAAAAAAGTATTTGATCCCCTGGTGATTTTGAACGTTTGCCCACTGACAAAGAAATGATCAGTCTATAATTTTAAAGGTAGGTACCTTTTAACAGTGAGAGACAGAATGACAAAAAAACAAAAATCCAGAAAAATTAATGTCATAAAAGTACAAAATTGATTTGCATGTCAATGGATGAAATAAGTATTTGACCCCTTCGACTTAGTACTTGGTGGCAAAACTCTTGTTGACAATCATAGAGGTCAGACATTTCTTGTAGTTGGCCACCACGGTTGCACACATGTCAGGAGGGGTTTTGTTCCACTCCTCTTTGCAGATCCTCTCCAAGTCATTAAGGTTTCGAGGCTGACTTTTGGCAACTCAAATCTTCAGCTCCTTCCACAGATTTTCTATGGGATTAAGGTCTGGAGACTGGCTAGGCCACTCCAGGACCTTAATGTGCTTCTTCTTGAGCCACGCCTTTGTTGCCTTGGAGGTGTGCTTTGGGTCATTGTCATGTTGGAATACCCATCCACAACCCATTTTCAATGCCTGGGCTAAAGGAAGGAGGTTCTCACCCAAGATTTGATGGTACATGGCCCCGTCCATCGTCCCCTTTGATGTGGTACAGTTATTCTGTCTCCATATCAGAAAAACACCCCTAATGTTTTTGTGACGGACCCTCCGTCAATCGATGCTCCTAGAGCTTACCAAGGACCATCGGCACCGCACCAGACACCATAAGCACTGCAGACCCCACTGTAGCGGAAAGCTGGTCTCTCACAGACTATTTCCGCTGGTAGGCCAGGTGTGGCTCAGGAACAAGTAGTAAATCCCATAGAGTAGCATGCACAATCAATAAGACAATCCAATAATCCCATCACCTTTCCCAATAACTGGACGACACACAGTATCAGGAGAACTTAACTAACTTTTAATCACACAACCCCTGCTTTATTGCAATGCTCCCGTGCAAGGGAGCCACCCACAATAATTAGTACATTAACCAATAAAGTACAAGGTACAACCCACACATCTCCTCCCATCAGCTTATCTGTTAACAGAATTAAAATGTACATATTTTTCCCCAAGTTCTAGATGCAGGGCCGTTATCAGAAATTTTGGGGCCCCTGACAAAGCACAAGGTCTGGGCCCCCCTCCACTTCCCTATCCCCCGGCCCGCCCACGCCCTACCTAGTCCGCTTACAATGATGCAGGACTGAATGTGGTGTGTATAGTGGAAGTGAATTAGAATGTGTGTAATGGATGTAGTGTTTGTGTGTATTAGATACTGTTTGTGCAGTGAATGCAGAGTGTGTGTTTGTGTAGTGGATGCAGTGTGTATAGTGAATGCAGAGTGTGTTTGAGTAGTGGATATAGTGTGTGTACAGTTATGTAGTGTGTGTTTGTGTAGTGGATGTAGTGTTTGTGTGTACTAGATGAAATGTGTTTAGTGGATGCAGTGTCTGTAGTGGATGTAGTGTGTGTATTAGACGCAGTGTCTGTGTATAGTGAATGCAGAGTGTTTCAATTTGTGGTGGATGTAGTGTGTGTACAGTTAATGCAGAGTGTGTGTTATTGTAGCGAATGCAGAGAGTGTGTTAATGTGTAGTGAATGCAGAATGTGTGTCAGTGTAGTGAATGCAGAGTATATGTTAGTATAGTGAATGCAGAGTGTGTGTTAGTGTAGTGAATGCAGAGAGTGTGTTAGTGTGTAGTGAATGCAGAGTGTGTGTTAGTGTAGTGAATGCAGAGTATGTGTCAGGGTAGTGTATGCAGAGTGTGTGTCAGGGTAGTGTATGCAGAGTGTGTGTTATATAAGTTTATGTAGAGTGTGTGTTGTATTGGTGTATGCAGTGTGTGTTGTGTTAGTGTATGCAGTGTGTTTGTTGTATTGGTGTATGCAGTGTGTGTTGTGTTTGTGTATGCAGTGTGTGTGTGTTGGTGTATGGTGTGTGTTGTATTAGTGTATGCAGTGTGTGTGTGTTGTGTTAGTGTATGCGGTGTGTGTGTTGTATTGGTGTATGCAGTGTGTGTATTGTATTGGTGTATGCATTTTGTGTGTTGTGTTAGTGTATGCAGTGTGTGTGTTGTGTTAGTGTATTCAGAGTGTGTGTTGTATTAGTGTATGTTGTATTGGTGTATGCAGTGTGTGTTGTGTTAGTGTATGCAGTGTGTGTGTTGTATTGGTGTATGCAGTGTGTGTGTTGTATTAGTGTATGCAGTGTGTGTATTGTATTGGTGTATGCAGTGTGTGTGTTGTGTTAGTGTATGCAGTGTGTGTGTTGTGTTAGTGTATGCAGAGTGCGCGTTGTATTGGTGTATGCAGTGTGTGTGTTGTATTGGTGTATGCAGTGTGTGTGTTGTGTTAGTGTATGCAGTGTGTGTGTGTTGTGTTAGTGTATGCAGTGTGTGTGTTGTATTGGTGTATGCAGTGTGTGTATTGTATTAGTGTATGCAGTGTGTGTGTTTTATTAGTGTATGCACTCCCACACAAAATCCTCCCCTCTGCCTGTGATATGATTACTGAACACAATGGGTAATATAATTATCACAGGCAGAGAGATACAGTTTTTACAAAATATTAATAACTTCCAAAATATACCATTTTATGCCATTCACATAAAACATACATTTTCAGAATCAGCATGCTTGATATATACACATACTCAAAAATCAGGGCAATCCTTTCAGGGGTTAAAAAGTTAAGGGAAAGTCCTATTTGACCAAATGAAGCATGGTTTTTCTGCCCAAAACCAGTTCCACAGAGTCTTCTATCCTGGAGATAATTGGGAAGTAATCCAATTATCTCCAAGGACAGAGGCAAAACTCCATTAGCCACATGGTAGCTGTGGCAAACCTAGCCACTTGTAGGATGCTGGACTATCTGTATAAAAAGGTTGTCTGTAATAACCGCTGTAATATATGTGTAACCTTGGTTGATACTGTTATGTGTATAGAATTCGTATGCTAGCAGCCGAAAGCCGCTAGCATTCATGTATTTCGTTTCACGAACAGCAACTTTACTGGCTGTTCGTAAACCGAATGAGCTACCCCCTAATAGCCCACACATAGAGGGACGTGTGGCACTCATTAACCAATTGCAACATTGTGCACTCAAAAAATGTGCACTCGGACCCCAGCTATCATCCGAACGTCCATTCATTTAAATAAACTGAATATTGTTAAAGTTATGTATTTAAATGTAAAATGCCGGTTCTGCTGCACGGAGGGATAATCCACTTAACGGTATATTCCAGTGGGAGTATACCTTTCGTCCAGCAGTGCCTGATGGGAGAAATGCTCTAAATGTAGTACCCTACTGTATTACCCCTGCCATAAATACTGGAGCTGTGAATAAAAACCTCAGTTGACTCCCAGAACTGTGTTTCGTCCGGTTACGGGGGGGATTTGGGATATTGCCTTACTTTTCAGCACTTGACTGTGGATTACCTTCTGTACCAGCTACTATTACCCTGGTTCAGCCGCACAGGGTCACCCCGTCCCAGCACACAGGACGCACCATTGCTGTAAGGGTGGCCGGAGGGGCAATTCATAAACTGCCAACAGCTCAGGTACACATTGATTGGGGTACTGGGGCCAAGGCTGTGGAAGTGGGCATCATGCCAGATTTACCAGCGGAAGTATTGTTGGGAAATGATCTAGGATGCTTGACGTCGCAATTGGCAGCCCTCAGTCCAGAAGGAGCACTACCTGTCACCACCCGGCAGCAATCCAGAGCTGTGGAGGCCTCCCCCTCAACCCATGACCAGGTAAGCAATAACCCCCTGACAGTTAACCCTGGGGTACCCCTCAAGACTTTGAGCAAGCCCAGCAGGAAGATCCCACACAAAGAGGGTATCGGAGGGAGGCAGACTAACCCCAGGGAGACGGAGATCAGGCAAGATTTACCTGGGAAAAGGGTTTACTATACCGGGTGACCGGGGGAACAGGGAAAGGAGCGGGCCAGATAGAAAAATGACAGTTAATCGTACCCCGTAAGTATCGGGCAGAATTATTGCGGATTAGCCATGAAATTCCCCTAGCAGGTCACTTAGGCATAAAAAAGACTAGAGACCGACTCACATAGTCATTTTTCTGGCCAGGGTCACTAGAGAATTACAGGATTACTGTCGGACCTGCGACGTATGCCAAAAGGTAGGAAAGAGAGGATCACCCCCGGGCAAAACTACGTCCCCTATAAACACAAAAAGAATTCAGCCCTAGTAATCACAAAATTAGTCAAGGTAGGCAGCAACCCAAATGAAGGAAAACCCCTTGGGTCCTTCGGTGGATAGATACAAAAAGATATGGAAGGGCTGCGCCAAATAAGGGTAGATAGTCCAGTAAAGTATTGCTAGGGTGCCAATAGATGGTCTAGGATACTTGATAGAGTTCCTCTGTGGATGCGTCTGGTGTAGACCGTTCCGTATATGTAAATACAAGAGAGGTAGAGGCGACTAATGGTATAGTATGAAAGTTCAGGGTGTGATAGGTAACAAAAAGTAAAGAACTCACATTCAAGAGAGCTATGGCCAGCTCTGGTGTGGATTGCGTACAGCGGTATAATCCCCGCTTATGGGATATGTAGGGAGGGGGTCTCCGTCAACACCGTCTGGTAGTCCAGAACTCAGAAAAGAAAGACAGAAAGCAACAATAGTGCTCTCAATTTTGATGTGGTTCAATGTGCAGATAAGAAGAGGTAAAAAACTCACATTTGAGGGAGCTATGGCCAGCTCTGGTGTGGATAGCGTACAGCGGTATAATCCCCGCTTATAGGATATGTAGCGGCGATACGTCCGTCAGCACTGTCTGGTGATCCAAGGCTCCAATATAGAAGAATAAAAAGCAGCAATAGTGCTCTCAATTGTGACAGGTTAAGAGAGTAGTAGAGAAAATAAAATAATACTCACAAAGATAGAGCAGAGGTACTGCTCTATGGATAGGCGCTGGTGGTATGATCCCCACCTAGGATTTCTTGGAGTACTGGAACTTTAAAATTGCCAGTGGAAGTAAAAGTAACCAGGAAAGGTTAAAATGCCAGGAATAGGTAAAAAAAGTTGTTTAAAGTGCATAAAGAGTGCAATAAAAAGAGGATTGGTACAATAAAGTAGCCAAAAAACTTTTATTGATCTAAAATACACAGTAAAATACAGAATTAATAACCATAAACGCGTTTCACCATAAGTGGCTTCTTCAGAAAACTACGTCCCCTACCCATCATCGAGGAACCATTTTTCCGTGTGGCGGTCAATTTAGTCGGGCCACTCAGCAAACCCAGTCCATCTGGTAAGAAATACATTCTTACTGTGGTGGACTACGCTACCCGCTATCCAGAAGCAATAGCTCTGTCAAATATACATGCAGAGACGGTGGTGGAAGCACTGGTTCAGGTGTTCACTAAGGTGGGGTTCCCTAGGGAGATAGTGTCAGATCATGGAACCCAATTCACAGCGGTGGTTACCCAACAGCTCTAGCAGAGCTGTGGGGTAAAACCCATATAAAGTTCCCCATATCATCCCCAGACCAATGGCCTCTGTGAGCGTTTTAACAGCACCCTTAAACAAATGCTCATCACGTTCACAGAGACCTGTAGGAATTGGGAAAAGTTCCTTTCCCATTTGCTCTTTGCCTATAGGGAAGTTCCCCAGGAGTCCACCGGATTCTCCCCGTTTGAACTACTATACGGGAGACGAGTCCGAGGACCCCTAGACCTAGTACGGGAACATTGGGAAGGCGATATGGAACACACAGGTACCCCTATAGTCACGTTTGTACTAGAGCTGAGGGACCGTCTGCAGGCTCTGACCGAAATGGTTCGGGAGAACCTGCGGGCAGCTCAACAACGGCAGAAGTACTGGTACGATAAAGGAGCTAGAGACCGTATATTGGAGGTAGGACAAAAGTTCCTAGTGCTTAAGCCCATTAAGACTGATAAGTTACAAGCATCCTGGCAGGGCCCCTACACTGTGATAGAGCGGATCAGTGATACCACGTACACTGTGGCAGACTGTTCTGATGGAAGGATCCGACGATCCTTCCATGTAAATATGCTCAAGCCATATCTCGAGAGAACAGAGGAAGTCTCCGTGGTATGCGCCCCAGCGTATGAGGATAGTGAGGGTATCCCTTTACCTGATATGCTTCCTCAAGAACCTACAGGGGTAGAACAGGTACAGTTGGGCCCCGAATTAAATCCAGAGGAGAAAGCTCAGGCTTCCCAATTGTTAGAGGGGTTTGGGGGCATGTTTTAGGCAGCCCCAGGGTATACGACCCTGGCAGTCCACAGAGTGGAGACCCCAGGCCAGTTACCTCTGCGGCAGCAGCCCTACCGAATCCCCGAAGCAGTACGGGAAAGCATGTTAAAGGAAATCCAGGACATGTTAGAACTGGGATGGCCATGGATGTTGTGTTAGTGTATGCAGTGTCTGTTGTATTAGTGTATGCAGAGTGTGTTTGTTGTGTTAGTGTATGCAGTGTGTGTGTGTAGTATTGGTGTATGCAGTGTGTGTTTTGTATTGGTGTATGCATTGTGTGTGTTGTGTTAGTGTATGCAGTGTGTGTGTTGTATTAGTGTATGCAGTGTGTGTGTGTGTTGTATTGGTGTATGCAGTGTGTGTGTTGTATTGATGTAGTGCGAGTGTTGTATTAGTGTATGCAGTGTGTGTGTTGTATTGGTGTATGCAGTGTGTGTGTTGTGTTAGTGTATGCAGTGTGTGTGTGTGTTGTGTTAGTGTATGCAGAGTGTGTGTTGTATTGGTGTATGCAGTGTGTGTGTGTTGTGTTAGTGTATGCAGTGTGTGTGTTGAATTAGTGTATGCAGTGTGTGTTGTATTAGTGTATGCAGTGTGTGTGTGTTGTGTTAGTGTATGCAGTGTGTGTGTTGCATTAGTGTATGCAGTGTGTGTAAATGTGCAATCTGGGGGGGGAAGGAGGAGGAAGAGGCATTTTCACATACATTTTTTAATTTATATTAAATTAATTAAATGCTATTCCCCCTCCCTGCTTCTTACCTGTGTCCAGGAAGGGGGGAGACTCCATTCCCTGGTGGTCCAGTGGCATGGTGGCCCCTCCCCCAGCTCCCTGTTACAGCAGAGGGGGCCCAGCACACTGCCTCCTCTCTTCTAATAACTCTTGCGAGACCCGCGGCCTGCGTACCACGCGGAGCGTTGCCATGGCAACGCTCAGAAGGCCGCGGGTCTCGCAAGAGTTATTAGAAGAGAGGAGAAAAGAAAAGGCAGTGTGCTGGGCCCCCTCTGCGGTAACAGGGAGCCGGAGGGCCGCGGCTGCACACATAGTTAGCGATATCCGCTATCTATGTGCGCAGAGAGGGAAAGTGGTTGTCACCCCCTGATGGCGACCCTGTCTAGATGTACCCCAAATACATAGGATACACCCACTAAATGTGGTATCCCATGATAGCCCTGATCTGAGTGAATAACATATTCAAAAATCACCCAGATCGGACCAGGGGTTCAGGAGTTATGGGCAAGTAAAGTTTTGACCGACTGCACAGGCAACAGTATCCAAAAATAGTTCCATAAGGTTTGGCCTTGCGGTCGGTCTCTGTTCGTGGAATAAAAGTCCCGAAAGGATTGCCATCCATGGCTATGCTGGCATTCGTGTGAATCCCCATGTTAGTAGGAGTCTTTCTACCGAATGGCGGCTCGTTCGGTAGTTCCAGCCCAAAGATATGGAGGTCTGGAGGTCTCAGTGGTGTTTGCTTAGTCGAGTGTGCAATTTTAGTTCAAGACACTCAACGGCAAAACACAGCTGTTCGGGAGATTAAGATGGCCGCCACCACGTGTTAAACTCACGAAATGGCGGCCACCTAGGGACTTAACCGGGCGTTTGTGAGTTTCCACTTAAGTAATAAACCGAATTGAAGCCACACTTTGTATCATGGTGGTCTCGTGTTTGGTAGATTTAGTTCGTGTGACGAATGCAATGGGTCAATATAGTTTTATGTGGACATTCAAACGAATGCTTCGTACACTGAAGATATATATAGCAGCAAAGTACCGAAAGTATTTTAAACACCCAGTTTTGCAGGCAGCTCAATGTCCTTTGCTGCATAAGTTATATAGTCCGAAGTCTCTGCAATATTATATTATATGTCCTTGGCTGGTTCTTAAAGGACCAGTAGTGCCATACAAAATCCCATTAAGCCCAGCCATTATACTTAAAGGGCTACATCTTCCTGGGACCATAATCACTGGGCAGGAGGCGGGCAAGCAGCCCCCTCCAAGAACTCAGGGCAAACTCCTTTAAAGTGGCGAGTTTGCTACACCCACGAACCGCCGCAGCCTGTTTGGGGTCTCGCCGTCTCCTACCCACCCTGGACCTACGACGAGGCTCCAGGCTCCAGTGGGTGAACCTCTCTTCCTTCAGAGAGTTAAGCAGGAACAGCTCTTAGAAGAGCTAGTGATTAGAACCCAGGGGAGTATACAGAGTATAGCAATCCCCAGTGTGATAAAGCAGTACCCTACAACACAAGACAAGGCTGTGAGTTGAGGGTAAGATTATCTGACAGTTTATTGGCACACACTGGTATTTTATACAGGTTTTACAGCAAAGGTGACACCCAGGTGGACCTTTTGGGCACCGAATACTAAACATACAAGCCAGGGGCGTGGCCTAGCTCTTGATGTGAGCGGATGCATCTGAACGGAGCACACTCACAGCGGAATTTAACAAGCCGGTAAAACAAACTCTATTCGAAGCAAATGGGCAATAAAAAAAAGCCTAACGTACTCCAAAACACCCTGGATCCGGGCGCGATCAAAAAAGCTGGGGACTGGATAAATATTTCAAAGAGAACATGAAAGTGCATTGTAGCGGAGCGGCAATATTAAATCCCACGATCTCTGCTGGTAAAGAAGGTAATCCACAGTCAAGCGCTGACAAGTAAGGCAATATCCCAAATCCCCCAGTAACCAGACGAAACACAGTTCTGGGAGTCAACTGAGGTTTTTATTCACAGCATACAGTATTTATGCATGTCCCCATGCAAGGGGTTTCCCATGCAGGGGTCATACAATAGGGGGACTACATGGGGGACTTAACATTCAGAACATTTCTCCCATCAGGCACTGCTGGACGAGAGGGATACTCCCACTGGAATAGACCGTTAAGTGGATTATCCCTCCGTGCAGCAAAACCGGCATTTTACAGTAAAATGTATAACTTTTATAACACTCGAGTGATTTAAACGAATGAACGTTCAGTGGATAGCTGTGGTCTGAGCGCCCCGTTTGTGAGAACACCGCTCAGATCCCAGCTTTTGTCTGAAAGTACCGAACACCAATGGGGAACTGCAATAGTGAAACACCGGAGCTCCCGAATGGCCTGGAAGTTCAGCGGGGTTCGCGCCGTCGAGTAGCCGATTTCGGCTCCACGCGCTCGACTACCAAACCCCGCTGGTGAGACAAAGGATCTAAGATGGCCGACCGCCGCGTGGTCGGTAGCCGAACGACGGCCACCCAGGAAAGCCTCTAATTACCAATTGCAACACTGTTGCAATCAGTTAATGAGCGCCACACGTCCCTCTATGTGTGGGCTATTAGGGGGTAGCTCATTCGGTTCACGAACAGCCCGTAAGGCTGCTGTTCGTGAAACGAAACACATGAATGCTAGCGGCTTTTGGCTGCTAGCATACGAATTCTATGCAAACACACAGTAACACACAGTGTAGATCTAGGTTATACATGAAGTTACAGGGATTAGTACAGACAACCTTTTTATGCACATAGTCCAGAATATTACAAGTGGCTAGGTTTGCCACATGCTTGTAACGGGCCATTTTGCACATAAGCGGTTAAAACCCGTTTAGCCGATATTCCCCTTTCCCAGCTGCACAGACGGCTACTGCAAGCACCAATCTCCTGAACTGCAAACCCACGAATTCACCAACTCCCGAACTGCAACCAAGGGAATACTCCAAACTCCCGAACTGCATACCAAGTAGCACTCCAAACTCCCGAACTGGAGACACACGAATAGCTGTTAGCAGACGAACAGGAAAAGTCCCCAAGCGGCTTACACTCCTGGCAATCAGTCTCTAACAGCATACAGTAATTCCCCCAAAGACGAGACGACACTTCGTTTTGAGGGTCAAGCAGAATCTGGTTTACTGGGGCTAACTGCCCGGCTTTTATGCAGGTCTCCCACCTGGTGGACACTCCCCTAGGGGACCAGATGGGAGACTGGGACACAAAGGGTACAAGAACCAATCACAGACTTACACATTTCAACAATCCCACAATGTATCACAATCCCTCCTCTCTGTCTTGGAGATAATTGGGAAGTAATCCAATTATCTCCAAGGACAGAGGCAAAACTCCATTACACACATTTTCAGTAAAAGACATAAAATTACATACAGTTACGTTTATTACATAAAACATAGACATTCTACATATCCCCAGATAGCTTAGATCTGAGCGCATATTACTACCGAATGGCGATCAGATCACATACATATAGTTCAATCGCCATGGAGCCAAAGTCTTTCACATAGTCTTTCGTTACACGAACAGGCTCCATGGCTTAATTTGGTTCCGCTACCGAATGGGAAGGTAAGGAGGCTGGCTGCTCAGTGGTGTTCGCACCAATAAGTGTCCATTTTCAGTTCCATAGTTTGGGCGCTGAACACCGCCGGCCGTTCGGGAGGTAAAATGGCCGCTGCCATGTGTTCGGCAACAGGAACAAAGGCCACCCAGCGTTCATCAATTAAGCTGCGGTTAACCACAGCTTCTGGGCGGTCAATTGGCGGCACACTCCAGTTCCCAGGTGGTCCCTCGTTCGGTAGTTTGTTCGGTAAATGGAATCTACCGAACACCCTGCAGAAAGGCACGAATAAACCTTTCAGCAGGGAAAATAACAGGTCTGAACTGCAGGGCCATAGTCTAAAGGGAGCAGGCGAGCAACCAGGCTTCTCCAGTGCATAGTGGCGAGGTTGGTTCCGCCACAGTGCTCAGTGCCGATACGGACGACAGCCAGGCGACGCCATCTTTAACACGTGGCTCGCCGTATAGCAGCCCTGCTCGATTGGAACACTCCTCAGACCCCAGAATGGCGGACATAAAAGAAATGCTCCTTAATATACCTTCAAAGGATGATAGCGCAGCGATGCTGGCATGGTTGGAAGCAGTGTAGGAGCAGTTCGCAACACTGGCAACAGAAGTTAAACAGGTTAGCAACAAAGTGGGTGACTGAGAGGAGGACAGAGACCAAATCCTAGACAGATTACTCACACTAGAACAGAGACAAGAAATCACCAACACCAAGACCCTCTATAATATGAAAAATATAGAGAATTTAGACAATAGGGGCCGCAGAAATAATATTAGAATTCGGGGGCTGCCAGAGACACAAGGCCCGACGGGAGACCTCCAAAATATTTTACAATCTCTCTTTAATAGAATCCTGCATAGGCCGGAGGACACACATATCCTATTGGATAGAGCACCCAAAGGCTTAGCACAAGATGCCCCAAGAGACATTATATGTAGAATACACTACTACTCTGAGAAAGAGGCCATTGTGAGGAGCGCAAGGGAGGCCGCAGAGATCGCGTACAACAACGCTAAACTTCAACTTCTTCCAGACTTGTCATGAGTGACCCCAAAGGGCAGGAGAGCACTGAGACTGGTCACGCAGGCTCTCCAACAAGCAGGAATAAAATACAGATGGGGTTTTCCATTTTCCTTAAATGCATTACATAAAGGGATACAAGCATCGCTAGCTGAAGTAGCGGACTTTACTAAACGACTAAGCATGCCAAATGGAAGTAATGGACTGGTACGACCTAACGGTGCAAGAAACAAGCCAGGCCCTATCACAACGCACAAAAGGACAGGGACAGGACAGCCAGAGGAAACAGCCATGGAAGTCTCCCCCGACATCACCCTTCATGAATCCCAGGAGGCGGCCAGTAACACCAAGAAAGACCCAGTGAACACGTGAAAGCACAAAGAGACTGTGGCAAACCTAGCCACTTTAAGACTTACTGTATAACATCAGAAGGTTGTCTGCTTTTATTGTATATAAGGATGTATTCGTATGCTAACGGCCGAAAGCCACTAGCATTCATATGGTAGTTTCACGAACAGTGACTTTAGACACTGTTCATGAAACGAATAAGGTACCGAACGGGAGCCCACACACAGAGGGTCGTGTGGCTCCGATTGTTGCAATCGGTAGTTAATTGCTTTCCTAGGTGGCCGTCGTTCGGCTACCGACCACGCAGCGGTCGGCCATCTTGGATCCTTTGTTAGCCCAGCGGTGTTTGGTCGTCGAGCACCTGGAACTAAAATCGGCTACACGACGGCGCGAACGCCGCTGGACTTCCAGGCTGTTCGGGAGCACCGGTCCTTCAGTATTTTGTTCCCTATTATGTATTTGGTACTTTTAATGAGAATGTAAAATAAAGTGTGTTTCGTGCGGCGTTCGGTTATTTATGCTGGGATCTGAGCAGTACTTTCACGAAGTGTGCGCTCAGACCCCAGCTATCTACCGAACGGTCATTTAAGGGAATCACACGAATAATATTAAAGTTATGGATTTTTGTGTTAAAACCCGGTGCTGCTGAGGGATAATCCACTTAACAGGATATTCTAGTGCGAGTATCCCTCACGTACAGCAGTGCATGGTGGGAGAAATGCTCTGTATTTTCAGTTCCCCATGTAGTCCTCTACTGTAATACCCCTGTAAAGTGACTAAGGAAACCCCTTGCATGGGGAATCACATAAATACTGGAGCTGTGAATAAATTTGTCAGTTGACTCCCAGAACTGTGTTTCGTCCGGTTACTGGGGGATTTGGGATATTGCCTTCTTTTCCAGCGCTTTACTTTGGATTACCTTCTATACCAGCGGAGATCTTGAGATTTAATATTGCAGCTCCGCTACAATTGGTGGCAAGCAGTGGCATGGCATCCTAGTGCGAGGTAAAGCAGCTCAGAGACACCGTTCGTTGAGTTACAAATTGAGGGCAACGCTAGCACTCATGCAGCGCCCCTGGGAGCAGAGGTATCCAGTGACTTGGAGGAGACAGGTATGGAAGGCTCTGAAGATGATTGGCTGGCCGTGGTGTGGGCCCTCAAAAAGTTGCAGCCTTATTTATATGGACAACCTTTTTTCTTACTCACAGATCACAACCCGTTGGTGTGGCTGAACCGTGTGGCTGGGGACAATGCCAGGCTGCTGCGCTGGAGTTTGGCGCTGCAGCCTTTTGACTTTACTATTCATTACCGCCCAGGGAAGCAAAACGGTAATGCCGACGGGTTATCTAGACAAACTGACCTTGAGAAGTGATCTGTGAGTACTCCTCCGGACATCCCCAAGCCGATCCGTTTGGATCAGACTGTTGCATGCCGGCTTGGTTCTGGGGGAGCGTTGTGGCAAACCTAGCCACTTTAAGACTTACAGCATAACATCAGAAGGTTGTCTGCTTTTATTGTATATAAGGATGTATTTGTGTGTGTTTGCAATAGAGAGTATTCGTATGCTAACGGCTGAAAGCCGCTAGCATTCATATGGTAGTTTCACGAACAGTGACTTTAGACACTGTTCGTGAAACGAATAAGGTACCGAACGGGAGCCCACACACAGAGGGTCGTGTGGCTCCCATTAACCGATTGCAACATTGTTGCCATCGGTATCCAAAGGTATACAAAGGATCCAAGATGACCGACCGCCGTGTGGTCGGTAGCCGAACGACGGCCACCTAGGAAAGCAATTAACTACCGATTGCATGTTGCAATCGGTAGTTAATTGCTTTCCTAGGTGGCCGTCGTTCGGCTACCAACCACGCGGCAGCCGGCCATCTTGGCTCCTTTGTTAGCCCAGCGGTGTTTGGTCGTCAAGAACCAACTAAAATCGGCTATTCGACGGCGCGAACACCACTGGACTTCCAGGCCGTTCGGGAGCATCGGTCCTTCTGTATTTTGTTCCCTAATATGTATTCGGTACTTTTAATGAGAATGTAAAATAAAGTGTGTTTCGTGCGGCGTTCGGTTATTTATGCAGGGATCTGTGCGGTACTTTAACGAAGTGTGCGCTCAGACCCCAGCTATCAACCGAACGGTCATTTAAGGGAATCACACGAATAATATTAAAGTTATGGATTTTTGTGTTAAAACCCGGTGCTGCTGTATGGAGGGATAATCCATTTAACAGGATATTCTAGTGGGAGTATCCCTCACGTACAGCAGTGCATGGTGGGAGAAATGCTCTGTATTTTCAGTTCCCCATGTAGTCCTCTACTGTAATACCCCTGTAAAGTGACTATGGAAACCCCTTGCATGGGGAATCACATAAATACTGGAGCTGTGAATAAAATTGTCAGATGACTCCGGTTACTGGGGGATTTGGGATATTGCCTTCTTTTCCAGCGCTTTACTTTGGATTACCTTCTATACCAGCGGAGATCTTGGGATTTAAGACTGTCCACTTCACACCCAGAGATGAACTGAAATATCCACAGATTAACACTACTGAGAGGGCTGTGGTGGTAAATATGCGTAGATCAATATTAGGTTGAATATACTAGGCTTAACCACATAAAAACACCTTAGCGCCTAGGCCCTAGTAACGCGTTTTCACGCGTTGCACTTCTAAAAAGCCCAACACACACCAGGCTTCAATAGTACATATATTTTACTTCTGCTGTGGGGGAGGACCACTTACAAATCTGACTTAGGAACATTTACCTACCCCGATATGACTCGAGCTAAAGCATCGCAGAAGCTCATCACGGAGCAGAGCTCCTACTACTCTATGCTTTAATCAGTAGTACACAACCCCACACACATTGGGACCAAAAAGGCCCAGAGCGGTACAATAAAGCGAACATAGAAGCCGAAAGACACGGAAGCCAACACATAAGAGAGCCTCAACTTTTGTGTCCTCAGCTCCTATAACACAAGTTACAGTATTGTTATCTCACAGTGGAAGAAACCCCAGGAGACCTTAGAATTATTGTTTATTGAATTTATTATTTGATAATTACTGTTTATTTTTGTGCAATTGAAATACTATTAATAACTGACCACAGGGAATGCAGTGACCAAACACTTAGTGAACGCACCCGAAAACAGTAACTGTAGCTGTATTGTTGATACACCCAAGAATAAACACCAAAGCCTTGGGATTCAAGCCCGAAGGGAACTCACACGAGAAGCAGGTATGGGTACCCTCAGAATTAGCTTTCAAAATGTCGGGGGCCTTAACACAGCTGAGAAAAGACGGATGGTACTTACAGAATTTGCAAAAATGAAGGTGGACGTCGTTTTCCTACAGGAAACATACAGATGCCCCTCTACTTAAACACCCCCATCTCCCCCATATCTACTATAACAGAAGTAAGTCAAGGGGAGTAGCGATTCTGATAGGAGGCGGGGTCCCCTTTACATACTCAAAACACCTGACAGACGACTTAGGTCGCTTTATAATATTGCAGGGTCTAGTAGGGATGTCACCGATCACCCTCGTGGCAATATATCTCCCGAATAGGCATCAATGTGGAGCTTTTCGGAAAATAATGACGAAAGTCATCCAACACACAAATGGCACCCTCATAATCGGGGGAGACTTTAATATCTCTCTGGACGCCACTAAAGATAGCACATCAAACAACACCACACACATGGCCACGGCGAGACATCAAATGCAACACATACTATACACTAACCAACTAACGGACTGTTGGAGGGTGTACCACCCGTCAACAAAGGATTACACCCACTACTCTATTCTGAATAAAACCTACTCTCGCATAGACGTCTTCCTAAGCACACACAGGGACCTGGGGCTGGTCACTGACATGTCTATAGGTAACATAACATGGTCGGACCATTCTCCAATTTTTCTTTCAATATCCATCCCCTCACTACCACGTCCCAAAGGACAATGAAAACTGAATCCGAACCTACTGAATTCAGAAAAAATTAATCACTCCCTAGCAACCACAATCAGTCAATACTTCAGGGAAAACAAGGAATTAATAAAATGGGGCGCACACACCAAAAAAACAAAAAAACAAACGAATGCTGAAATTACTAGACGAAATAAAACAAACAGAAGAATCGCATAAAAACAATCTCTCAGTCCAGACATACCGCTCCCTCATTGCTTTAAGAAAAGAGCTACACTCGCTCTTACAAGACAAAACGAAAAAAGCCATACTATGGACAAAACAAATATATTATGCCCAGGAGAACAGCTGTGGGAAACTATTAGCACAGACTTTGAAACAAAGGCAATCATTAACCTACATCCCTATAATCAAACGCACAGATGACACAATAGCACTGATGACTGAAGACATGGCAGAGACCTTCAGGAAATATTACACATCCCTCTACAATCTACACGAGAAAACACCAGACACTGACAAAATACAAAAATACCTAGAAAACAAATTTGACGCAATTCTTCCAATGGCAGTGACCAGATCTTAAGCGGAACCGTTCACTTTAGATGAAATCCAAACGGCCATTAAACAGACATCACATAATAAAAGTCCAGGCCCAAATGGATTCTCCGCCTCTTACTATAACATTTTTCAAAAAGAGCTAACTAAACACTTCTTATAGGCAATTAACTCTGTCCCAGATGGACGACTGATCCCCACACAAGCACTAGAAGCAAATATAACCCTTATCCCCAAGCCAGGAAAAGACCTGGAAAGATGCTCGAGCTATAGACCAATCTCCCTCATAAATGTCAACATTAAGATTTTTACTAAAATGTTGGTGTAACAGCTACCCTGGTATAGTGAGGGTACCAGCCGTTGGGGACGTCCTTTTTTTTTCCCGGCAGTCGCTGTGTAGTGATGAAGTCGCCTATTCCCTTCTGCTGGATCAGGAGTGGAAGCCAGGTACAGCTCTGAAAAGAGCTAAATGATTAAGCTGCAGAGATTCCCCTTTCAAGAACGAGACGAGGCTACGTTTTGAAGGGTCAAGAAGAACTAAGGATTAATTGACAGACACTCTCCTTTAAGCGATTCTGCCCATGCAAGGGAGACACCCACATAATTATCAGTACAACCAAGCCATACAATATACATTCTGTAAATCCCCTCCCCTCACATAACTACATAACATAATTAAAAAGGAACATATTTTCCTCAAAGTTTGGATGTACCCCAAATACTATCCCCAGATAGCTTCCATTTAGGGTACTAACATATTTAAAAATCAGCTCATTCGGTTCAGCCGTTCAAGAGATATGAGACTTAGAAGTTTTGACCGACCGCACAGGCACAGTAGCCGAAAACAGTTCCATGAATGCTGGCCCTGCAGTCGGTCTAAGAACGTGGGTAAAAACTCCCGAACGGCCGGCCATCCGTATGCCATCCTGGGTTCGCTGAAATCCCCATCTGCTGCTGATTCTTTCTACCGAACGCCCGGTTGTTCGGTAGTTTTGGCGAGGTTTTCCCAAAGGTATGGAGGTCTCAGCGGTGTTCGCCTGTTTGAGTGTCCGATTTTAGTTCCAGACATTCAACGGCAAACACAGCTGTTCGGGAGTTAAAATGGCCGCAAACACGTGGAAGTCCCGAAATTGCGGCTGAGCTTACAGTTCTCATAGCGTTCGTGCGGTTGTTTCGAATAAAAGTGCCCATCAAGCAGGGAGGTAAATTAGACATAATTAACAGTCAGGGTGGCCTGTTAAAGGCAGGTAAGCATTCGCATGGAGAATGCTTTCAAAATACCGAACGGCTTTATAATCCATATGTCTTTTACAGTCAGACTGTGCTTTTTGTTACATGGCTCCCCTTTTGTGGGATACCCCGGCAGACCAGGATTGATCCTTTTCGGATCACCGTGGGGCTGTCCGGGTTTCGGTTAGGGCATTTGTTCGGTTTGTCTGGACAGGCCATCCGCATTCCCATTGAGTTTACCTGGCCGATATTGTATGGAGAAATTATAAGGTTGTAACGCCAGGCTCCATCTTAATAAACGGCCATTATCTCCGGCCACGCGGTTCAACCACACGAGAGGGTTATGGTCAGTGATGAGGGTGAACTCGTGACCATACAAATATGGAGTCAATTTCTTTAGGGCCCAGACCAGGGCTAAACATTCTTTTTCCACTGCCGTGTAGCTCACTTCCCTGGGTAGCAGTTTTCTGCTTAGGTACATGACAGGGTGTTCTCCTCCATCTTCTCCGATCTGGCTTAAAACTTCCCCCAGTCCATACATGGAGGCATCTGTGTGGACGACAAACCTTTTGTTAGGGACTGGGGCAGCTAGCACAGGAGCGTTGATTAATGCATTCTTTAATGTCTGAAATGCTGTTTCACAGGCGGGAGACCACAGGACTATCCTAGGTAGATTATTTTTGGTCTGTTAAAGGCTTGGCGATACTACTATAGTCTGGGACAAATTTCCTGTAGTACCCTGCCGTCCCTAGAAAAGCCAGTAACTGGGTCTTGGTGTGGGGTGTGGGCCAATTAGCCACGGCCTCAACTTTGGCTGGCTCCGGCTGTTGCTTCCCACTGTCAGGTTATACCTGCCGTTCTTTTGCCGAAAGAACCCACTTCCGGGTTCACGGAGCTTCGCCCCGCCCCTTTTTTCTGACGCGGTCCTTCCACACTACATAGGAAGACCGTGCCAGATTCAAAGGGCTGGATTATTGCACAGGTGTCTGTAAAACTTACCAGCTGCTCCATTCTGAACTAACCGTGTACCGAAAAACGCTCTGGAACGACTACCCGCCTTCTCCACTCCTTGACCTCGGCTTGTTAAACGGACTTCTCTTTCTCTCCTCAATTATTGGTTTAAATTAAGCTCTCCAGTTCCAGAACTTCCTCTTAAAGCAAAGTAAAGTTCCTCCAATCAAATTACTCTCTTTTATTAATAAGAGACTGCTTCCAATACTCAACATTGTTTCCTTCAATCAAGTTACTCTCTGTTATAAATAAGGAACTGGTTCTAAGGCTTAATTCTTCTTCCTTCAATCAAATTATACATAGTTGCAATTCTGTCTTGCTGCATTAATAATTTTGCTTGCAGTTATTCTATTTCATTTAAATTCAACCTAAGTCTGCATACATTCTCTGCACTATTTTTACTTGGGACTGTTTGGCTTTCTGCAAATCATCAGTGGCTTATTTTTTCCTTGCAATTAACAACCTGCTTGAGGGTTTAAAGCTACAGTATCTTCTTCTCCACATCAGTAACAAAAAATAGGTAAAACTATCATTTACTGTAATTGAAAATTGCTGCAGTTGAGTTCCTAAATAAGTTGGTGTTACACCCACATCCCACCCGGTATCCCAGGTACTGTACTTCGGCCATGCCAAAATGAAATTTTTCTGGCGTCAGAGTGAGGCCTGCGGCCCTAATCTGATCCAGTACGGCCCCCACCTGTCAGAGATGTTCTCCCCAAATTTCGCTGTAGATCGCAATGTCATCCAGGTACGCACATACGAAATCCTGGAAGCCATCAAGGAGCCTGTCAACCAAGCGCTGAAAGGTAGCGGGGGCGTTCTTCATCCCGAATGGCATGACCTTGAATTGATACAAGCCAAACGGGGTGACGAAGGCCGACTTGGGGACAGCCTCCTTGGCTACCCCTTGCACAGATCAATGGTAGTCAGGTATCTCCCCCTAGCAATGCGATCTAGGAGCTAGTCTACTCGGGGCATGGGATACGCATCGGCCACTGTCCTATCATTAAGACGTCTATAGTCGACGCAGAACCTGGTAGTCCCATCCTTTTTGGGTACCAGTACTACGGGGGAGGCCCACGGGCTGTCTGAGGGTTCTATGACTCCTAACTTGAGCATCTCTTGGATCTCTTTCCTCATCTCTTCTTTGACTGCCTCCAGGATCCTGTAAGGAGTCTTTCTAAGTGGCGTCTGCCCTGGGGTTTCTACATAATGGGTAGCTAACGTCGTGTATCCCGGCTCTTGGGAGAATGTCAGTCTCTTTTCTGTCAACAGCTGTCTGATCTGTCCCTTTTCTGCCGGGTTCAACCGCTCCCCTAGGTGGATAGTATCGAGGATATTATTTGGTTCGGGACCTGCTAACAAGTCGGGGATAGGCAGCCCGTCTGAGTCATCTGCACTTGGACTGCAGATGGCTGCAAAATCCTCGGCCCTTTCCTGATATTCCTTTAGTAGATTCACGTGGAAGAATTTCCGAATCCGGTTATCCTTGTTACTGGCTATTACGTAAGTGGTATCACATACTTGGGCTACCACCTTGTAAGGGCCCTGCCATGAGGTCTGGAGCTTGTTCCCTTTTACTGGTCTGAGAACTAGAACTTTCTGTCCCACCTGGAAGGTTCTCTGGCGGGCACCCCTATCATACCACCTCTTCTGTCGACTCTGGGCCGCCTGGAGATGGTCTCTAGCCATCCGAGCTAACTGCTCCATGCGCTCCCTCGTCTCCAGAACATATGGCACAATAGGAACACCCTCATGTTCCATCTCTCCTTCCCAGTGCTCTCGGATGAGGTCGAGGGGGCCTCGAACTCGTCTTCCATAGAGCAGCTCGAATTGAGAGAACCCAGTGGATTCCTGCGGCACCTCTCGTAGGCAAACAAGAGGTGCGGCAAGAATCGCTCCCAGTCTCTGTATTCCGCTGTAAAGGTCCGCAGTAATTGTTTCAGGGTACCATTAAAGCGTTCACAGAGCCCGTTAGTCTGGAGGTGGTATGGTGAGCTGAATAGGGTCTTGATACCACAGACCTTCCATAACTGTTGGGTCAGATCTGCGATAAATTGCGTCCCTCGATCAGACAAGATCTCTTGCGGAAACCCCACCCTAGTGAATATCCCGACTAAAGCACTGGCGACAGTGTCGGCCTGGATATTCGTCAGAGCGATGGCTTCCGGGTAGCAGGTAGCGTAGTCCACTACGGTAAGAATATATTTCTTACCGGAGGGACTGGGATTCGGTAGGGGCCCCACCAGATCGACTGCCACCCTGCTAAATGGTTCCTCGATTACTGGCATGGGTAACAGTCTTACTTTCAGGTGGTCCCCTCGTTTCCCCACTCGTTGACATACATCACAGGTACTACAGTAGCGTCGCACATCCTTCGAGATTCCCGGCCAAAAGAAGGTCTGGGTAATCCTGTAGGTAGTGCGGTTACCTCCTAAATGTCCTGCCAAGGGAATATCATGTCCAATTCGCAGAAGTTCCAACCGGTACTTTCTGGGTACCACTAGTTGGCGCTTCTGCGATGGGATACCGCCTTTCTTTTTCCCTTCTGTCAATCTATACAGTCGGTCATTATCCCATATAAAGCGTTCCTTCTCATCCCCCCCACTATCTGCAAGTTCCCTGTATTTTTGGAGGGTAGAATCTGCCCGTGTCTCCCTCCCAAATGCTTCGGGGGTGTCCCAAGCTAAGGATCTCTCTATGGGGTCTGGTCTAGGGGTTGGTTCGTGGCTTACCTGGGTCTCCAGTCCTGGTGCAGGGTCGTCTGTAGCATAATCCTGGGAATGTGTGGTCACTGGGCAAGCGGCAGCAGTTGTAGGTAGATAGGCTGATGCAAGAGGGCCAATGTCATTGCCCAGTACGACCTCTGCGGGTAAATTGTCCATGATGCCCACAGTGGTCTTCCCAGACCCGACTCCCCAATCCAGGTGTACCCTTGCAGTGGGTAAACAAAAAACAGCTCCTCCAGCAACTCGTACAGCCACAGTGCGGTTGGACAAATGTTCAGGTTTTACCAAATGTCTCTGCATTAAGGTAATGGTTGCCCCAGTGTCTCTCAATCCTTGTGCCACCTGCAAGTTTACCCGCACTTCTTGTCGGTGATGTTGCCGATTATCTGGTGAGGCGGCTTGTATCGGGTCCGCCTCATACAAGATACCCAGGCATTCCTCTGGGCCCACCTCGGTCTCCAGGCAATGGGCGGCCGAGGTAAGTGGGGAAGCAATAGGAGTGCGAGGTGATGCGGTCTCTGTGGGTGGTGAGGGTCGTCGCCAGTTGTTGGCTGCCGACCCCAGGGGGCAGTGGCAGGCAATGTGTCCCAGGTTGTTGCAGCAATGGCACGCCATCCGGGATACATCTCTTGGGTAGCTGGGGGACCCCTGCGGGCGAGGAGGCCCAGGCGGTACGGGAGCACGGAATCCCGGACTAAAATTACTGGCTGGGGTACATGGTTCTGGCCTGCTTGTTGTGCGGGGAGAGCCTCGACTAACCCTCCTTGTTTCGGCATACTCGTCCGCTAGCCGAGCCGCCTCCTTCAGGTTGCTGGGTCGTCGATCCCTCACCCAGTCCTGTAGATCAGCTGCTAAATCCTGGAAGAAGTGTTCCATTAGGAACAGTTGTAAGACCTCCTCCCCTGTACTGGCATTACATCCTTGGACCCAGTGGGAGGCTACTCGCTGTAGACAGTTGGCCCATTCCATGTGAGAGCCCACGGCTTTCTTTTTAGACTCACGGAATCGTCAGCGGTATGCCTCCGGCGTCACAGCATAACGGGCTAACAGTGCCTTTTTGACCTGCTGGTATTGTAAAATATCCTCTGCGGTGAGGGCCCGAAATGCCTCGTTAGCTTTGCCTGACAGCTTCCCAGCTAAAATAGTAACCCATTGTTCAGGGGGTAAGGAGCACTGCCTCTCGAAATCGGCCAAATATCCGATCTCCTCTTCATTCTCCACAAACGCCTTGAATGCAGTAAATGGCACCTTCCTTGGGGTGGTACTCGGAGGGGGAGCAGGAACTGTATGTGTAACAGGCTGTTGAGCTCTTACCAGGTCGATTTCGTTCCCCCTCCTCTCCCGGATATCTGCTTTGGCATCGAGGAACAGGCCTCTTCAATTTGGCGTATTGAGACTCCATCCAGCATCTGCGCTGTGGATGAAAGGACCATCCCACCGCTGCCACCAATGTAACGGCTACCCCGGTATAGTGAGGGTACCAGCCATTGGGGACGTCCTTTTCTTCCCGGCAGTCACTGTGTAGTGATGGAGTCGCCTATTCCCTTCTGCTGGATCTGGAGTGGAAGCCAGGTACAGCTCTGAAAAGAGCTAAGTGATTAAGCTGCAGAGATTCCCCTTTCAAGAACGAGACGAGGCTACGTTTTGAAGGGTCAAGAAGAACTAAGGATTTATTGACAGACACTCTCCTTTTATGTGATTCTGTCTTCCATTAAGGGTACTAACATATTTAAAAATCAGCTCATTCGGTTCAGCCATTCGGGAGATATGGGACTTAGAAGATTTGACCGACCGCACGGGCACAGTAGCCGAAAACAGTTCCATGAATGCTGGCCCTGCAGTCGGTCTAAGAACGTGGGTAAAAACTCCCGAACGGCAGGCCATCCGTATGCCATCCTGGGTTCGCTGAAATCCCCATCTGCTGCTGATTCTTTCTACCGAGTTTGGTAGTTTTGGCGAGGTTTTCCCGAAGGTATTGAGGTCTCAGCGGTGTTCGCCTGTTTGAGTGTCCGATTTTAGTTCCAGACATTCAACGGCAAACACCGCTGTTCGGGAGTTAAAATGGCCGCGAACACGTGGAAGTCCCGAAATGGCGGCTGAGCTTACAGTTCTCATAGTGTTCGTGCGGTTGTTTCGAATAAAAGTGCCCATCAAGCAGGGAGGTAAATTAGACATAATTAACAGTCAGGGTGGCCATGCATTTGCATGGAGAATGCTTACAAAATACCGAACGGCTTTATAATCCATATGTCTTTTACAGTCAGACTGTGCTTTTTGTTACAGTTGGCAACAAGACTCAAACCCTTCCTACATGATCTAATACTTAAAAAATCATCATCTTGATCCATTTGGCATCTCAAACCCAAAGCCCGACCATCCTACTAGCAAAAGATGCTGAAAAAGTGTTTGATTGGGTGGACTGGTCATTTCTCATACACACTTTAGAGGCCCTGGGATTTGGAGCCAGATGGCTTCAGTGGATCAAGGCGATCTGCTCAACCCCGACTGCTAGGTTAAAAGTTAATGGACAAACGTCTATGTCATTGCAGATCAGTAATGGCACCTATCAGGGTTGCCCCCTATCACCCCTGCTGTTCATCTTGACACTGGAACCCCTGATGCAAGAGGTTCGTAAGAGATCGGACATACAGGGCATAAAAGTACGGAACAGGGAATACAAGATCTCAGGTTTCGCTGATGACCTACTATTTACCATCGCACACCCCGCAACCAGCTTACCCAAACCAACGGAGGTCATGAAAAAATATAGCGACCTAACCAATTTTAAAATTAACACAGAAAAATGTGAAATTTTAAATATAAATGTACCCAAAAACCAAGTTTAAAAACTGCAGAAAAAGTATCCGTTTCAATGGGCAAAACACTCCATTAAATACCTGGGGGTACAAATAACGAATACAACCAAGACACTATACACAGCCAACTTCCCAGACCTGCTTGCCTCGATAGGTAAAGACTTAGAAACATGGAATAAACCTCACTTTAGATGGATGGGTAGGAATAACATCATCACAATGAATATACTACTGCGCTTTCTCTACCTACTAAACACACTCTCTATCCATATCCCAGCGATCTTTTTCCAAAAAGTACAGTCCATGCTCACATCCTTCATCTGGGCCAAGAAAAGACCCTGAATAGCGTACCACATAATGACAAGAACCAAGGAGAGGGGAGATCTAGGATGCCCAAACATACTACATTATCATAGGGTGACACACCTGGGGAGAATCATGGAATGGTCTAGGACTGAGAACAAAAAGGTTTGGGTAGAATTGGAACAAGCACAACATGATATCCCCCTGACAGCCATACCTTGGACGATACCCACACCTTGAGGTAGGATCCCTTCTGACCTACCCACCATAACGGCGACACTCAAGGTCTGGAAATCCATAAACCACGGATCAGAGTTCACACCACCTCACCGAAATATCCAATCTCCCACAATCCGACATGTCCGATAGACAAAAGTAGCATATTACAATATACCAAAACCACCCTGACAAGAGACGCATACATATCATTAGGAGACATAATAACAACTAGGGGACTGAAAACTCTTGAGGAACTAACAGACACCAAACATCAAACGATAACACAAACTTTCCAATACCACCAACTTAAACACTTCCTGAGAGCTGGACACCTACAGAAGAAACACAATTCAAAAAACTATGTACAAAACCCCTGACAAACAAAACGATATCCAAATGCTACCAATTGTTACAATCATCGACAGATAAACACTTACCCTGGTATACCAAAGCTAGTCAGACTTGGCTTACACCACAGTTAGACGACAAGGGCTGGACCGAGATATTCATGAAAATGATGAAAACTCACCCCAGTATTCCATTGCAGGAAATGAATTACAAATTCATAACACAATGGTACATCACCCCAGTGGACACATACAAATTCTCTCTCTCTGATATGTTGGAGATGTGGGAGGGATCAGGGGGGTAGAGCGGTACTGGAGGGAAGTGGCACGTATCACAGACCAGCTCAGCACGTATCACAGACCAGCCCTGACCCTCACGCCAGAGACTCTCCTATTTTTCCACATCCAGATTTCACAGAAAAAAGTCAAATACTCACTACTCTATTACCTATTGACAGCTGCTAAGGCAGTAATTGCAGGGAACTGGAACTCCCAAACCAGACCCTCTAGAAGAGAATGGTATCAAAAAATAGATAACATCCACAAGATGGAAGAATTACAAATGTCAGCTCTGGGTAAATTCAGTTCCAAACCATTTGGCAACCATGGGACAAATTCACCCAGGGGACTAAAACATGAGCCATAATGGGATTAACAAAATGAGGTATAGGAAAAGAATAGGAAAAGACAGAATATAAAATTCCCATTACACCACATTAAAAAGAGCCATAAAATGCTAAGGAAATACACACGGTTTATGCAGTATTCAGTAATCAATAATCACCATCATAAACGCTAAAAATAAACACTCCTTACCAGATACTCACGAAGGTACTCAGAGATGAAACTTGAAGTGTATCGGACATACTACTGAGACACTAAGATTGTATAGAGTCGACAACATTATGCGATTTCCTTGTAACCCAAATGCTCTTAATTGCACATGTTAGTTATGTTAATATTATATACATGTATTTTTTTCTTTACGTTAAATGGTTTTACTCTGTCTTAAGCTATTATATCCTATATTAACCTGATGAAGACATTACTTGAAAAAAGCGGAAAAAAAAACCCAAAAACATCCAAGCCAATAAAAACAGAGGTTTACATTCAGACACTCCCATACAGTGTACACAATCCCTCCCCTCTGCCTGTCATACAATTAACAATGGGCTAACTCAATTAACTCTAAGCAGAAAAAATATACATTTTTACAAAGTCAAGAAAACACCCCAAAACACCACATATCCATAAATCACCCAGATCAGATCAGGGGTTCAGAAATTTTATGGAACTCATATTTTTGCCCAGGCGAACACAGGATTTCATGCCCAAAACAGTTCCATAGAATCGCAGCTAAGTGCAGCTGGAGGACTGACCAGGAACCACAAGGTTTTCATGCCAAAAATAGTTCCAGGCATTCGTGGCTAAGTCCCCCTGAAGTTTATTCGCAGTTTTAGCCCATGCAAACAAGATGGCCGCCACCACATGTTCGAATGTCGAATGGCGGCAACTTCGACTGTTCAGGAGTTCGAAGAAACAATGTTTAAAGTCCAAATAGCCACAAATAGGGTCTCTCAGCTAAAATAAATCAAAGGGGCCATAGTCACAGGGCAAGAGACTGGCCATTAGTTCTCCCAAAAAACCAGTGGCGAAGTTGCTTTCGTCACAGTTTTCACCTCCATGTTTGGGGATGGTGTTCTTGGGATCATAGGCAGCATTCCTCCTTCTCTAAACACGGCGAGTTGAGTTGATGCCAAAGAGCTAAATTTTGGTCTCATCTGACCACAACATTTTCATCCAGTTCTCCTCTGAATCATTCAGATGTTCATTGGCAAACTTCAGACGGGCCTGTACGTGTGCTTTCTTGAGCAAGGGGACCTTGGGGGCACTGCAGGATTTCAGTCCTTCACGGCGTAGTGCGTTACCAATTGTTTTCTTGGTGCCTATGGTCCCAGCTGCCTTGAGATAATCAACAAGATCCTCCTGTGTAGTTCTGGGCTGATTCCTCACCGTTCTCATGATCACTTAAACTCCACGAGGTGAGATCTTGCATGGAGCTCCAAACCAAGGGAGACTGCAAGTTATTTTGTGTTTCTTCCATTTGCAAATAATCACACCAACTGTTGTCACCTTCTCACCAAGCTGCTTGGTGATGGTCTTTTATCCCATTCCAGCCTTGTGTAGGTCTACAATCGTGTCCCTGACATCCATGGACAGCTTTTTTGGTCTTGGCCATGGTGGAGAGTTTGGAATCTGATTGATTGATTGCTTCTGTGGACAGATGTCTTATATATAGATAACAAGCTAAGATTAGGAGCACTCCCTTTAAGAGAGTGCTCCTAATCCCAGCTTGTTACCTGTATAAAAGACACCTGGGAGCCAGAAATCTTGCTGATTCATAGGGGATCAAATACATATTTCAATCATGACATGCAAATCAATTTATATGTTTTTTGACATACGTTTTTCTGGATTATTATTTTTTTTGTTATTCTGTCTCTCTGTTAAAATATACCTACCATTAAAATTATAGACTGATCATTTCTTTGTCAGTGGGCAAACGTTCAAAATCAGCAGGGGATCAAATACTTTTTTCCCTCACTGTAACTAGGTGTAGCGGAGCTCCCTGTACCCCGGTTGGGTACCTCTGCCCAGGATCGCTTCCCAGCTGGAACTGGGGAAAACTGCAGATCATCTCCCCCAGTCACCATGGCTTGACTGGGGTCCTTCTAGAGCTTTTCCACCCAACCAGGCTTCAGCTCTCCTTCTAGGCAGGTATCGTCCCCTCTGCCTATTCTGCTGCAGCCCTTCTTCCAGGCAGGTATCCACCTCCTGAAATGTGATTTATATTACCTTTACAAAGGCACTTGCAGCTCTGAGGCCTAGCTCTCTTGATTTATCCCAGGGCTAGAGGGATAATGCAACAAGCCAACAGGTATGTGGCTGGGATCCCTAAAACTCCACAAACTCCAAATGGAACAAACATACAAAATGTAACTTGTTCTTGGGACTGGCCCAAATGCTCCACGGGCCGTATGTTAATCGGTAGATAGCCCCACCGGTTGCTTGAACTGCCACAGACTTTCCAGTTTGTTCGGTGTCCTGAACCAAGTGTCTCTGTACTAATGTTAAAGTAGCTCCAGTGTTCTGTAATCCACAAGCAGTCTGTCCGTTTACAAGGATCAGTTGGCGACGCTGCTAAAACTCCCCAAGATTCTTAATGTATGCTCTTTTGGTTTCTATACAGTAAGCTGCGGTCCTGGTAGCTGGGGGGCCAGATTGGTTCCAGGTGGGTTGTGGTAGCTTCAGAGGACAGTTGCTCCTAACGTGTCCTACTTGCTTGCACCGGAAACACCGTAGGCAAGTTTTAATTAGTGGAGCATGGTGTTCTGGAGGCCCCCGATAAGTATTCCGTGGCTGTGAAGCTGTTAAGGATAAACCAGGTTGGCGATCAGTCTTTCAGGCGTCAGCATACTTATCAACCAGCCGAGCGGCTTCAGGTAAAATAAGAGGTCTTCAGTCCCGTATCCATTCTCTGAGTTCGGGGTTGATCGTCTTAAAGAATTGCTCTAGCAGGATCAGTTGTAATATAACTTCTAATTAAACAGCTTGACATCTGGATACCCAGTGGGAGGCAGCTCGGTGGAGTCCGCTGACCTGGCCAAGATATTTGCCCGTGAAGTATTCTGGTTGAATGGCATTCCTCAGGTTATAGTATCAGACAGGGGTTCACATTATCCTTTTTTATCAGCCTATCACCCATAAACTAATGTAGCTGAGCAGGCCAATCAATCTCTGGAGCAATATGTGTGCTGTTTTGTTTCTACTCTGCAAGACAACACAGCAGACCTGCTTCCCTTGGCTGAGTTTGCTCACAATAACTCGGATCATGAAGCTTCTGTGCACAGTCCTTTCTTTGCAAATTATGCATTTCATCCTGCAGTTGTCCCTTCCTCCTTTGTGGATAAAGGGATGCCGGATTGGATTCGCATTTGGCCTCTTTGCAAAAGGTTTGGGGGCAGGTTTGGGGGCAGGTTCAGGCCACAGGAATCTCCTCTGCCCATCCAGACCCACATGTGAAGATGGAGACTCCACAACACAACAAGACCCTAGGCATGCGCGTGTCCGAAAGATGGCCTCTTAAAGCGGCAGAACACCTGTTTTCTCTTAAAGGAACTAATCACTTCAGTCAATACTATGTGAGAGGTGGATACCTCTCCCCTTTATAATCACAGCCAACCCTTATCACAGTGGTCAGTTATACTGTGCTCCTCGGTGTGTACTCTTCTGTGAATCTGTACCTGTTATACTTTTTCTGAACCTGCACTGCCTGCCCCAGACTATGAGATTGTCTCATCCCTATTTCGTACCTCGCATTTGGATTACTGCTGCCTCCTGGGCACCACCACCAAAACCACAACAGGTTGTATTTTTGACACATTCGTTTTAGTAGTATTCACTATATAATTATATAATGGAGTTTTGGAGTTTGGATTCCTTCTCACGTTTTTTGTTCACTTTTTATTTTGTGTACAATCTGTTGTAATCTGTATTTTGTCTACATTTTTGTTTGTAAGGCAGTACCACTGCTGAGAAATGCATAATCCGGCTGGGCTCCCAATTCCCCTGTTTTTGCTTTGAGTGATCTGTGTGTCCATGTTTCCTTTCCATTATTTTCCTTTTTGTGTATTATATTCTCTTTTCTTTCCAGGTACCTTCACAGCACCGGTGGAAGGCCGGTATTTTTTCAGTGCTATACTGACTGGGTACAAAGATGAGAAGATTGAAGCAGTGCTCTCCAAGTCGAACTATGGCATTGCCCGCATTGATTCTGCAGGTTACCAGCCCGAGGGCCTGGAGAAGAAGCCATTGGTTGAAAATAAGCCCACAGCAGGGTCTCTTGGGGTTTTTAACATCATTTTGCAGCTTGAGGCGGGAGATACTGTGTGCGTTGACTTGGTGATGGGTCGATTGGCACATTCAGACGAACCTCTAACGATATTCAGCGGGTTTTTACTCTATGAAGAACAAATGGAAACTTAAGAGAGACGCCATGTTTAGACTTTCTATTTAATGAAGCCAAGGTGTGAACAAGTCCAGTGTTCACCTATTATAACCAGAGATCCAAGAGGGAAATTTGGTTCTTGTTTTATATTGTGTTTCTAAAGCTGGTAAATATCTTAGACCACAAAAAAAATGTTTTTATTTTCTTGCATGATTATTGATGAATTGAGTGATGGAATGGCTGATTTGCTTCAAAATATGAGGAATTATAATTGTTTTTTCTTATTATTTGTAATATTTAAAACATAACATTTATACAAAGTTCACTAATGTATGCCACATAATTTAGATGTAAGTCTGGTCTACGGGTTAATTCTCACCGTGTTGTAGGCATTAAAAAAGAGTTGTGCTTAAGGGAGATTTATTGCTCCATGACTCTTGTTTCAGATAAAATAAAAATATTTTCCCAATAAATATAAATTAACATGGTAGCAGATAATTGTCCAATTCAGAGAGTGAAGACTTGGTTAAAAGTTTGGTGTGGAGTACATGTAAAAGAACAAAAACAAAGGGTACAAAATAGTGCAGATGGTACTTAAAAGTGTAATCCTGTATGTAATATAACAGACAGAACACTCACATTTAAAGGAGCCTGTGTATAGGTACTGGCTCCGTAATCAGGCTGATGTGCCTATATGTTAGCGCCACTCTTCCTCTTCATTTTGGAGTGATAAGAAAAAAACAAACCAATGTGCAGCCTGTAACACTGGAGGGCGAAAGTGTGAAATAATAAATGGGGTGCTCACCTAGGTCTGAGACTATTGGTCCCGGCTCTGAGGTGTGCAGGTATTGTGCCAAATTAGGTGGGGATGGCACTACCCCTGTGAAGATTCATGAAGGCTCCAAAAAGGACTTGAATAGGATGTCTTGGATAAAATAACAAAATGTATTGGTGTACAATAACAAATAAAAAATTATGTAGATAGTACTTAAAAAGTCCTTTTAAAAATTGGCCAATACGTGTTTCACTCTCAAAAGAGCTTCCTCAGTCAGCTGGGTATAAGAATTAGGATACAGTGTGTGGTAAGGTATAAGGTTTAGGATACAGTGTGCGGTAAGGTATAAGAATTAGGATACAGTGTGTGGTAAGGTATAAGGTTTAGCATACAGTGTGCGGTAAGGTATAAGAATTAGGATACAGTGTGCGGTAAGGTATAAGGTTTAGTATACGGTGTGCAGTAAGGTATAAGGTTTAGGATATAGTGTGCGGTATGGTATAAGGTTTAGGATACGGTGTGCGTTATGGTATAAGGTTTAGGATACGGTGTGCAGTAAGTTATTAGGTTTAGGATACTGTGTATGGTAAGGTATAAGGATTAGGATGCGGTGTGCGGTAAGGTATAAGGTTTAGGATATGGTTTGTGGTAAGGTATAAGGTTTAGGATACAGTGTATGGTAAGGTATAAGGATTAGGATGCAGTATGTGGTAAGGTATAAAAATTAGGATGCAGTATTCGGTAAAGTATAAGGATTAAATTATGTTGTGCGGTAAGGTATAAGGATTAGATTATGGTGTGCGGTAAGGTATAAGGTTTAGGATACAGTGAGCAGTTAGATGTATTGTTTAGGATACAGTGTGCGGTAAGGTATAAGGATTAGGATGCAGTATTCGGTAAAGTATAAGGTATAGGATACAGTGAGCAGTTAGATGTATTGTTTAGGATACAGTGAGCAGTTAGATATATAGTTTAGGATATGGTGTGTGGTTAGGTTTAAGTTTTAGGATACAGCGTGTGGTAAGGTTTAGGATACAGTGAGCGGTAATGTTTAGGATTTAGTGTGCGGTAAGGTATAAGGATTGGGATGCAGTATTCGGTAAAGTATAAGGTTTAGGACACAGTGAGAGACAGTTAAACAGTGAGAGGTAAGGTATAGGGTTTAGGATACAGTGAGCAGTTAGATATATTGTTTAGGAAACGGTGTGCGGTTAGGTTTAAGTTTTAGGATACAGCGTGTAGTAAGGTTTGGGATTTGGAGTATGATAAGATGTAGGATACAGTGTGCGGTAAGGTATAAGGTTAAGGATACATTGTGCGGTAAGATATAAGTATAAGGATACAATGTATATTAGGGTTTAGGATGCGGTGTATGATAAGGTTTGAGATATGATGTATGATAAGGTTTGAGCTATGATGTATGATAAGGTTTAGGATGCGGTGTATTATAAGGTTTAGGATGCGGTGTATGATAATGTTTGAGATATAATGTGTGATAAGGTTTGAGATATGATGTGTGATAAGGTTTAGGATGCGGTGTATGATAAGGTTTAGGATACGGTGTATGATAAGGTTTGAGATATAATGTGTGATAAGGTTTGAGATATGATGTATGATAAGGTTTAGGATGCGGTGTATGATAAGGTTTAGGATACGGTGTATGATAAGGTTTGAGATATAATGTGTGATAAGGTTTGAGATATGATGTGTGATAAGGTTTAGGATGCGGTGTATGATAAGGTTTAGGATACGGTGTATGATAAGGTTTGAGATATAATGTGTGATAAGGTTTGAGATATGATGTATGATAAGGTTTAGGATATGGTGTATGATAAGGTTTAGGATACGGTGTATGATAAGGTTTGAGATATAATGTGTGATAAGGTTTGAGATATGATGTGTGATAAGGTTTAGGATGCGGTGTATGATAAGGTTTAGGATACGGTGTATGATAAGGTTTGAGATATAATGTGTGATAAGGTTTGAGATATGATGTATGATAAGGTTTAGGATATGGTGTATGATAAGGTTTAGGATACGGTGTATGATAAGGTTTGAGATATAATGTGTGATAAGGTTTGAGATATGATGTGTGATAAGGTTTAGGATGCGGTGTATGATAAGGTTTAGGATACGGTGTATGATAAGGTTTGAGATATAATGTGTGATAAGGTTTGAGATATGATGTATGATAAGGTTTAGGATGCGGTGTATGATAAGGTTTAGGATACGGTGTATGATAAGGTTTGAGATATAATGTGTGATAAGGTTTGAGATATGATGTATGATAAGGTTTAGGATGTGGTGTATGATAAGGTTTGAGATATGATGTATGATAAGGTTTAGGATACGGTGTATGATAAGGTTTAGGATACGGTGTATGATAAGGTTTAGGATACGGTGTATGATAAGGTTTGAGATATAATGTGTGATAAGGTTTGAGATATGATGTATGATAAGGTTTAGGATGTGGTGTATGATAAGGTTTGAGATATGATGTATGATAAGGTTTAGGATGTGGTGTATGATAAGGTTTGAGATATGATGTATGATAAGGTTTAGGATACGGTGTATGATAAGGTTTAGGATACGGTGTATGATAAGGTTTGAGATATAATGTGTGATAAGGTTTGAGATATGATGTATGATAAGGTTTAGGATGCGGTGTATGATAAGGTTTAGGATACGGTGTATGATAAGGTTTAGGATGCGGTGTATGATAAGGTTTAGGATGCGGTGTATGATAATGTTTGAGATATAATGTGTGATAAGGTTTGAGATATGATGTATGATAAGGTTTAGGATATGGTGTATGATAAGGTTTAGGATGCGGTGTATGATAATGTTTGAGATATAATGTGTGATAAGGTTTGAGATATGATGTATGATAAGGTTTAGGATACGGTGTATGATAAGGTTTAGGATACGGTGTATTATAAGGTTTAGGATACGGTGTATGATAAGGTTTAGGATGCGGTGTATTATAAGGTTTAGGATGCGGTGTATTATAAGGTTTAGGATACGGTGTATGATAATGTTTGAGATATGATGTATGATAAGGTTTAGGATGCGGTGTATTATAAGGTTTAGGATACGGTGTATGATAATGTTTGAGATATGATGTATGATAAGGTTTAGGATGCGGTGTATTATAAGGTTTAGGATACGGTGTATGATAATGTTTGAGATATGATGTATGATAAGGTTTAGGATGCGGTGTATGATACAGTTTAAGATGTGGTGTATGATAAGGTTTGAGATACAATGTGTGATAAGGTTTGAGATATGATGTATGATAAGGTTTAGGATTCGGTTTATGATAAGGTTTAGGATGCGGTGTATGATACAGTTTAAGATGTGGTGTATGATAAGGTTTGAGATACATTGTGTGATAAGGTTTGAGATATGATGTATGATAAGGTTTAGGATGCGGTTTATGATAAGGTTTAGGATGCGGTGTATGATACAGTTTAAGATGTGGTGTATGATAAGGTTTGAGATACAATGTGTGATAAGGTTTGAGATATGATGTATGATAAGGTTCAGGATGCGGTGTATGATAAGGTTTAGGATGCGGTGTATGATACAGTTTAAGATGTGGTGTATGATAAGGTTTGAGATATGATGGATGATAAGTGTAACGGACCGTTTTGCACAAAAGGGGTAAAAAGGGGTTAACAGCCGTTTAGGAGACCTTCCCCTTCCAGATATACAGGCACAGCTACTGCAGAACACCAAACTCACGAACCGCCAATAAGTGAATGCTCCAAACTCCCGAACGGCATCCAATACAGCACGCCAAACACACGAACTGGAACCATACGAATAGCTGCTAGCAGACGAACAGGAAAAGCCTTAAAGCGGCTTACACTCCTAGCAATCAGTCTCTATCAGCATACAGTAAATCCCCCCAAAGACGAGACAAGGCTCCGTGTTGAGGGTCAAGCAGTGGTCTGAGGTGCTGGCACACCCAGCCTGGTTTTTATTGCAGTCTTTTCAAATACAGGACCGCCCACAGGGAGGTATAAAACAACCAATCACATCACAGTTACATCCCACATATTCCCTCCCCTTATCCTGAGAGGAAACTCAATTACACATACAGTTAAAACATACTTTCTACCCAATAAAATAAGTGTATATATGGTGAAAAAAACAATATAAGACAAAGTGCTACAATCACCAGCAATGTGGGTCACTCCACCTCACATAAATAAATGGTTAAAACAGTAAAGAATGGTGAGAGCACAGAGAAACAATAATTACCCTTATATTCAATATAAAACCTGTAAAAACACAATGGGAAAAACAGGCATAGGGTAATAACGTACAAATAATATATGAATGAGTGAATACTTGAATAAACTCACATATTCATGAGCCACTTAATATGGAAGCTGGCTCAGACTAGGAACATTGAATGGATTAGTGAGGTGGTCGTTGTAATCCAACTGCTTAATTGCTTGCTCCTTCTTGCTTTACAAAATCCAGGATGCAGGATCTTTAATGAAAACCTTTATTCGGTATAGCAGCAAAAAAAGACAGCAGCAGTAAAATGTAAAATTCAGCAATTCCACCTCTGCACACTAACGCGTTTCAGCCAAAGCCTTTATCAAAGTGTGAGTCCATTCAGTCAGTTCCGTTTTTAAAAAGGAAAATTTTCGCGCCTTTCTTCGAAAATAAGCTCCTCCCCCTTTTTTTGTTGTTGCAACTTTATTGGGCATCCTAGCGTCCTTAACGATCTCAAGTTACTTCCATGTTCATTGAAGAAAAGGAACAGCGAACTAGTCCATTCACTTACACAGTCTTTCATGTTGCAATAATCAGAGTCCTATTAGCAACATACTTCATACATATTGTCAATAACATTGAAACAAATATTACAGTCAGATATTCTTATTGCAATACGTAGAATATTAGCAACAGTTAAACTCTCTCTTTCTCAAAAAAAGGATTAAAAAAGGTAAAAGAGGCAAAAGAAGAGGGAATAAATTTAAAAGGGGAATAAATGATCAAAATAGAAAAATCTTCTTATTCACATTTAAAGGTATATCGGGAGAATGCATCATACTTAAAATACACTTATTATAATCAATATTAATAAAATATTAATCAGTATTACTAAAATTGGAATTAAAACATATCTTATTAATATAAAACAACCTAAAATGATCTCTAATAGATTTAATAAATAATTATAGTTAAATATAAGTATTAATTTCAAAATCCAAGTTTAATCCCCCCGGTGTAAGTGTATCCAAATTAAAAATCCATTTCATCTCATTTTTACTTAAAAGATTATCCTTATCACCCCCTCTCCAGTGTATTTTAATATGATCTATTGCAAAAAAATCCAGGCCTGCTGGGTCTCCATCATGATATTCCAAAAAATGTTTAGATAAACAATGGTTAGGGAATCTTCTCCTGATGTTATAGATATGCTCCCTAATTCGTATTTTTAACGAACGAGACGTTTTCCCTACATATTGTAACCCGCAGGGGCATGTTATCATATAAACAACATCAGCAGTATTGCATGTGATAAAGTGTTTAATTTCATATTCTGTTTTAGTATTAAAAGAAATGAACTTAAAAATTCTTCTATTTTTCCCAGCTCTTACTTTACACCCTCTACAATTTCCACAATAGAAGAATCCTTTCTGTTCCTTTAAAAAGTTATTGCAACATTCTTTATTTTCTTTCTCTTGGAAGCTGCTAGTTAAAATTTGCTTGAAATTTCTAGCTCCTCTAAAAATTAATTTAGCTTTTTCTCCTATTAGTGGGCGTAACTCATCATCTAACTTTAAAACATGCCAATTTTTATCAATAATTTTGCGTAAAGTGCGGTTGTTAGAATTAAAATTAAAAATTAATGGGATAGTTTCTAGTCCTTCTTTTTTAGCTTGCTTATCTTTATATTTCAAAATTTCTAAACGATCTTCCTCTTTTACCTGTTTATAGGCTTTTTCTAGAATATTTTTATCATATCCCTTTTCTAAAAATTGTTTTTCTAAAATTTTAACCTGATCGTTAAAATCCCGTTCATCTGTACAATTTCTCTTCAACCTTAAAAATTGTCCTTTTGGTATGTTTGATAACCATGGTTTAAAATGGCAGCTGGAAAAATCAATAAAACTATTAACATCTACAGATTTAAAATATGTCTGACTCTTAATTACACCATTATCTATAAAAATATCTAAATCTAAAAAGTTAATATTAAAGGGCTTTAAATATGCCCCTGCGTGTGAAATAGATAAATTTGAAACGTTTTTAGATTTTCATCGTTTTTTTAGAAAATTATGTTTGAAGAAGTTTTTTAATAAATTTGAGTGGAATAAAGAAAAAAATGATAAACTAGATGCTAATCTTTTTAAACATACAGATTTAAAGAAAAAATCTAAGTTTTATCCTAGCCATCGTAAAACTGACCATATGAAAATTTTCGAAAAATTATGCCTCAAAGATTTAAGAGAAATTAAAACGAGAGGAAATAAGCCAGATAATTTAACTAGAAAGGAAGTCATGGCCCTTCAAGATATCAAGAAGGACAAAACAATAGTGGTAAAACCTGCGGATAAAGGGGGAGGGGTAGTGATCTGGAAAAAAGAAGATTATCTAAAGGAAATTCATAAACAATTGGAAGATTCGGACACCTATATTAAACTCGGCAATAATCCTTTAGAAAAAATTAAAACCACTTATAAGCATTTTTTAGATAAAGGTTTTAATGAGGGTATTTTAACTAAGAAGGAATACGAGTTTTTAGACGTCAAATTCCCTAGAATTCCGGTGATCTATGTTTTACCTAAGATGCATAAAGATCCTGTTAACCCACCCGGGAGACCAATTGTATCTGGAATTGGATCTCTCTTATCACCGCTCTCCCAGTATATAGATCATTTTTTACAAGACTTAGTCCCCAAATGTCCGGCATATCTAAAAGATACTATTAGCCTTTTACAAATTTTAAATAATTTTAAATGGGAAGATTCCTTTATAATGGCTACTTGTGATGTCAGTAGCCTCTACACTAATATTGAACATGGGGTAGGGTGTGAGGCTACTAAACATTTTTTAAATAAATCTGGTAATTTTATTGAAACACAAATCGATTTTATTGTGCAGGGGATCAATATGATTCTTAAAAACAATTTTTTTTGGTTTGAAAACGACTTTTACCTTCAAACCAAGGGAACTGCCATGGGGACCAGATTTGCCCCGAGTTATGCCAACTTGTTTATGTCATTTTGGGAAGAAAAATATGTTTTTTCTAGGTTGGACATAGGGGCAAGTCTGGTCCTCTATAAAATATATATAGATGACATTTTTATTATATGGAGAGGCAGTTCCAAATCTTTATTAGATTTTATTGATTCTCTTAACAATAATATGTGGAATATTAAGTTGACTCATGTCATTAGCCCCTCCAATATTAACTTTTTAGATTTAGATATTTTTATAGATAATGGTGTAATTAAGAGTCGGACATATTTTAAATCTGTAGATGTTAATAGTTTTATTGATTTTTCCAGCTGCCATTTTAAACCATGGTTATCAAACATACCAAAAGGACAATTTTTAAGGTTGAAGAGAAATTGTACAAATGAACGGGATTTTAACGATCAGGTTAAAATTTTAGAAAAACAATTTTTAGAAAAGGGATATGATAAAAATATTCTAGAAAAAGCCTATAAACAGGTAAAAGAGGAAGACCGTTTAGAAATTTTGAAATATAAAGATAAGCAAGCTAAAAAAGAAGGACTAGAAACTATCCCATTAATTTTTAATTTTAATTCTAACAACCGCACTTTACGTAAAATTATTGATAAAAATTGGCATGTTTTAAAGTTAGATGATGAGTTACGCCCACTAATAGGAGAAAAAGCTAAATTAATTTTTAGAGGAGCTAGAAATTTCAAGCAAATTTTAACTAGCAGCTTCCAAGAGAAAGAAAATAAAGAATGTTGCAATAACTTTTTAAAGGAACAGAAAGGATTCTTCTATTGTGGAAATTGTAGAGGGTGTAAAGTAAGAGCTGGGAAAAATAGAAGAATTTTTAAGTTCATTTCTTTTAATACTAAAACAGAATATGAAATTAAACACTTTATCACATGCAATACTGCTGATGTTGTTTATATGATAACATGCCCCTGCGGGTTACAATATGTAGGGAAAACGTCTCGTTCGTTAAAAATACGAATTAGGGAGCATATCTATAACATCAGGAGAAGATTCCCTAACCATTGTTTATCTAAACATTTTTTGGAATATCATGATGGAGACCCAGCAGGCCTGGATTTTTTTGCAATAGATCATATTAAAATACACTGGAGAGGGGGTGATAAGGATAATCTTTTAAGTAAAAATGAGATGAAATGGATTTTTAATTTGGATACACTTACACCGGGGGGATTAAACGTAGATTTTGAAATTAATACTTATATTTAACTATAATTATTTATTAAATCTATTAGAGATCATTTTAGGTTGTTTTATATTAATAAGATATGTTTTAATTCCAATTTTAGTAATACTGATTAATATTTTATTAATATTGATTATAATAAGTGTATTTTAAGTATGATGCATTCTCCCGATATACCTTTAAATGTGAATAAGAAGATTTTTCTATTTTGATCATTTATTCCCCTTTTAAATTTATTCCCTCTTCTTTTGCCTCTTTTACCTTTTTTAATCCTTTTTTTGAGAAAGAGAGAGTTTAACTGTTGCTAATATTCTACGTATTGCAATAAGAATATCTGACTGTAATATTTGTTTCAATGTTATTGACAATATGTATGAAGTATGTTGCTAATAGGACTCTGATTATTGCAACATGAAAGACTGTGTAAGTGAATGGACTAGTTCGCTGTTCCTTTTCTTCAATGAACATGGAAGTAACTTGAGATCGTTAAGGACGCTAGGATGCCCAATAAAGTTGCAACAACAAAAAAAGGGGGAGGAGCTTATTTTCGAAGAAAGGCGCGAAAATTTTCCTTTTTAAAAACGGAACTGACTGAATGGACTCACACTTTGATAAAGGCTTTGGCTGAAACGCGTTAGTGTGCAGAGGTGGAATTGCTGAATTTTACATTTTACTGCTGCTGTCTTTTTTTGCTGCTATACCGAATAAAGGTTTTCATTAAAGATCCTGCATCCTGGATTTTGTAAAGCAAGAAGGAGCAAGCAATTAAGCAGTTGGATTACAACGACCACCTCACTAATCCATTCAATGTTCCTAGTCTGAGCCAGCTTCCATATTAAGTGGCTCATGAATATGTGAGTTTATTCAAGTATTCACTCATTCATATATTATTTGTACGTTATTACCCTAAGCCTGTTTTTCCCATTGTGTTTTTACAGGTTTTATATTGGATATAAGGGTAATTATTGTTTCTCTGTGCTCTCACCATACTTTCTACCCAACTTTCATAACTCTAAAACTATACATCACATTCACATAAAATTACATATTCACAATCAATCCATTCAGGGGAACAACATATTAAAAAATTAAAAAATGGCATGAATCCGACCAGGGCTGGCACATGGATATCTGGCTCAAACAGGTTTTACAGAGCCCTCTATCCTGGAGACAATGGGGGAAAGTAATCCAATTATCCACGGATAGAGGCAGACGCCATTGAGCACATGGTTGCAAAAAGACATAAAACACTTTAAAATACATAAAGTCACCTTTTACACATAACACACAGACATTTCACATATCCCCAGATAGCTGGCATCTGAGCGCACAAAACTACCGAATAGCGCTATTCACACAGTTCAATTGCCATGGAGCCGAAGTCTTTAACTACAAAATGGGCTCCATGGCATAGCTATCTGGGTTAACACATTTACATAAAGTCTGGTCCATAGTCCAAAGGCAGCAGGCGGGCAGCCAGGCTTCTCCAATGCAATGTGGTGAGATTGCTCTCGTCACAATAAGGTTTAGGATGTGGTGTATGATAAGGTTTGAGATATGATGTATGATGCCTAACAAGGCTGAAATGATCGTCTGGGGTTGCTGTATCTCTCGTGCAGAGAGAACTTGCTGGCATTTCGGATCTGGACTGCCCATATGGGTGGGACCAGTCTGATATGCTTCAGATATGTTCTCTCTGTAAAGGCACAAGATGAGCTAAAGCCAGCTTGAGTTCTGAGCGGGGACCCACCGAAGGGCAGGCTATTTTAGCGGCTGTCCATTCTCAGAATACTCTTGTGACCCATTTTTTGCTCTCCATGATGTATGATAAGGTTTAGGATGCGGTGTATGATAATGTTTGAGATATGATGTATGATAAGGTTTAGGATGTGGTGTATGATTGTACCGGAGGCCTGATATTCCACAGGTTAACTCCACTACAGATCCCAGTGAGGCTCAGGAACAAGTGATGAAAAATCCCATAAAGTAATAATTCCAGCAAACAAGGTAATCCACGAATATTCCCATACAGATCCCAATGACTGGACGACGCACAGCATAAGGAGCAGAACTAACTTTTATTCCACACAACCTCCTTTTAAAGCATTCTCCCATGCAAGGGAGGGATCCACATTAATCAGTACAGTATCCAATGGTGTAACAATTACCTCCCACGCATCTCCACCCCTCAGTGTGACACCTAATCCCATTACACAGGCTGTAGTTTTCCCCAAGTTCTGGATGTACCCTAAGATCAACAGATACACCAATACTTTGGGAACCCCCTGGTAGTCCTGATCTGGGTCCAAAATTCACCCAGATCGGACCAGGGGTTCGGGAGTTAGATGGAGGGTGTAATTTGACACGAGGTGTGTTTTGGCCTTGTGGTTGGTCTCCGTTCGGGTGGTGAAATATACACAAAAAACTGCCATCCACGATTAATATCACATTCGTATGAATCCCCTCGTTTGGTACTTTAAACTTACCGAACGGGGGGCTGATTAGCCTTCCCGTTCTGGAGTTACGGAGCTCTGGAGGTTTCAGCGGTGTTCAGGTAATTGAGTGTCCGAATTGTTCATGTTTGTATGCCTAACGGCGGCCACCCAGATACATACATAAAGTACCTATTAACCTGCGGTTAGAGAGAAGTGCGATGCTTAATGAGGGACACAATTCACTCTGGGGTGGTCTATTGGTTCGGTAGTTTCCATTCATATGGAATATGGATGGAAACTACCGAACAATCACATGAATCCTACTTACAATTTAACTATACAGAAGAAATAACACACAAATTGCAGTATCATCATAGTCTTTAAGGACAGCCATAGTATCATCTGCTACAATGATAATGTTTGAGATATGATGTATGATAAGGGTCAGGATGCGGTGTATGATAAAGTTTAGGATGCGGTGTATGATAATGTTTGAGATATGATGTATGATAAGGTTTGGGATACGGTGTATAATAAGGTTTGAGATACGATGTATGATAAGGTTCAGGATACGGTGTATGATAAGGTTTGAGATATGATTTATGATAAGGTTTAGGATGTGGTGTATGATAAGGTTTGGGATACGATGTATGATAAGGTTTGGGATATGATTTATGATAAGGTTTAGGATGTGGTGTATGATAAGGTTTGGGATACGATGTATGATAAGGTTTGGGATATGATTTATGATAAGGTTTAGGATGTGGTGTATGATAAGGTTTGAGAGATGATGTATGATAAGGTTTAGGAATGCGGTGTATGATAAGGTTTGGGATACGGTGTATAATAAGGTTTGAGATACGATGTGTGATAAGGTTTAGGATGCAGTGTATGCTAAGACCCTCACTGGCCATCTCCACATATAACACTACCCTCACCTCTGCCATGAACGCCGAAGCCCCGCTCAAAACATGCACCTCTAGGAGGAAATGCTACCAACCGGGGCACACTAAATCAACACGCTACACACAAAGATGCTCCTACTCCTGTAGGAAGTCTTGCACCCGGTCATATTGTAAAGTGCTAAGGAATCTGTTGGCGCTATATAAATGGCAATAATAATAATAATTTGGGTAATTCTCATTCCTGGGTTGCCATATGGTCTCAAAGGCAACATAACCAATCTGGCAAATCTGGTAAATGGAAATGGGAAAGACTTATATTTGACCCTGTAACTTGGAGGGCACTGTTATACTCGAGATTACAGAACACAAGTATGTGTGTTTTAGAGTAGTAAAACATATAATGATGGAGATGATATTATCAGTGAAAGGGCATTAGATTTGTGAAAAATGCAATAAAAACATAATTGCTAACTTTGGCCAGGGTTTGTGACTTGACTACTAAAAAGACTGGACGTACCCCATTTTAAATACCCTGGGTTGTCTACTTTTGCAAATGGTATGTCATGATGGAGGTAATTTTCATTGCTTGACTGCCATACTCAAAGACAACATAGGCCAAGCAAACCAATCTGGCAGATTTCAATGTGTAAAAACTAAGAAGGGGGGAAGCCCTATATTTGATCCTGTAACTTTCCAAAACACCAGGGGTTACATAACTACCACAGTGTATCATTTGATTAAATACCTACCTGAACTATCATCAGGGGCTACATAACTATCACAGTGTATCATCTGATTAAATACCTATCTGAACTATCACCAGGGGATACATAACTACCACAGTGCATCATCTGATTAAATACCTACCTTAACTATCAGCAGAGGTTACATAACTACCACAGTCAGCTGACTAAATACCTACCACAGTCTAATCATCTGATTAAAAACCTACTTAACGGGGTGTAGCGGAGAGGTAGTATAATCCACAATATCTCCGCTGGTAGACAGACAAGTGAATATACTCACTCCAGATAGCCTTAAAGCTACAACATCACATTAATGGAAACATTAAGTGGCTAGTTTTGCCACACAGGGCTTCCTGTACCCCGGTTGGGTACCTCCGCTGCCGGATGCTCCTAGTGCTCACCGAGGACTCTAAGCACTCCACCAGACACCATCAGCACCTGAGTCCCCGGATGAGACTCTATGTCGAGGGTAAAACAGGAACTCAAGGTTTAATGAGGCACACTGGCCTTTTATACAGTTTTCCCCACAAAGTTACCACCAGGGGCGGGCTGGGCCGGGGGGCAGGGAGGCAATTGCACCCCAGGCCGCCCTAAATTCTGTTAGGACCGGCTGCTGCAGGGCTGGCCCTTTAAATGCTGCAGCCGCCTGAGCGCTCTGTTAAGAGCCTCGGCCACGCTACAGGGGAGGGGAGGAGAGGTGAGGAGGGGGGGAGTAAGTGAAGGAGGGGGGAAAATGGGTTGAGGGGGAGCAATGGAAGAAGGAGGGGAGGCGGAAGAGGGGGGTAAGTGAGGAGGGGGAAGAGGGGTGTAAATGAAGTAGGGGGGAGTAAGTGAAGAAGGGGAAAGGTGAAGGGGGGAAGAGTGGCGAAGGGGGTGTAAGTGAAGGGGAAGAAGGGGAAGAGTAAGTGAAGATGGGGTGTAAAGTCAGAAGGAGGGGAAGTAAGGAAGATGGGGTGTAAAATGATGGAGGGGAGGGTGAAGATGGGGTGTAAATGATGGAGGGGGAGGTGAAGGAGGGGGGGGCGTGGGCGAAGGAGGGGGAGAAATGAAGAGGGGGGTGCACTGAAGGAGTGGGGGAGCAAGGCGGAGGAGGGGGAGCAACATGAAGGGCAGGGGGAGTAAGTGCAAGGCGGAGAGGGGGGAGTAAGGAAGAGGAGGTGTCGAAGGGGGAGGCGAAGAAGGGGGGAGTAAGTGAAGGTGGGGGAAGAGCAAGTGAAGCTGAAAAGAGTATGGCAAGATGGGGGTGGTCACGAGGGGAGTAAGTGAAGATGGGGGGTGGGGCACAGATGGAGGGGGAGGGTGAAGAGGGGGGTAAAATGAAGGAGGGGGGTGAAGATGGGGCAAGTGAAGGGGGAGGCAAGTGAAGGGGAAGAGGCGAAGGAGGGGGGAGGCGGAACTGGGGAGTAGCAGAAGAGGGGGGGGAAGTAACAGAAGGAGAGAGGGGAGAGTAAGAAGAAGAAGGGGGTATGAAAACGGGGGGTAAGAACAACAAGGGGGGGAGTAAGGAGGAACACAAGGAGGAGGGGAGAGTAAGAGTGAGGAGAAGGGGAGATGAGGAGATGAGGAGAAGGGGGGGCTGAGAAGAACACAGGGAGGGTGGGTGGTGAGGAGAACACAGGGAGGGGGAGGTGAGGAGGACACAGGGAGGAGAGGGGGTAAGAAGAACACAGGGAAGGGGGAGGTGAGGAGACCACAGGGAGGGGGGAGGTGAGAAGAACACATGAGAAGAGCACAGTGAGGGTGGGTGAGTGTGAGAAGAGGCCACTAGGGGAGGGTGGGGGAGAGACCACTAAGGGGCAGTGGAGAGCTAGAAGGGACAGCTCTATAGGACAGGGGGAAGTCAGGGAGCTCTTTCACACTACGCGCACACACACACACACACACACACAGAAACACACAATGCATCCGTATACACACAGAAACACAACATGCTTCCCTTACACACAGATAAACACACAATGCATCCATTACACACACACAATGCAACCCTTACACACAAAGACAATGCATCCTTTGCACACATACACAGAAACACACAATGCAAACCCTTACACACACACACTGCTTTTCTTACATACACACAGAAACACAACACTAACACACACTCAATGCACACACTTACAGACACACACCTTGCATCCCTTATGCATACAAACACAGATTCACACAATGCATCCCTTACACACAACCAGAAACACACAATACATCCCTTATACACAAATACACACTGCTTCCACTACACACAAACACACTGCATCACCTGCACAAACTGGTATCCCTATACACTACATACCATAAGCACACATATTATGAGCGAACTCATGGGTGGGTGGAACATATAAGTGGACTTATGAGTGGGCCTTGTGGGCATACTCACAGTCAGGCCCTGGGGCCCAGACCTTGAGCTGTGTAAGGGGCCCCCAAAAAATGGAGCTGCTTCCAATTCTCCCAGAACATTGAATTTTGTGACCACAGTTGCAAACAGCCTCCAGAGATCCTGTTCTACACCAGACCAGCGGAGCCAAACTGCAGCCCATCATCATCCTCATTTGGTTGTAAGTAGGCAATCTAGTATATTATTAGTGACACTAATCTATAATTTTCATTACATTAAAGGGACACTATAGTCCCCAGAACGACTGGAGCTTAATGAAGTGGTTCTGGTGTCTATAGCCGGTCCCTGCAGGCTTTTTAATGTAAACACACACTGTGGGCAGCACTGGCGTTAGTTCGTATGGCAGCTCATATAGGCCCTGGGGAGATAGCGCAGCTAAGCGGACAAGGGCACATGTAGGAGTGTGGGGATAGATGCATGGGATTGGTTGGGAAAGAGTGTGTGGGTGGGATTATGTTCTGTGTAAGTTAGTGTGGGGGAGGTCTTACCTCAGTGCCACTTGGGATTCGGGCCAGCAAACAGCTTCCTGTCCTCCTGCTCCTGTTTGCCTGGGCCTGCAGATTGACACAGCCTGAGGGATGGATGTTGAGGCGATCCGGTCGTCCCTCAGGGCTGCTGCTGCGCTGGATGGTGGCCGGTACCTGTGGAGGCAATTTACAAACATTACTGGAGGTATGGCTGCCGGTGTGGGCACCCCCCGTGGCCTACCCTCCCCCTGGAGCACCCCCTGCGGTCTCCCCTGCTGCCTCCCATGCGGCCCCTGCCCCTGGGGGCCGCACCAGCACTGGCAGGCATTCCCACCCGCCATCCAGGCTGTCCCTGGATCCTACTCCCTGGGCCCAGTGAGGAGCAGGAGCCTGGGCCCGGGGCACCGCGGGGGCCGCGTGTCTGGGGCTGCAGGCACGCGGCCTACTACTGGGGGGCCGGGATCTGAGGCCTACTGAGGCCGCGCGGGTGGCACGGCCTTTAGACACGAGGCCTGCCACTGCCGCGCGGCCTGCTACCCCCATGGCCGCCCAGCCAGCTACTTACTGGGCCGCCTACTACCTCCAGGCCGGGGATGCGGCCTACAACTGCCGTGCGGCCTCCTGGTGCGGCTGCCGCGCGGCCTACTCCTCTCCCCCCCTCCACACCAACCGCCCCGGCCGCCAGTGCTGGATTGCGGGCCGGGGGCGGTGGGAGGCGGATCCCGCGATCCGGGCGGCGGGTGGCCGCCCGGCAACTATGCAGATCCCCCGCAGCCGGCGGGGAGGTGAGTGGGCCCTCGCGGGCCGCTGGGGGGGGGTCCCCTTGCCCGTCGGGAGCCTCCTCTGCCAGTGAGGAAGGCTCCCAGGGCTCTGTCTCTCCTTCCCTCCCTCTTAGTGCTGACTTTATTTTCCTTTTTCTTCCAGGGGACCCAGCTTACCCTTGCCTGGGCCCCCTGGTCCCCCCTTCCTCCTGCCCATTTTTTTCTCCCCCCCCTGCTCTAATCCTCCCCTCCCTCTCTATCCCTCCCTACCTGCATCCTCTCTGTGCCCCCCCCCTCTACCTTGCCCCTCTAGCTTGACTGAACCCCCTCCCTCCCCCAGGTCACTTACCTCGGCCATCTCCTCTGGGGCGTGGGCTCTCATCTTCTCTGCTGCTTCTTCTCAGCATGCTGCTGCAGTTCATGGATCCGTCCATCAGGTGGCGCCTGGATCACAGCTGATGTCTCCTGTGGATGCTGGAACTGCTGTTTCTTTGCCTCAGCCTTCTGTGAGCGCAGTGCTGGGCTTGGATCGCCAGGCTGCGTCCGGTGAGTACATTTCCCTACTTTTAGCGCTTCGCGTGCGTACGTTCTTTCTTCCTTTCTTCCTAAAAAAAAAAAAAAATTGATGCAGACAGGGGGAAAAAAATTACAGGACAGAAATACAAGGTAAATTACCTATTGGACTAATAAAAAAAATAAAAAAATAAAGAATCCTACGTCAAGTGCAGGGGTAGAATTCAATTTAAAAAAAAAAAAAAAAAAAAAAAAAAAAAAAAAAAAAAAAAAAAAAAAAAAAAAAAAAAAAAAAAAAAAAAAAATACACTGTCTGTATATATATATATGGGGAATCCACAATAAAATAAAATTTGGGTACCCCCTTTCCTTTTTCTGTATGTATTATACATTTAGGTATGCTTTCCCGCAGCGTCTGGCGCAGCTGATAGCGCCGGCGATGCCTCCCAGGTTCACGTGACTCTGGGCTGCTGAGCTCATGTGGCCCGCTTGGCTTGCGCGTAACGCTAGGGAGCGGATGGAGAATGGGGTTTTGTATCGAAAGCTGTTCCCTCCTGCCACGGGGGTCCCTTGACTAAGGGGGACATTAGGGGCTCAGGGATGGTCGTGGGGAGCATGCTGTATGCACCCCAGGGCGCATATCGGACAGGGCTCCCCGAGTCGGCGCTGCGTGGTTCAGCGGTCAGGACACTCTCGGGACGCGTATCGTCCCTGTGATAAGCTGGGTTGGTGGAGGTACGTTTTGCACTTTCATCAACGGTTGGCAGTGCGACCCTTCTTGGCCTGGGGCCGGATGGGTTTTGCCGCTGGTTTTCTTTGGGGCTCACCTGGCCCCTCAGCACAGCGTGTTTTTCCGTCCTCTCTGCAATCGGTCGGGATGGGGACCCTCAGTTCATGTGGGAGCTCCATCGGGCGATGTGGGTCCAGTTTACCAAGAACGCTTATAAGTTTACTTCCCAGTCGTTTAGGGTACCCCTGGAGTTCGCTGTGGTGCCCAAGGAGGAGGAGCAGGGTCAGTATCTCCAGATTACTTATTTGCTCAGTTGTCGTTTCCTTCCAGGGGCTAGGTTTGGGATGATGGCTCGGCGCAGCGGGCTGCGTGGGTGGGGCTGCAGGGCCTTGCTGACAAAGGCGGCTGTGGAATCAGTTTTACGGCTGCTGCCGGTACGCCCGTCGGGGTTATTGTTTCCAGGTTGTGTTCCCGACGGTCAGGATTGGGTGGTTCTGTGCCTTCATGTAGGTTGCTCCCGATGTCATTTATGTGTGGGGCCGTCGGTGCAGCATGTCCGCACTCTGCTGCTGCAGTGTTTTTCCTGGGGTAGTTTTATGAGTTTCGGAGTTCCGTGGCCCAGGCCATATCCGTAGGTTTTGGGTGGTTTTGGGCCAATTTGGGCTCTCAATGGTGTGCTGACTCTTGCCCATTACACTGGCAAGGATCGGTTTTCTGGCGGACTTTGGGGTTCTTGGAGCTTCCCCTTTCTGGTGGCATGGTAGGCATGGGGTGCCCCGCTCTAGAACAGGTAGATGGGGTTTTCCTTTGGGACCATCGTGGGGCGGTGCGGGCTGTCTTGTCATGTAACAGTACACTTTACCCCAGTGTTACTCTGGTTGCAGCGCCTGGCTTGGCGCTGTTTGAATCTAGGGCGGCTGGTCTTAGGTTTTTTGTGTCCGGGTATTCCCGATGTGGTGGCCGACGCTCTGTCTTGGTCATTATTGGGCATACTTCGGTCAGAGGTGTCGATGTTAGGGCAGTGGAGGTGGTCGCCTGGTCCAACGGTCTGATGAAGCTGGTCCGTCGGTCGCCCTATGAGGCGGCGTGGGGCCCACTCCAGTATGGCGGGAGTGATCGGGTCGGATGGGGACGGTTCCTTGTAGGTTCCGGGAGTGGACTGCTCATCTACATGTTTGGTTCCGTCTGTTGAGGGCGCTAGGGGTGATTTCTGCGATTGGCAGGGCTCGGCTTCCTGTTCATGTTACAGTTGTCGGCAAGTGGTTGGGTGTTTTGGTGGACGGACTTATTTCAGGTTTCGCCACTCGACTGCTGTTGTCGTTGGGACGGGTAAGTCAGTTGCGGTGTGGCTGATGCGTCGATGGAATCTGTGCGATTCTTGGATGTTTAGGGGTCGACGTGCCCTGGCTTTTCCGCTTTCTCCTAAGGTAGATGGAATGCACGGGGTAATGGTTGGGCTCCTAACGCGATGTAACGGGTTCCCAGGATGGCCTGACAAATTCCGTTCTGATCGGAGGCAGTGCAGGTTTCCATCGTTTGCCTGAAAGTTGGTGGGGAGTTTGAGGGGCATTTATTCTGGTTTGGGATGGCTACGGTCGCCGCCAGGCTTGGCGTGCCTGCGCCAATGGTTCAGGGGCTCGAATTTTGGGAGTCAGGGTGGTGGTTCCTTCAGGTTCACCCTGCTGGTCTCCGAATGGATTTCTCACCGCGGTTACGGCCCCCCCCCCGGAAAGGGAGGTTCAGTGGTCTGGCACCAGTTACATGGTGGGGGTGTGGTCCTCCTCGTACGGGGTCGGCTGTCCCGCCTCTTGGACGTACCAGGGGGTTTTTGTCATCTCTCGGTGGATTGATATGGGTTCGGTGTTGTATGGGGTGCTCTTCAATCTTAGGGTGCTCTTGAATCTGGACATGTTACACATTCTGTTTCTTACCAGAGGTTCTCAGGGGCCGGGCTGAGGCTATCACCTGTTCCTGTTGGCAGTGCGCTCAGCAATGTGAGTGCCCTGGTGCGCTGCCGTCGGGAATCGGATGAGGTGGGTTTCTTGTTTTGGCTTGGGGGATTCCAGTTCACCTTGGGGTGTGGCCGGATGTGGCCTAGTTATCTCGAGGGGATGGGTGCGCTTGCTGGAGGTCGGATGAGGCCTATGTTGATGGTGCACTGAGGACGACTCCGGCTGGAGATGAAACGCAATTGCTGCTAGATCAAAGGATTGTATCTGGTACTTTTTTCTTGTTTCCTCTGCAGTGTTTTATTTAGGCTTTGTGCCTAGTATATTTTACTATTTATACACTGCATATTGTCCCTGTTTTAATTGTTTATTTGTGCAATAAATTTTGGAGTCTGCACTTTGTATCCTGTGCTGCTCTCCTCAAGGATATCGTTTAGCCTTTTTAGGCACCCTCCTGCACATTATATAGAGCCTGGGACGGCTTTCAATCCTGTGAGTTTTACTCTACATAAGGAGTCTAACATTATATATATATATATTTTGCGCTATGTTGTGTTATTGGTGTTTTTTAGATTGATCACGAATGGTCATTTAATTTCCTGGTGCAGTATTTATTCTATGTTAATCTGGCACTGCTAGCAGTGGTGGAACAGGCCATGGCTGGTTGTGGTGGGGTCCCCCGCTGATTTTAGGTGTAAAACAGCGTGGTTGTGGCGGGGGTATGTCCTTGCCAATTGAGTTTGAGGGGTTACGTTTAAGTATATGGAATGAGATGAACAAGTTTTTAAGGTCTCAACCTCCCCTGCTTCAAAAGGTTAACATTAGGTTGCCTGAGGTGTCGTGCCCATCGAGCGTGGATAAGGTCGGCTGATGGCGGGCATTGGAAAGATATGATTTTATGACGAGGGGGGAGGTGAGAGGAAGTGGTGATTAGGAACCACTGTATGTTTATTGGCAAGGACGGTTGGGTCACTGTATAACACTATGTGTGGAGTTATATATGTATATATGTTAATTTATGCTTATTTATGTCTAACGTTTTGGTTACAGAAAAAGAAGAGATTTAATAAATAAAGTTATGGATGTGTTATGCAGTAATTTAGTTTGTGATAATAAATGCTGTGGCCTGTTCATCCATACTAAGTGGTCTGTTATTATTGGGGGGTTGAATGGGGTTAGTTTTGTTATAGGCTGCATCGCAATTCCCCACTACGTACATACAAGGTGGGGCATTGTGATGTCACATGGGGGGCGGCAAATACAGCTGTTCCCCATGCAGCCACAGGTGCCACTGTGCTGGGAGATTGTGATTACTCTTCACTTCCTCCCAGCCTACAGAGCAGCGCATGGGAGAGAGAGAGGAGGAGGCATGATTTAATCTTACAACAAATCCACTAAGCAAATCTTTATAAATTGGGGGGGGGGATCAGCACTGTTTGTACAGTTTATTGGTGTTTACTCTGATGTCTGTATTAATATCAAGGGATGTCTAAGTAGTGTGTGTCAGCAGGGCCAGCCGTTGGGGTGTGCACGCTGTGCGGTCACGCAGGGTGCCATGACAACAGAGGCGCCCCGCGGACAACACAGCTCACAAGTTGGGGACACCAGCCTATTCAATTTAAACGATTCGCTGGTGGTCCACTGTAGGTGCAGTCAGATTATATCCTCTCCCTCGTGGTTCCGGCGCTCAGTTAGTGAGTCGGAGCACAGGCTCAGAGATTCTCAGCCTGCGCTCTGACAACATTGAAAGTCAGAGCCATGAAGGAGCAGGTATGGCAAAGAGCTACTGATTAGCATAACATCAATATCCGTTATAAAACCACTGATTTGGTGGTGCAATGGGCCACTTGACTGGTTTTGCCCCCAGGCCTAAGGCTGCCAGCCCTCCCTTGGTTACCACCCAGGACATTGTGAGGCACAGGGACACATGATCAACAAGCCAATAAAACAGAGTTTTACATTCAGTCACTCCCATACAGTGTGCACAATCACTCCCCTCTGTTTAGGAGATAATTGAGTTAATTACTGTATCAACTCAATTATCTCCAAACTAAAAAAAAAAAAGGTTTTACACATTTCTGAAAATACCTCAAAAACATAAGAGAACCCATACATTTCCTGATAGCCCTGATCTGAGGAAACAAGCTCTTAAAAGAGTTAAGTGATTAAAACTCAGGGGAGTATGCAGAGCATAGCAATCCCCAGTGTGAGTATAGCTGTCCCCTCCAATCACGAGACAAGACTACATGTTGAGAGTCAAGAAGAACTGTGTTTAGCACCTAAGGGTCTTCTTTTATGGAGGTTTTACACATACAGGACCGCCAACAGAGTTTTGCAGAACAACCAATAAAAACATTACAACACATACAATAAAGTAAACCACCCCCATTCATCCCAGCAGAAATCCTCCCCTCTGCCTGTGATACAATTATCTCAACACAATAGAATAACTTAATTATCACAGGTAGAAAATATACAGTTTTTACACAATTCTTATAACTTTAAAAGTATACATGCAATATTAAGTTACATATTTGAAATCAGCGTCCTTTAAATATAAACATACTCAAAAATCATAAAAATCCGTCCAGTAGTTCAAAGGTTAGTCGGACGTCCTTTATGACTGACCGCAAGCACATTTTCATGCCCAAACAGTTCCATGGATTTGGGCTGTGCGATCGGTCTATTTTTTCACTGAGCATTCGAATCTTCGAACGGGACTTAGTCTCCAGCCACAGTGTCAAAGTGAAGAGGAAGGTACAGGTCAGCGGTGTTCGTGCAATTGGGAAGCCGAAAACAGTTCCATAGATTTGGCTGCACACACCACTGACCGCGTTCGAATTAGTTAAAATGGCTACTTCGACTACTTCGGCACTTCGGCTGTATCCAAAGTGCCAATTTAAAGTTGCAACACTGCTCCAAAGTAATTAAAGGGCCAGAAACAGCATTCTAATAAATCCATTATGCCCAAATCCAGTTCTTAAAGGGTCAGTAACAGTATAATATAAGTCCATAAGCTCCAACTCAGTTCCTTAAAGGGCAATACATCCCAGGGGCCATAGTCACATGGCAGGAGGCTGGCAATCAGTCCTCTCCAATGCCCAATGGCAGTTTGTCACAACTTACCTAAACTGTCACCAGGGGTGTTAAGACACCCCTGGCACAGAGGAGTAAAACCGCCATTTAGTTGAGCTCCCCCTCTTCAGTAATGTAGGCTAAATTCGTGTAGACCTCAAACGCACAAACTGAAACCAGGGGAATACGCCAATCTCCCGAACGGTATCCGTACTATTCCTCCAAACTCCCGAACAGTAAATCCACGAATCGCGGCTAACAGCTGAATAGATATAATCTCCCAGCGGCTTACGTTTCCAGCAATCAGTCGCTAACCGTGTGTAGTAAATCCCCCCAATAACGAGACCAAGCTCCGCATTGAGGGTAAAACAAGAACTGGCTTAACTGTGGGCTACCCGCCCGTATTTATGCAGGTCTCCCACTTGGTGGACACTCCCCTAGGGGTCCAAATGGGAGACTGTAACCACGGACAGACATGTATCAGTTTAGGACATACAGTCGCAAAATATTCCCACAATGCATCCTGGCTTCCTACTCTCTGCCCTGGAGATAATTGAGAAGTAATTCAATTATCTCCCAGGACAGAGGCAAATCGCCATTTTAAATGACACATTAAAAATACATAAAAATAAGTAACTGTACAAATACCGAACATTTTATATTCGTGTAACGTATCCCCAGATGGCCTGGATCTGAGTGCATATTCCTACCGAATAGCGCTCAGATCCCATACGCACAGTTCAATCACCATGGAGTCAAAGTCTTTTATAGGTCTTTCGGTATGCGATTGACTCCATGGGATGGCTATCTGGGTTAAGTCCATTCGTATTATCCAAACTCCCGAACGGACCTGTGTTCGCATGCCTCAACGAATGAGAAGGGCGGTCGGTAGTTTTAGCGGTGTTCGGTAGAAAAAGTGTCTGTTTATAGTTCCATAGAATCTGCGCTGAACACCGCTGGTCTTTCGCATGTTTTAAAATGGCCGCCGCCTCGTGGTCAGCATACGAACGACGACCACCCTGCATTCAGTTATAATTAAGAAGTGTCTGCGGTTAACAACAACATTCTAATTGGGGCCAAGAGGTTAACCAGCAGCACACTTCTCTTCTGGGTGGCCGTCCGTTCGGTAGTTTCATTCGGTATAAGTCCAAAATAAGGAATAGGGGCATACGGACGGGCAATTCCGCGAAGAAAGGCAAACTAGATGAACCAGCCACACCAATCATACAGATGGATCTGTCACAAGGGGTTACATAAATACCACAGTGCGTCATCTGATTAAATACTTACCTAAACTGTCAACAGGGGTTATATAACTACCACAGTGTATCATCTGATTAAATACCTACCTGACGGTTGTGTGCTTTTGTGAGCTTTTCTGGAAGCTCAGATTGGAGATCTCGAGAAGCAAATTGCAACATTGAGGGAGATCTACAATCTTGAGAAGAGTCTGCTGTCCACTGAGCAGAGTTTAGTGGGGACAGGTAGTGGATGTGGCGAAAGTAACCTCGCCACTGGTTTTTGGAGGGGCCTGTTTGCCAGCCTCCTGCCCTGCGACTATGGCCCTGGAATGTATTGCCCTTCTAGGAACTGATTTGGGCATAATTGATGTTTATATTGCTGTTTCTGGCCCTTTGGTTCCCAGAGAGGGGATTTGTACTTTTATACTGGCACTTCGGATGCAGTCGAAGTGCCGAAGTCGTCGAAGTGGGCGCCATTCGAAAACCGAACACGTGGCGGCGCTCATTTTAACTCATTCCAACGCGGTCAGCGGTGTGTGCAGCCAAATCTATGGAACTATGTTCGGCTACCCTGTCAGGATATTTATATCGGCAGACATTTTGTGCTAAAATAGAAATTAAAAGTGGATATTGCCAGAGTCACTCAGAACAGAGCAGACTCCATTTTGCTATCTTCAGGATAACAAAGACACACAATTTCCTTACTTTCACTAACCACTGAGCCAGTGGCAGATCCGGGGGGGGGCAACGGGGCAATTGCCCCCTCCCCCCCGAGAAAGCCGACGGTCTCCCTCTCCCTCCCCTGCCAGCACATGCAGGTGCTAGCTCTGCAATGTGCCTGTGGACCGGAGTGGAGATCACAGATCTCCCTCCCCGGTCCACAGGCTCTGTGCTGACAGCCGGCAGGGGAAGGAGAGGGAGGGAGAGAGGACCCGGGAGCTCAGCCTGCAGCTCCTCCGGGTCCTCCTCTCGCAAGATTTGGAGCGTTGCCGAGGTTACCACGGCAACGCTCCAAATCTCGCGAGAGTGAACTCTAGCCATTGGAACGCGGGCTAGAGTTCACTCTCCCCACTGGGACCACCAATGAATCCCCCACCGGACCACCAGGGATTAGAAATGTTTGCCTCCCCCCCAGGAAAGGTAAGAAGGGAGGGGGGACATATAAAGTTATATTAAATTAAATAAAAATATATATATTATTAAAAAAAGCCCCCCTACCCTTATATCACACACACACTCTACACACACACTGCCCCCATACACACACTGACCCCCTAACACACACACTGACCCCCTAACACACACACACACTGCTCCCCCCATACACACACACACCAAGCCCCCATACACACACATAGCCTGCCCCATACACACACTGCCCCCATACACACACACACTGCCCCATACACACATACTGCCCCTATACACACACACACTGCCCCCATACACACACACTGCCCCCATACACACACTGACCCCTAACACATGCACTGGGACCCCCCTAACACACACACACTGCCCCCTATACACACACACACTGCTCCCCCCATACACACACACTGCCCCCATACACACACACTGGGACCCTCTAACACACACACTGCCCCCATACACACACACACTGCCCCATACACACACACGGGCTCCCCATAGACACACACACTGCCCCTATACACACACACTGCTCCCCATACACAATGCCCCCATACACACACACACTGCCCCCCATACACACATACTGCTCCCCATACACACACACACTGCTCCCCATACACACATACTGCTCCCCCATACACACATACTGCCCCCCATACACACATACTGCCCTCCATGCACACATACTGCCTACCATACACACATACTGCCCCATACACACATCCTGCCCCCCACAATCACACATCCTGCCACCATAATCACACATCCTGCCCCCCATAATCACACACACTGCTCCCCATACACACACACACTGCACCCCATACACACACACACTGCTCCCATACACACACACACACTGC